ACGAAACTGCGTGATAGCGTGATTCAGTTAAAATGGTTTATTCCTGTTGGCCTCGTCAAAATTAAACATGGAGATGCTTTTGTAGATCAGCTGCTATGCCCTTTTTGCTTCCCAGCGGCTCCGTGGGATTCTTGATGATGACTCTACCAACGCCGAGCTTGGCGATGCATCAAATGGTTTCATCACGTTTTTACTTCAAGGTAATGCCTGTTCTGTTTTGTGTTTTGCACATTTATAGAATGAAGAACAGTGGGCATTAAAGGACAATTTATAAAGCTCCCAGCCGGGCCAGAAGAGGATGCGGAGCTCAATACGTTTATATTCTGTCGCGATACTAAAGTTGCAAATTGCGCATAATTATTCGTTTATTTGTTTTATTTTGAAATTTTTTTTTTTAAAATGTAAGGAAGAAAAACGCATCAAGTCATTTTAATCTTTAGTCCAGTTATCAGTACTCCCATACTGTATCCATGTAGGTATTTTGGTCATTTTGGACAACTCGGTTGATCAGCCCGATCTACCCGGGAGCTTCAGACCGGATAGCGTAACTTTTTGTCTGGACGGGATCAACTTGTGTGTAAAATCGCCATCTTCTGATATGTGACTTCATATCACGATTTGAAGCAAGATGTATGAATGCCACGCCATCTGCCACCAAAACTTCTGCTCTAGGCAACCCTACCAAGCAGTTCAAGGCATTTGAACTTGTACTTCACTGCTCTACTTACTGCGTCATAATACTACAAAGGGATGCTGAATTCACCGAATTAGTAATAAATGCCAAGAGCTGTGCTGCTAGAAAAAGCTTCGGATAGCTGGGAGAACGAGTCGAATCAAGGCGAGTGACCTCGAGCACTTCCCTGCGCAAGCCGCGTATTGGCTAGAGAAAGCGCGAGTTCTGCAGGCATTTCGAAAGTGGATTGCCATCAAAGCCGGCGAGAACCCAGGCATTCCGTCGTACCATCTCAAGACCGTATCTGTCAAGTTATAGATGCGGTAAATTCCAAGACGAATCCGGCTCTCTGGGTTTTTGACGTTTGCCGCCGTACCGACGGGATGGACCCACCGGAGGGAGCGCTGAAATTGCCGTACCCTCGGCGCCAAACTATTGGGACGGCGGGAGATTCAGCAATTAAACAGCAGCAAACTCAGACTCGGCAGCGCTGGCCACTAGCGGTGCTGCCGAGATAAATGTCTGGTGCTTATGGCGATTATCCCTTGTTTTGTGTGTGGTATGACATAATGAATGAAAAAAAATTGAAATGGCCTGCATTGGCAATGTGAGATTTGTAAAGCTGCAATCGGGCAAAGGCCATCGGTCAATGAGAATCATGTGATATACCAGTCCTTGCATGTACCCAATGTGCCACGAGGGCCAATAATTGACTTGACGAAATGAAACGAAAAGGAAGAAGCAAAGATAAATGGTCTCAAATTGTCCTGCAGCCAGCCATTGGAGATGGCGAATTGTCTTGGGTAGCAGCATAATATTGAGGTGGGGTAATTTTACTGCAAATGAGTTTTGTCTTTGATGAGCAGCTTTGACGCATGCAAGCCAATCAATCCCAGAGATTGGCAAAAAAAGTCATATGGACTTGGTGCTTTTTTTCGGTGGGCTTTAGCTTAGCGGCTTTGCCGCCTAACATCAACCGCTGGGAGCTGCACGCAATTACGTTTGACGTCGGCTGCTGAGCGCCGTCGTCTGACAAGCTTTTGATGCCCATTCAGCTGCCTCCTCATTTTCCTGTTCCCTTCTCTTCTCGCCCAGTGCCTCGTCCAGCCTCTTCCCTCGTTCCCGTGCAGTCCCGCCATTACAGTGCCCTTTTCTCCCTTTGCGCCCTGATTGTCCGTTGGCTGGGCCGCTGCCGCCAGACCCGTCGCTCTCGCTGCATTCCTGCGCAGGCGAGACAAAAAAAGGCGACGGCGACACACGACTCTGCCATCTCCAGCCTCTGATCGGCGTGGCTCTCTTTGATCCTGCACTGCCCCCCCTCTGTCGCTTGCAATCTCCGTATCGGCACGCGAGCACGAGACCGGGCTGGGCGTCGCGTAAAGTGCCAACAGCCTGGCCGGACTGCCCACCACTCAACTAATTATCTGCGGCGATACCAACTGAACTGACTTCTCGCTCGTCCTCTTCATACTGTGCAACCTGCAACCTCTCCGTCTACTATTCTACTCTCTATCGTCGTCCGGAAGACGCCGCGAGCCTGTGAAGACCGCCTTGGGGGCGTACAACTGCCCGCGCATTAATTGTGGAACTGACGCCCGTCTCAAAGTTTACGAGTCGCTGACGACGCTCTACTCCCCCAACCATCTTTGCCGTGAAATGCGTGTCTTGTTGTCTTTGCAGAGCCCTCGATTATCAGTTTGAACAGGCCTGATCACCAGCCTGAACCACCAGCCTGAAAAGGCGTCCGCAGTAATGGGGGAACCCATGGATATCGACGCAAAGAGCGTTCGCAGCCTGAGGATGGATCTGGACGAGAGGGACGTTAGGGACGTTGAATGCCAGGACAAGGGCGAGATGCAGCCGGATGACTCCGACGATGCCAGTTTCTCGTCGCTCATGACCACATCCTTGGTTACGACTTTTCTCAACACCACCTCGAGTCCTGTCTCTCCCGGCCCGTCAAGCCCATCTTTCCAGATGGCCAAGAGCACGTCTTTTGTCCCGCCTGCGAGACCCAGTAGCACGCCCTTTCCCCATTTCGAAACTCGAAACCCTCAAATAAGCCGTTTGGAGGAGCAAGAGTCTGGCTTAGATGTTAGTGGTTGGGACAGGGCATCGACCGAGCCGATCGACGGTGCCTCCGGAAGCCCGCCCGCACGGCATTTCGAAGAACTCCCCACCGAAGTTCATGAAGCGATTCTCGATCACATATTTGGGTATTGCGTATCTGCGACGTCGAGAAGCACCATGAGGATTTCGAGCTTGACTAGGGGGTGGAGCACTGCGCTTCGCCATTCGCGGAGGCGAGAACTCACTGCATTAGCTCTGGTTAACCGTGTGTGGAGAGTCTTGGTTCAGCAAAGACTATTCCGGCACATCAAGCTCAAGGCGACGCTTGACTCTATCAACAATGCCATGGAATTTCTGGTCCAACAACAGCATCTCTCGGCGTACATCAAGCACATTGAGATTTGGTTTCCCGTTTTTCAGCCGACATATGGGCCATTGGCGCTGACGAACACCCTCACACTACCTACGGTTACGACAGATGGACTGACCAACGCTACTTACACTTTGCCGGGGAACAACTGCACCCTCGAGCAAGTATTTCAATTCGTCGCCGCGGCACTGCCCGAGACCAAGGTACTTACCTTGGAAGGGGGAGAGCGGCGCAAGGCGCCTAGAGTCGTCCATTTTGATATGAAGAACCCTGGCTCAGCGGCAGAGGAAGAGGAGGACAAGCAATTTCTTCACCTCACCTCAGTGCGCACCCTGGTAACCAAGGGCCAGTGGAATTTGATGAGAGACAGGGATGACTTTAGAGTCATCATGAAGGCACTACCGAACTTGGAGGAATGGCAGGGCTCTTACAGCAAGCCAAAGTCTAAGAGCTACATCACTGCTTCAGATTTCCTACCGCTCCTCCCGAATCACGTCACCAACCTTTCTCTCTGCATGGAAAGCGACTATCGGCGAGAGGGAGTGATGCCGGCTTTTTACTACAAAGTGGCACAAAAGGCTCACCTCTGCTCCAGCCTGGCCTTTGTCTTGCCGTCATTGGAACATTTTGCCTATACAGGGCGTATCTGCCACCACGTTTTTGATGTTGCGGCCCGCCTGGCTGACCCGCTGACGACCAAGCTCAAATCTATTGATATCACGGTCAAAAACTGCTGCCGCCGGGCATTCAGCTTCCATGATTCTGGCTCAGGAATCCAGGATATGGCATTTATCGAGGCCTTTGAGAAACTGGTGCTCTCTGCTGTCCGCTCGATGGAAAAGTTCAAGAGACTCGAGTACTTGAGGATTCGCTTTGTTGATCTGGGTATGTTGATAATTGTCCCCTTTTCTCACAACAGCTGCTAACATTCCGACTAGATTCTGTATTGCCGCCACTCAACCCATTCTTCTTGATGCAGAATGGCAAGTGCACTGGAGTCTGGAGCGAGCAAATCATAGCCGAGCTGAACAGGGTCCGACCAGAGACCACATTCCCCGGATTGAGCGACACTTTTGGCAACATTGTCTACAGCAAAGATGGCCGGATGATTATTGCGGCTGAGCCATCCAGGCAGCGCATTACCTCTTTGAAATTGTCCAATTATCGATCTCTCGCAACCAGAATTACCATTCAGTAAATCCTGGGTCCAATTTTCGATTGCAAGAAGCTCGCTAGGCAGCAAGTTACAAAAAAACAAATTTACGACGAGCATTTTCGGATTTCTTACTTCTAAAATGCAAAATGAAGATAAAAATCTGACTCATATTCATTTATGGAGTAAAGTACAATAGCGCAAACCGCAATGGACATGTTATATTTTTATTTTCTTTTTTTCTTTTTTCTTTTTTCTTTTCGGTCGTTTAAGGCGTTTTATACATCTTTATAACAGCACAAAGCGAGGAATTATGGGATCTGGGTTCTGAGATTTTTGTCCCAACGTTTCGATTTTCATACCCTGGGACAGCCAAATAATGCGAACAAAGCTTGGAGTTGGTCTTTTTCTCACTGCTCATGGATATATGGGGTTCGGCAGAAGTCGGATGTGATGGTTGGTATTGCTTAGTATGGCTTTGATAGGGGTAATTCTCGGTGACTGGACAGTACGCACATGAATGGGGAGAGTGGGAAGGACAATGCGAGGAATTGATATAATGGGTCTGAAATAATGTTGATACCCGCAATGGAATTTCGGTACTTAGGCCACAATCACAATTGGTTTCGTATAGTCTTCAATGAGGCTGATAAAGGTAGTGAATGGCTATTCTAAAGAGATGTGACGTTTTATTTTGTGAATTGTATTTTCTCTAAAGACAACTACCGAACCATTTACGCACTACGCACTTTTTGGAGGCTGACTTCCGCACCGTCGCTGATGATAATCCCTAGTATCCAACAGTTGATGAGGAAAAACCCCAATGAAGCAAGCCACATCCCCGGAAAGAAGGTGCTGACGCCAAGAAATTCGAGTTCGTAGCCTTGCTGCAGCCAAGCGGCTTGGCCTAGAACCCAAAGGAGCAGAGCCGCAATGCCCCGGCTGGGAACGCGAAGCATGGAGGATCCAGGCAGATAGAGAGGCAAGAAGATCATGTACCAAAGGAAGTACTACGCAAAAAAAAAAAAAAAAAAAATGTGAGTAAATAGGAAAAAAATATACATAGGATGGTTGGACTACACTTACCTGTGAGGTGCAGACCTTGTTGAAAGTGACAAAGGCAAAGGTCTGGGCCATCATGGACGTGGCGAGGTCCTTTTTGGCAAGGACAAAGGGGATTAGGAAGCATGAGAGGAGCAGTTGAGGGATAAATGCGTGGAGCGAGCTGGAAGATGGGTCGGCGGATGCGAGGTAGAGGAAGATGTTGTAGGGCGAGAAGTTGTGGCGGTGGTCGATGCGGGTGACGTGATGGAAGTAGGAATGGACAAGGAAAGGGGTTCCATAGCTGCGATGCTAGGTCAGTATGGGGTGATTGTCTCTGTTTTGCGAGAGGAGAGGAGACGCACATGTAGTACATGAGGACGTTGAGCCCCATAAAGGTCAGTAAGCTGATGAGAGTAAGCCGGATCCTCTGAGGAGAGAGGAACCGAACAATGGAGTCTGTGAATGAAGCCGAAGATTTAGCAGCCTCCTTGCCCTTGCCTAGATGCTCATCGTCCATCCACCAGATAATGGCCGGCGCATAGATAAAGGGGTAAATCTTGAAGTGCACGCTCAACCCCAAGATAAACCCGGCCAGCCCGATTCTCTTCCCCTCAACAGCCCACAGCAGGGCCATTGTCAAGACGCCCAGCAACCCTTCCGAGCTGCCCCTCGTGCTGATTGTCGCCACCATCGGATTCCACAGCCAAATGGCAGCAAACGCGCCGGCCCTCTCGACGCTCATGCCGCGCTGCTTCGTTAGCACTCTGACAATCAGCCATCCGGCGAGCAGGTCCGCGAGTGCAAAGACGACCTTTCCAAACGAAAAGAGCTGGGGCGTGGCCGTAGGGACGAGCATCCAGGCCAGCAGGGGCGTGTAGCGGTATGTTTCCCTATGATAGGGGCTGAGGCCTTGAGATACATAGCGGGCGGCGTCGGTGAAGACGAGGTAGTCGATGTCGGTGTATTTGACGGCAGAGTGGGCGTCTTGCCAGATGCCGTAGAAGAGGAGGATGAGGCGGAGGAGGGCGGCGAGTGAGAAAAGGGGGATTGGATGAAAGAGAGAGGAGATTGTTGAGGGAGCCATGGTGGTGGTTGGTTGTGAAGGCATTGAGTGAGGTGAGCTCTAAGGACAGCGTGTTGTGATGGATGAGATTGGCCTCAAGCTCATGGTTCCAGATCTGGATGCCTGAAAATATGAGATGCAACAGAATAAATGATGCGTTTTGTCAAGAGATCAATTTGTATCCCAGATTGAAAGAGGAGGATAGAGGAGGATTCAATTAATCTCAATCCTCATGTGTTCAATATCTCGCTATCAGCATCATCAGCATCTCGACAGAGCTAGACTGAGCTCTAGCTCTGACCTCACAGCTCGGAAATTTTAGCGGGGCGCTGACTTACATTGTCGTCAATTCATTGGCAGCTTTAGGGGTCCTTCGTCTCCACTCTTGACTACGCTTGACCTCAGCAATTCTGTTTTGGGCCTTAAAAGTTAAATCGAACGTATACTTTACCCAGGCATAATTCCCGACCAAGAGAAAATAAACCCTTAAAGGAATGGCTGGAGGAACCAAGCGAGACTACGATGGCAATGTGCGCGCTAAGAGTGTGCAAGACTTGCCGCGTGGCAGGTTCCACGCCATGTTTGAGACTTTCCGGGACGAGTTGGATGAGCATTACGACCGCAGAGAGCGCATCATCAAGGCATCGAGAGATGTGACGGCGCAAAGCAAGAAGATGTTTGTTGAATTTCGCTTGACCAACGGACCTTCGGATCGTAGTGTGCTAATCATGATTCTCAATACAGTATTTTCACATTGCAAAGGTACTAGTAGCTAAGCTTCAAGTTGACCAAGTCACTTCACACTATTCGTCCAGCCCACTTACTCATTCACTCATGCATTATAGAGTCAAACAACCAAATCAAGACTTTCCAAAGGGAATACAGCAAGACATTGACACGCGTCTCGGCGAAATCTCAAAGCTGCTTTCAGGCATTACCGCAGACGTGCAGTCCATCAACCGTTATCGCTACAGCTTTTCTCTACGGTGTCTTGAGGAGCTAGTCGAGGCACTCTCCTTTGCCCACTATCTACGGCACCAAACTCTCATCACTCTAGAAGAAACGCAAGCAGCTGTCCCCGCAGACATTATGCTGACGCCACACGACTACATGTACGGCCTATTCGACCTGTTTGGAGAACTGATGCGGTTTGCAACAGTCACCACCGCACAGACCGGCGAGCTAGTGGGCGACTACGAGAGAAACATCCTGAGCGATATACAGGAGCTCGGCTGTTCATTCGAGATGCTGCCCCAGGTGCCGACGAAGGATTTCCGCTCCAAGGTGGAGGTCATGCGGCAGAGCATCAACAAGGTCGAGAAACTAGGCTATGGTCTTGTGGTGAGGGGCAGTGAGAGACCCAAGGGGTGGGTACCCGACATGAAAGACGATGACCATCGGCCTGTCTCTCCTGTGTGAGAAGCGTGAGAAGGCTAGAACGTTGCTTGATGTTTCCCGGAGATTGCCTGTGGGTCTCGACCCTGCATTGCTAAAAAGGCCGAGCGTATAGGTTGTGAGGAAAACCTTGTCCTCCACTTATCACGAGGGAATATTGTCAGATATTCTTTGCTTTTCCACTCTTTATGAGTAACCCTTGTGAGGTATTCTTTACTTGTTGCTACTATTTACTTGGGAATCATCGTTAAAAGAACTGCTTGGAAGGCGCAAATTTGTCGAAGCAAGTGCTGGGTAGCTGACTGAAAGTAAACAAACAAACAAACAAACAAACAAACAAAAAGGAATAGAGATGATTGAAACGTCACTTAATCGCATACAACTCCTTAATTGACAGCTTGGCCATCGCCCTTTTGTAACTTCAGCTGAAAAACCTTCATCCAGGTATACGCCTATTTTTATCGGCTATTGACTTTCTTTCAAATTCCCCCCCCACAACTCTTCTTGTTCACGCCCACATCTCCAGCCATGAGCCGCCAGTCTAAGCCGCGGTCCGTCTCATGGGATGACGAGTCACTGACAATCTGTTCCTCCAACGCCGAGTCCCCATGTTCAGATAAGGAGTGTGACGACACCCTATTTGACGTTTGTTTTCCTACGATGGGGCTGGTGTGCAGGGCATGACCCCATTCGAGTTTGGATGCTACAGTCGCCGCTTATGGCACATTGAGAAGATAAATGTTCGTCTCCGAGATATATGTTTCAGCGAGGGGATCGTCGACCAGCTGCCCGACCACAAGATTGCCTCCATGGACAAGAGTTTCGAGTCTCTGTATACGCCATTCTATCTCGATCGTGAGATTATCCGATGGCAACCCAGCCAGCAGAACAAGGCGCTCCGGTGGCGCCTCCTTCGCGAGTCTATCTTTGACCAACTAAACCTTTCGGAGAAGAACCCTGAAATCGACCCCCTCCTTATCGTGATGCGACGCATTGCAGCTGAAAAGGTTAAACAGTTGGTGGAGCCGTTCAAGGCTGCGGGGGCGGCGACAAGGGAGCTGAATGCAGAAATCGAAGACGTAATGCGTGCGGCCAGACGCGTACTACTGCACGATAGTAGTGCTAATACTCTGTTTACGATATCAAGGACCAAAGCTCCGGACAGCCACTGTTGCTGTACTCGCAACTCATCAGCGCGGCCCAAAAAGTCAACCTCTGCGGCGCCTCCCACCCAGATGCGTCTGAGGATCGCATCTGCATAACTGCGTCGGCGGGATTGATACGTCACGTCGGAGAGAACAATTTTTTTTGGAGAAGAAGGCTGGTGTTGTGCTATACCGGCGATCCGGGGCCAAGATCCACAACCCTGAAAACTCCATCTTGAAGTTTAAACCAAATGGTGGCGCTTCGGTTCCCACCCGAGAATCTGCCTTTTCTGGAAGTTTTCCAGGGGGGCGTCCTAAATAGTGGCGGCGCTAAATGAGTGGGCTTTGGTTGTTAAGGGCAATAGGTGTGTAAATCGAAGAGACGTCGGTACTGAGCGTATACATGGCTATGGGACATCGTCTGGATGTTTTTGTATCACTTTATCGAGCAGTTCGATAGAAGAAAGAAGCGAGTAGATAGATAACTGGGAGAATCAAAGAATTTGAAATATTGGGTGTCAAAACACTGGATACAAGTCAACTGCCTCCTGGCCCTATATCCACATCTTGCTGCATCTCCAAGATGGATAAGGAAGTTTTCTGCCATCTACCTGCTAATATTGCGCTGATTCTCGGACGCTGCTATTCATCAAGTACAAAATGTAGCAGATGGGTCTTTCGGGCGCCGAGCTCCGGCGTAAAGGTACTTGGCCCGCCAGCTGCCTCCAAGCCGCCGTGCACATTTTTGCTTCTTCACTTAACCTTTGCTGCTTCTTCGGCGGTTTTTTGCACGCACACCCCAAGAGTACATCAATATTCTTCTATTTCCAAGCCTATCGTGCCTACAGAATGGAAAACCTGCTCTTTGACCGCGCGTTATGGGCACTTCTCACCGCCAGGGGCCCCACGCACCTCGATTCTTGCTCGAGCTCGAGCTCGGGGGCTGCACTTTCTGAACCCTCTGCTCAACATAGTAATAACTCAAGTCTCTTAGGTTTTTCTGTTTCTCTTCCCCGCTCTTCTGTTTGCATCTACCAACCTCTTTGAGCTCTAAACTTTCAAACAGCCCAGTTTGCGATAATAGTAGCTCGAGGCGCTTTTCCTTGGCTATTTCCTTGTCTATTTCCTTGTCTATACACCGCATAGTATACGCCATCTCGCAACAAGTCTCTTAGAAGGTTATTGAGAAAAGCCATAAAGTCTCTAGGAACAGACTAAATTCAGCCTCTCGATCCACGATTGCCAGACAACAGCTCGAAAGCATTCTCCTCGCGGCTAAAGACTCCCGATCCAGCCGTACACGAAGCTTCATTTGGCCAAACAGGGTTCCAGTTATGTGTCCTCGAGCTCGAGGCTCTATCTTTGTGGCTTTGCCGTTTGCTCTATAAAACGAGGAGGCCTACCGCATCTGCTGTTTCTTTTCCTCGCACGCAACCCAATTCTCAATTCTGTTTCTTGGAATTTCACAGCTCTCGCGACATCGTGTGCAGTCGAACCAACAATCTGTGATCAGTCAACAACCCTTGAAACAGCTCATATCAACTATTGTTATATCAATATCAGCCAAGATGCCCGGTACCACCAACGGCAACACCGCTCAGGCCCGTTCTCGTAAGAGACAACGCCGCAGCCCTATCGCTCAGAGCCAGAACCCCACCGCTCAGGCCGGTTCTCGTAAGAGACAACGCCGGAGCACCATCGCTCAGAACCAGAGCCCTATCGCTCAAAACCAGGGCCCTATCGCTCAGAGCCAGAGCCCTTCGCAGTCGAAAACCCCCATCGTCGCTCAAAGCCAGAGTCCTTCACGTCTCTTGGGCGTAGCCTCCACACACACTACGTTCTTTGTTAACCGTAAACATGCGTCTGAACACAGTGTTGGAGGCACTTATTCGGGTCAAATGCATGTGGACTTCTACGAACCTCTTTATGCATTCGCACCAAACTTGCAAAGAAACATGGTCTTTCTCCACGGAGACTTCTTTACTGGCCAGGTAAGTCTTTTATTTAGCTTGTTTCTATGAGTTCAGTTTGCGAGATATGATGTGCTGACTTTGTTCGAATAGACATGGCTCGAAAAGGTAGATGGAACTCAAAGTTGGGCAGCCTATTTCCTGAAGCAAGGATACAACGTCTTCGTGGTTGACCTGCCTGGCGTTGGCAAATCGTCGTTTCTGAACGAGAACGACTACCAAATTCCCGGTATCCCCAGAACAGTCCGAAAGCTGACCGCCGACTTGGTCGAGCGAGAATTTACTGCTTCTGAGAAATTTCCTCTTCCTGACGGCTCGCTTGCATGGGCAAGTGCCAATCGTCATACTCAATGGCCAGGAGTAAGTTGACATCTTCATTTTACCCTTCCCCCTGTGAGAACCGAGAAGCTAACCACGGATCTCCAGACTGGTCTCCGAGGTGATGAATACTTCAACAAGCTCATGGCTTCTACCACCGACATGGTCCTTCCAAAGCTCCAGCATGAAGAGCTAGGCACAATTGCAGTGACGGATCTACTCAAGCGTATTGGCCCTTCTTTCTTGCTCGGACATGGCACCGGAGCCACCATTGGCATGCTTACCGCCGATGCCGTCCCGAGACTGGTTCGAGGCCTCATCTCAATCGAGCCAGACGGCCCCCCTTGTGCCCTGGCAGGAAGACCTGTGGACGGGCGCATGACATACACGCCCTACTTGCAGTATAACCCAAACATCCGAAGATACGGCCTTTCGGACGCTCCGCTTACCTTTTCACCTGCGTCGCAACCTGCACCTGGTGCTCACCCTCTTAAAACCGAAGTGCGCCAGCTAAACGACAACAATGGATGCTATATAGTTCAGCAAAAGCAGTCCAACATACGCATCCTCAACATGCGTGAGGGACAAGAGACAGTCCCGCAGCTAGTTCAACTTACGCAAGTGCCCCATGCCATGTATATCAGCGATTCGAGCCCTCACTCCGTCTTCGACTGGGCCACGGCGCGCTTCTTACGACATGGAGGCAACTTTGTCGATTGTTTTCCTCTGGAAGCTGAGGGAGTTCGAGGCAATGGGCACTTGATGCATCAAGAGGAGAACAGCGACGTCATTGCTCGACGCATAGATGAGTGGGTAACGGAGTCTATTAGGCATGAAGATGAGGATCGAGAGAGAAGAGAAAATGTTCAGAAAGAGCATGAAGAGAGATACCAAGTACCTATTTCTCTGATGAAGGGGCCTAAGGATGAACCTTTTAAGCTGGAATTCGCCGTTCAACCCGATGCCGTCGCACATCAAGTCTCTCCAGCTCTTCCCCCTACTCCACCTGATTCTGTTGCTACAGTTGATTCTGTTGCTACAGTTGATCCTGCTAGCCCTGTTGCTGCTGGCCCTGTTGCTGCTGGCCCTGTTGCTGCTGGCCCTGTTGCTGCTGGCCCTGTTGCTGCTGGCCCTGTTGCTGCTGGCCCTGTTGCTGCTGGCCCTGTTGCTGCTGGCCCTGTTGCTTCAGTTGATGCTGCTGGCCCTGTTGCTACAGTCAATCCTCTTGATCTTACTGATCCTGTTGCTACAATCAATCCTCTTGATCTTACTGATCCTGTTGCTGCAATCAATCCTCTTGATCTTACCGATCCTGCTGATCTTCCTGGTGAGCCATGGCAGTGGCCATCATTTTACGAGATTGAGGAGCAGGCTGCCCGTCCACCTGGTGACTTCGACCCCAACCAGGACTTCGACCCCAACCAAGCATTCAACGAAGCTTGGGAGCCAATAAATTTCAGCTCTAATAGCTTTAGCAGTGCCGAGACTGCGTTCTTTGACACGGCCGACACTGATCAGGAGATGCTTTCAGAATGGAAGACCGACCTTTCCCAGCATGATGATACCGGCCTTGCAACAGCTGGAATCCCTGAAACTGAGGATCTGTCCAATGACGAATGGGCGCAGTTTTTCAACAGGGGCCTTGTCCAGGAGTTTTCTGACCTTTGATACGTTTTTCTGAGCTTGATTTTTTTCGATACGATGTATCATTATTCTACACTATTTCTTTTTCAGGGATACAGATTGGAATCATGCTTGTGTCTACAACTTACGAGATATGGGATAAGATTTTATGGAGTCATGGCGTTTTTGTTTCGCTTGCTTTTCATCAAACAACAAGAAAAACTGAAAACCAAAAAGAAAGGAAAAGGAAAAAGGGACCAAAAAAATGTTCTTTCTGGGTGTTTGCAACGATCGATGGAAAACCAATTTGCTTCTTTGCTTCTTTGCTTCTTTGTTTCTCTGAATTTTTTCGTCTTTGCTTTTTTTCGTCTTTGCTTTACATGGACGTCGGCATGCAAAGAAGCTCAAGGGTTTTTCCTCCCCTGGCTCCCCGGGAGCACTTTTTCCCTTTGGGTGCAAGGAGCTGTCAGACTGATTCATAAATTCTGGGTATGGTATTAGTTAGGTATAGTTAGGAACTCAAACTATAGACAAATATAAGTTGAGTACCTGTTAATTCTGATGAAGAGCCTTAATTCTGAGTGACTGCACATATGAAGAGCGTAGATTGCTACTGACTGGCTAAGGATTTTGGAAGGGAAGGGTTGCATAGACGCTAGTTGTATTATATGCATCTAGCATTCCGGCCATAGCTCAATAATGCAGCTACTAGTAGTCTACAGGTACATATAAATTTTTCATTAGTACTATTCACATTTCAAAATAGTAACAGTAGCAGTATCTGTATAGCTAGTGCGCTGGATAGGTTATCAAGCAAAGCTGCGAAGCGGCTCTGCGAAGGTGACAACCTGAGAGAAATATGCATGTAGTTTCTAGATTTGCTTCTTCATAAGGAAAAACAACTACACCGCCACGGGTAATCACTGGCCACAGGAGAAAGACTAAGTGGCAATTGGTAGGCCTAGATTTTTTGAGTTGTGCTGATCATGACCGCCTGCGATGTAGGTACCGTGAAAATTGATTTCAGTCGTGCAGTCGTGCAAACAGACAATATCAAAGCGCGTTGCAACGGGTCATGTGTGTAAACTCATGTGCAGTATGTATAAGTAAGTAGAATGAAAAATACGTTGTCTAGAAATAAGATATTCAGACTATCTATACATATACAACATGGCCTATATGAAGCACTGCAAACGCCCCCATAGGGTGAAAACAACACACCTTTGATCAGACTAGGTGGCCTCGAACAATCCTGTTGACATTGATCAAAAACGGCTGACTATGACCAGCCCAGGCGGTTTGGGTCAGACCGGGGTAGTAGTGATGGACAATTACGAGTGAAGGTAGGGTAGTAAACTGGTAGTTGCTTTGAAAAGCTTCGAGTGTTGGTTGACGCTGACTTGGATACATGCAAGCGTTGCCTGATGTAGGTGGCCTTGGACGATTCCAGGGAAGTTGCACGAGCTGGAGAAGCTAGACGAGCTCCTCCGAGGAGCTGAGGATCTTGAGAGGCGACAACAGCGGATCAAACGATGAAGCCGGAATCTCGGGCGCACCGAATGGCTGTCCGAATGACTGGACCATTTGGAAGCAATCATCAAGAGCGTTGGCCGTGAAGGAGATTCCACCACTACGGAAAAGGTTTTTTTTTTTTTGCTTTTGAAACGGTCTTGCTCTTGTTTTGTCCAGAGCGAGTGACGGATGGCTTCGATTGACGACGGTGATTGGAACGATCGGATGCGGAAGTTTGGAATATCACTTTTGGCCCGCGCCCTGATTGGTTATATTGAAAGCAACCCCGCTTTTCCGATCGAGTCTCGGACGAAATCGCAAGCAACCCGATCTCAGCCAAACGAAGCGGCCGCTTGTCTATATATATATGCACAGGTAGCAGCTTCATGCAGCCATTGCCAAAATGCCACGCGCGGCTCTTGCTAGTGTGAAGCTACACGACTCGATTCGCAAACAGCTTTCACAGCATCTCCAGACTTTGCATTGATACATCGCATCCATGGAAAAGTACGCGGCCACCAACATCGCCATGCCGGCGCTGCAGATGCCCGTCTTCAGGGACGACGACACCAAGTGGCAGGCCGTGCAGTCGCGCGATCCGGGCGCCGACGGCTTCTTCGTCTACGGTGTGCGCACCACCAAGGTCTTTTGCCGCCCAACGTGCAAGGCCAGGCTGGCACGCCGGGCCAACGTGCGCTTCTACGCCACCGGCGACGAGGCCAAGAAGAATGGCTTCCGCGCCTGCAAGCGCTGCAAGCCCGAGGTGCTGGGCCTGATGCCGGAGGAGGCGGCCGTGCAGAAGATCCGGGCCTTTGTGCGCGACCACCAGCCCGCTGCCGGCGCGGACCGGGGCTCGGGCGAGACGCAGAGCCTGAGTCAGATGGCCAAGAAGACGGGCCTGTCCAAGTGGCACTTCCACCGCGTCTTCAAGAAGTGCGTGGGCGTCACGCCGGTCGAGTACCTCAAGAGACTGCGCGACGGCCCTGCTGGCTGGAGTCCCGAGATTGAGAGCGACGGGCTGAGCTGGACCGACCAGCTGGACCTGACCGGCCTGGACATGGATTTCGACTTTGACTTTGGGTTCCTCAACGATCCTCTTCTTGTCGCCGACCAAAACACAAGCACGCAGAGCTCATCAACCTCGACAACAGTCTCACAAAGTGACTGCTCACCCTTGACCTTTGACGATCTCCTGGTCTGGCCCGAGAGCAACACAACCGAGTAATGCCTTGCAGGCATCACCTACCACTTACAGCGAGCACCAGTCATGGAAGTGAACATGTACGTCATAGGCAAGCTCCTCTCTACACCAAGGTTAAAAAAGAAAGGCAAACAAGGCCTGCAGCCAAATCCTCGGAGCTGCGAAATGTCGACAGTCTGCTGACACTCCCGGAACAGGACGAGCGCATATAAGAGTCGATATTTCGGGGTTCGGCGAATTCGAGCCATACAAAACTCACCTCACTTCTCCGGTGGCAACTGATGACATTTGACCCAAACCACAATTCGACGCTGCAGCCTTGCGACGGCAAATTTGCCGCTCGGTCTACGAAGGAATTAACCCAAACCTGCTTCTATTAAAATCCTCTATATGAAGAAGGGGGGGTTGAAAAGGAGGGAAATGAAGAGAATCTAGAATTTCGGGTTTCAAGGACTTCTCGGACTATTGCTGGCTCTTGCAGCTGCTTTTCGCGCTACATCATCGCTACGCACTCGGAGGGTACAAAGGTACCTCGTCCGCACTTCCACATCGGGCAATCGGTTACTCGGCGCTGACTAACCCCGCGCCTCCCATTGGCTCGTCACCCTTGCTGGGAATCCCATCTCGCTACGCCTGTCAATTGAGCTTGGATCACTTGTGCAGCTCTTTACTGCAATCCGAAAAGCCAAATCCCAGCCCGCTCGACGCCTTTTTTTGGAGCTCCGACGTGTCTATTTCTAATTGCAACGTCACCGATTGGCTCGGCTTGTTTTGCGGAGTCTGAGAGGAGAGGGAGGTCCATAAATACGCAACTCCCGATCTGAGGGAGCTGTTGGGCCACTTACACGCACGGCTGGATCTCACGGAAAAAACTAGATCTCATGATAATAATAAATATCTCCTGCTTCCGTGCACACACACCCAATCCTGATCCTGATTTACATTATCTCTCGCCTACATCACTATAAAGCCACCAAGGCTTCGATTTCTTCCATTCACCATCACAACCATTCACACCAACAACTCACCATCAACAAGCCTCTCTATTATTCATCACCGTACAAAGCTCACAAAACAACATGTCTCAACCACCATCAGAATCAACCCCTCTCATACCCGCAGAGCCCGCCATAGAGCGCCCCTGGGACTCCAAATACCTCCCCCAAGCCGACGACTCCTCACTATCTTCTTCCTCCTCCGTCTCCTCCAGCATGGACCTCACAGACGTCCTCCGCGACGTCATCATCGGCTTCTCAGACGGCCTCACCGTGCCCTTCGCCCTCACGGCCGGCCTCTCCAGCCTCGGCAGCACAAAGCTCGTCATCATGGGCGGCCTGGCCGAGCTCTTCTCCGGCATGATCAGCATGGGCCTGGGCGCCTACCTCGCCGCCGTCACCGAGCGCGATCACTATGAGTCCGAGGAGCAGCGCGAGACCAAGCAAGTCGACTGCTGCCTCCCGCAAGAGCAGCGCGACGACATCTTTTGCATCCTGGAAAAGTACAACGTCTCTCGTGCGGCGGCGGCCCCCCTGGTCGACGAGCTCTGCAAGAACCGCGAGCAGTGGATCCGTTTCCGCATGGACTTTTCATTACGGCTCGAGAAGCCAAACATTCACCGCGCGTGGATTTCCGGCGTCACCATGGGGCTCAGCTACTTCGTTGGCGGTTTGATACCCATGATCCCGTACTTCATCATGGACAAGGTCGCCGATGCCCTTCTCGTCTCCATTGCCGTCACGGTCATCATCCTGCTGAGTTTCGGATACGTCAAGAACTACGTTGCGATTAGGAATCACAGAGCTGGTTTGTGGGGTGCCATCCAGACACTCATCATCGGCGTGCTGGCCGCGGGGACGAGCTACATCCTTGTAAAAGCGCTGGACAGGGGTGACGTATGAATACTGTCTCTACAGAATTATTTTGTATCAATCTGTTTCTGAATATGCATAAATCACGGCGTTGGGAATTTTGTGAGCGCGTGAAGATAACAGGAATATTTATCACGCAGGCGTTATTGGAATGGCAAGTACACAGTACTTTGAGATATCTCAGGCAATTGAGATGGTGGAACGACATTAGCATGAATAACGATAACTCTACTTTTTGTAATCAAAAGCATTTACTATTCAGATCATGAATCATATTATGATAACATAGTCGCTATGTAATGTTCGTAAACAGTGTCGCTAGTAAAACAAAAATATGACAACGTCCACGCTATAGCTTCCATCTTAGAAAAAAGCCCATCCGGTTGAGAGAAAGAAGAACGCAGGATTATATCCGGATGCCTAACAACTTCGCCAAAGTACGCCATGTGCAAGACTTCTCCGCAGCAACGCCAGCACAACAGCTTTCCCAAGAACTACCAAGCTTTTCAACAAAGAACAGCAAAAATTTTCACGCGTCTCTAGCAACAACGTCCTCTGATATTGAATCTGAATCTGAATCCGGTTCCAGTACCCATGGTTCCTCAGGAGTGTTCCCGTTGGTCCAGACACCATCTAGCGAGTAGAACTCATCGTCGCTAGACTCGTCAGCGACGTTTCCGTCTCTGTGGGGATTATCACCAGCTGGCCTAGAGAAAGTGATTAGCCAAACAATGCCCAACAGACAAAGTATACACAAAAGCAGAGAGGACAGTAGAAGAGAAGAATCAAGAAGAAAGGGGCACATACTCTTCTCTCGCGAGGTACATGGTCAGCATCACCAGCAGGACCACGAACTCCCAGAATCCCCCATACGTGCTCACAACATGAGCCAAGGACCTCGCCAGTTGATTGAGAGAGCTGAACGCAAAACGCCCAACCTCAAGTGCAAAGACTCTAATGGCCAGATGGAAAGCCTCAGTGGCCCTCGGTGCTCTCCGTGCGACCGCCCGTCCGATCCAATATCCGAGACAGAATCCCAACGACAAAAGCCAAACCCAAAATTTGAAGTTGCTCAGGGGAGGTAAGCGCTGTACCCGAGGCTCTTGAATGTGCTCTACTTGAGGCTCTGGCAATTGCTCTCTGGGAGGCTCTGACAATTGCTCTCTGTGAGGCTCCGGAAAGCGCTCTACTTGAGGCTCCTGGCGGAACGGTTGTGGCAAGTCAGTTTGATTTTCCTTGTACATGTTGTCAATAGTCTCCTGAACAGCCTCGCGGCTCCTTTCTCTTTCTCGTTCTTCTCGCTGTTCTTCTCGCCGTTCTTCTCGTCGTCCTCGTTCTGCTCGCCGTTCTTGCCATTGCCGTTGGTCTCGCTGTTCTCGTCGCCGGCGTTGTACTCGTTGCCGTGGCAGATGCTCCTGCAACTGCAGCTTTTGTTGCTTTTGCTGCCTGCTTCCTTTTCTTTGCGACCTGTGAGACATGTTCGCGCTGTGGTTATGCCCGTGGTTTTTGGTTATCAGATTGTAGGATACGGAGATTCAGGCTGGTTTAGTGGTAGTGCTATGACGTTGGAGATAACAGGATGTATGATATGAAATACAGGCTGATAAACCAGTTCAAGCGAGCGTAAAAAGCTGTTTAGAGATGGCTATGTTTTCATCAAGTTCTGAGTTTGAACGGCGTTTATTTATATATGGTTTCCCCTGGGCTTTCCTCACTTTGTAACTAGGCAGCGGGTTGCACATGCTATTCCAATCTTCTTTTTTTTTTAAATCTAATTCTCGGTTATTTTAACTTTTGTTTATTTATGTATACGCTAATCCCTCTTTTCAATTTCGCTGTCATTGTCAACTCGTAATATACAATTATAAAGCCATCCCAGCCAAGGCGCCTCCGTAGAGAAATATCAACATCGGGGCAGCTTGAATGACGTAGTTACAGCGTGTCTCTAGGGAATGCAAAAGTCTATCCAGCTGCCAAGGTAGTCCAGTCTGTTACCCTGGTGCTCTTGATTCTTGTAAATATCTTCAAACTCGGCAAAGTTGAGCCTGCCCCAGCCTCCCCGCTCGGCTGCCTGTTGCTCAGCCACGTTCAACTTCTTCCACCTTCGTAGGGTTTTGAGCGACGGTTCGCTGGATGCCTTTTTAGTCGCCGCTTTATGTGTATCTGCCTGGGTCTCATCTTTAGAGAGTACCTTGGCCTTGCGTTTGGACGAGGCTGGTGGCTGACTTGTTGGGGAGACAAAGGCATTACTGTTAGGACGAAACTGTGGCCAAGTAAGATCACGGTATTCGCCTTCGCCGTCAGCTTCAAGCTCTGCCTCGGACTCGTATTCGCTTTCCTCCTGTTCCGACGAGCGCCCACCGGCCTGTTCATCTCGTAAAATCTCTTCCACAATGCTAATCTCCACCGCATTCCGCGACTCTTGCTGGTCAAGCATGTATCCAGATTCCTCCAAGAGTTCCTCGAGAGTCTTGCTTCGAGGAGACGCTTCTGTGTAAACTGGAACTTCTTCTTGCTGACCGTTACCGTTATCTGCCTTTTCATCTGCCATGCTGACAGAGTCGATTGCGTCTTTGTACTTTAGCCGTTGTGCCTTGGTTGCGGCTGCCTGAACCGCAAGATCTTCGGCATGCTTGAAGATGATATCCAAAAGTTCGTTGAATGCTTGCTGTGTAACTTGGTAAAGAATCTCTTTGCCGGCATCTTTCTCGGCAACAGGGATTCCCAGCCCCGCCCAACGTTCGGGCTGGCTTGTGAATGACGTCGAGCTATTGGACCGAGTCTCCAAATCATTCATGTCATCGGCAAAGTCGGCCTTGGAACTGGATCGGGAGTGTGTTGACGCATGGTGCGGACTGGCGCCCTTGGAACTTTCGCCCATGATGCCAGATGTCCCAAGGATGTCCTCTTCATCTTCCCATTGCGAGGGCGCCTCTCCGCCTTCTTCTTCATCCAGGTAGAAATGTCTTCTCTTCCACCTTTCGTGAAGCTGTCGTCGGGCCAGATCTTGGCGTCTTCGATTCATTCGGGGACCATGTAGGCGATAATGGGCGACGTAGCTTGCCCTGATTTCGCTCTCCGTCGGGAATCTACCAGTGCGGAAAATGCTAGAGAAGGAGTCATGCCGCTGTGATCCGGAGTAGTCGGGATGGTCACGGTCGTGATCTTCGTCTCCGTCCTTGTCATCCGTTTCGCCATCCTCAGATGTTTCGTCTGTTGCATTATCGTCGGCCTCGTTGTTTCCCACGATAGCGGCAGGTAGTTCATCCAGAGAAGCAGGTGGGTTCATCAGAGACAGAAAATATGATCGGTCAACATCATTCGTCGTCAGGGTGCGGACGGTGCGCCAGTTGGTGTCAACGTCATCTGTAGGGGGCATCCTGCGTCTAGAGTACGGGTCGGTGTCATAGGCATAGAGGTCGGTCAGAATTTCGTCTCGAGCAGCTGTGTCGCTCGCGTCGCTCACAACAGCATCTTCCATTCCGACTTCTATCTCAACATGTCCATCAGGGAAGACTCTCTTGCCGTCAAATGCCAAGGGTCCGTCCGCAGTTGGAACTCTACCCTCTCGTCCAAAAAGACTACTTAACGGCTGACGACTAGCGACGAGCTGTTGAGCCTCGGAGCTAGCGAGCAATTGGTCTTCGAGGCCATCCAGGATATCTTTGTGCATTTGCTTATAAAGGACATAATAGGCTCGAAACATGCGTAGGAAATCACGCCTATCGACGTAACCATCATTGTCAAGATCGTAACCGTCAAAGACTTTCTTGAGTTTATCTTTTCGCTTGCGGTAGGATAGACCTCGTAAGAACTCGGCAAATCCAATCAAGTCATCTTTGTTGTCATCATAAAAGGCAAACATCCGGTCGTGAATCAAGTTTGGCGAAGCATGTCGTGAGCCGCCTGTCGGTACGAGGCACCGCTCAAACGTCTTGCGATCCATGGCAATGCCGAGGTCATTGGGGTCGTCTCTCCATTCAGTATTTGCCATAAACGTCCATTGTTCCCAGAAAGCTTCCAATTCCGGCCGTTCAAACCCAGTTTCCCTCGAAAGCTTGGCAATCAAGTTTCGAGGCAGATTGCGTCGACAGCTATCGGGGTCTCCAGTATACCAGACCGGCTGCATCTGTCGCGGGCCGAATGGGGGTGCCGGTATGCGAATCTTGTAGAAGATGTGCGTCTTGATATGGACTCCTTGTGATTCACATGTCTCGCACAGATCAAAGTCGGCACAGTTGGCACAGCGGTAGCGAACGCCACGGATAGGAACCATGCCGCATGAGTTACATTGGCATCCTCTGTGGACGCAGCCATTGCGCTTTGCATTGTCTTCCGAGACGCGAAACAGGAGGGAAACAATATTGTGGCCAGCTCGTTGTTGGGGAGGATAATTATTCGGATCGTTCCACCATTCGTCATTGTTTGCCTCTATCGGTTCGCCTTCGCCCACCGGCTGGGCGGGCTGGACACCGTTGTCCTCGGCGTTCTCGGCATTTTCCACGTTCTCATCGCCAGGTGCGTCCGAAGAAGAGGTGCTCGAGCTAGCTCTATGTCCGGCGCGCGACCATCGTCTGCTTCGACGGACGGCGTTGCTTCTGTGAAGGCCGGCGCCGGGCAGAACGTCGACGTGCGAGTTGAAGCGGCTCTGGTAGGCGTAGTATCCAATCGAAGCTGTGGCAATGGCTGAAACGAGAGCGACGGCGATTCGCGGCCGAGTGAGAGACTCGGCCGATGGAGTCGAAAGCCACATGGCTATTGTTGTCGCATCGTGCGTGCTTCGCTATAGCAGATGTCGAAGGTCGAAGAGCTGGTCGGCGGGCTGTCTGCTGGAGACCGATCGGCTTGTTGGGCGTTGGCGCGATGGTATATCAACCGATGGCCTATCGACGTTGCTCTGCTGAAATCACTTGCACCGTGTTACTGGCGTGTTACTGGCGTGTTACTGGCGTGTTACTGGCGTGTTATTGCTTGGAGCTCTCGCGAGCAGATGCTGTTTTCTTCAGAGTTTTGGTGTACGACGCAGAAAGAAGCTCCCTCTTAGAAATCACAGCTCGGCCACCGCAGCACATGCTGGCTTACAAGCAGCAGAGGTATCTTTCCCAGCAGCAGCTCGCCGCGCCAGTACTCCATTTTTGCGTACCGCTAGCACCCTCTAGAGGTAGCCGGCGGCAGCCCTGGAGCAGGAGCTAAGTTGATTACATACAGCTGTTGGCGGGGCCAGTGCCGGCATCCCGCCTATCAACGCAGCGGCGCCACCATCCGATGAAGTGATGTAAGTGGAGGCTGCCAATCGTTGCGTTTTCAGAGTCGTGTGGTCATGGCCAAAAGTCTATTTCCAGCTTCAAGACGTTATATATGAATCTTCATCCCACGGCTGCTGCGTTTCAGAAGCTCTTTAGTTCAATCCACCTCGCCTTCACATTCTAACCAGTCGAACAATTTCTCCCATCATGGCAGACCGGCCGCCGGAATTCACTGGGCAATTTCCCTCGTCTTTTGACGACGAGTATGTCTTGTCTTGTCCCATTGCTTGCTCCAGAGGTCCATGATGCGGCTCTAACGCAAAGCTACAGGGAGGCCTACAATGAGAAGCCTATGCATAAAATCAAGCGCAAGCTCAAGGAGGAGCCTCTTGTGCCTCTTGGTGAGACTCAAATCCCTTTCCTGCGCCCAGACCCAGACAGCTAACCACCGAGCAACAGGAATCGGTCTGACCGTCTTCGCCTTCGTCAATGCCTACCGCGCCCTCCGGAAAGGCGATTCCAGACAAGCAAACAAGATGTTCCGCGCCCGTATCGCCGCCCAGGGCTTCACCGTCGTCGCCATGGTCGCCGGAAGCATGTACTACAGCAAGGACCGTGAAAAGACCAAGGAGCTGCGCAAGCTCAAGGACGAGCGAGATGCGGAGGAGAAGCGCCAGAAATGGATCCGAGAGCTTGAAGCTCGTGACGAGGAAGACAAGGCCATGAGGGCGCTGATTCAAAAGAAACAATCCAATCTTGCGACAAGCCAGTCAGATTCGGCCTCCAGCGGAGAGGAGACGCAAGGCACCGGCGGGATCCTGGGCAAGATGGGGCTGTGGCCAAAGGGCGAGAAGGCTGCGGCGGAGGCCGCAAAGGCTGAAGCGGCTGTAGAACCTACATCGGAGAAGAAGTCGAGAAGAGAGAACCCAAAGAGCTCTCTTGGCGCGCTGAGTGAAATCTACGGTAAGAAAGACGATGAATCCAAGAAATAAATATAAACAGGCGAAACCGACCCAGCCAGATGGGTTACTAAACGACTGAAAAGCGCTGTACAAAATACGTTGTCAAAAAATTGTATGAGCATGTACGATAGGTAGTTCGAATCAAGGGCATTGACCATAAGCCGCTCCCTACTCTGAGGATAATCCCAATTGTTAACGAGGAAGCAGCTATAATGAGCTGCACCAGATACCATTCGCGGTAATCTATATAATGCCGATTGCTTCTATAACATACCCAAAATGATACCTATGTTATAATACTAATAACAACTGTGTTGTAACAAAGAGTGGTTCAAGGAGGCCTTCAGCAACGAGATGGGATTGGAATCCCGTCGTGCCATTGTTAACCCATTGAGCCACCGCTGCGATTTCCCCCTACTAGGCCAGCCATTTCCAGCAGAGCTCTATCTGCATCGATATCTCCCGTTCCTAGGTTAACTCTCCGGCGGGCTTCAGCTTCTCGCTCTTCCCAAGCCCATCGCTCTGCTTGCGCCTTGGCCTCATCGTCGCCACCACAGCCCCAGACCTCCAAGCTCTCAATGCGGAATCGATCTTGGAAGTCGTACTTTCTTATAATGCTAGTATGAAAAGCACCTCCTCTTGACTTGTAGTCATGGTTGAACACTCCAAACTCAAAGGATTCGTCAAATAGTAAAGAAACGGCCCCCAAGGCATGCAGGCCTTGTTTCCGATGTGACTGTGTTGGCTTGGGATGTGGACAGCCAAATGAGAGACAGGGTCGGTTTCCAGGAGGCTTTGTAAAAGTAACATAGTCCGTGTTGATGGTGCTGGCGGTAAAGACGTCGTGGATTGGTTCCAGTTGGAAGAGGACTGTTTCAGAATCGCCAAAGCACTCTCGATGGGTGTGCTTCCATGGCTCTCTGATGTAAGCTCCAAATGTCACTCGCTCGGATTTGCTGCCGTGGGGGACGCGTTTCGGTGGAAGCGAGGCAGCAAATGAAGCTTCCTGGCCACCATCGGGGGTATCTTCTAATCTTGTTCCGCTCACCAAAAGGATTGTTGGCGCTCTCCAGTTGAATATCTTTGACTCAAGGCTCCCCATGGAAAACCCGGCCTCATTGCCAGAATACAGCAATCTCACTCTTCGAAATAATGAAGACCCAGGGAGAAATAGTGAAAGCTGCGACAGCGTGTGTTCGTTTAGGATGTCGCCGGGGGTCGGTAATAAAGGCTGTGCTATCTTGCCAATATGCTGTGGCTCGCGGGGCTGATTGTCCTTGCGCTTCGAAAAATCGAGCTCCTTGGAGAAAAGGAAGTGCTCAAAGAGTCCATTGAATCCAGAAAAGAGATTGGGAAACAGGGCCGGGATGACTGTTTTGAATCGAGTATATCTAATACCTGGAGAGGTTTCAACATTAACAAAGGCAGCTAGGACACACTCTGCTGTGGCTCGGAGTAGCTCCAACTCTTGATCCGCGACTCGGGTGGAATATTGCGACAAGCTCTCCTGAGGATCCAGAGGGGCAGCTAATAGTAACAGCATTATCAGTTTCCGGAAGTTATCCGTTGGAATAATCGCTTCGTGAATAGTAGAGACGTCGCCTCGCTTGACCGCCTCGTTGACATTGAGCAACTCAAACGCCGTGAGAACTAGGTCATCATCATCCTCTTCGTCCTCGTCTTCATCGCCCAGGCCAGGCTGATCGACTGCAAACCCTTGGGATTGGGATTGAGCACTAGGTTGCTTCCTCGCGCTGTCAGAGGAGGGAGAATCCTGCTCATTGGTCTCAGCCTCCATCACTTTCCGGTCATAAACCGCTAAACTTTTGAAGAGAAGCTTTGTTCTGTCTGTTGACCCCTTGGCAAGGACGCGTTTATACCGTTCCGTCATGATGACAACGACCATTATCAGCTGCGCAAGCTCCAGTACCACCGGCGCCTCTTGCAGGAAGGGGAAAGCACCAAGATATGAAACCATGTGGAAAACTACAGGCGATGCTCCAAGAATGTCTGGGATCTCCAAGAAGCGAGCTATGGTGTCTTCCTTAAGGTACCGAATGTCTCCCTGCTGGTCCGCCAGGCTCTTGAACACATCCTTCAGCGAGTAATACTCAATCGACGTAAAGCACTTTTCTTTGAATCTGTATGCCTAACACGAAGGATTAGCGACACATGCTTATCGGGAATACTGGGCGTTGTGAGGCTCACGAGCTCGTGTGTCAGTTGCTCATGGGTTCGTCGAGCCCTGCGATCCTGGGAAGGAGCTTGGCCCATTGCGAAGTAGTGATAAGAATTAACAAATGCTCATTTATTTCAGTTTCAGCGCAGGGTATCACAAATACAGTAACAAGAATATTCAATTGGAGAAGGGAGAGAATAAGTATGCTAGAGCTACATTAAGTGAAAGGCTATTGGGCAAATAGAGTTGTTGAGACGATGGATCAATGATGGTTTTGAGTTTCCAGCCCACCCAAGGCTGCCTAGCCCCTTGGTATAAACGTCACCGTGAAGTGCTGAGTCAGCGAGAAATGTCCATCTACACACAGGTAAAAGAAGCATCAGGCTTGAGAACATAAGTAGGTACATATATTGCGTGAACTCAAAGACACTATTAGTACTTTCATTTAACTCTCTAACAATTTTCTCACCTAGTATGTCTATTCATTAGAGAGTGAGGCGCATACATTCTCGCATCCCACCATTTACGCAGGGCATAGTCTACTAGCAAATAGTGCACTGCCTCTTAAGCAAAATAACTTCGGCCCTCTGCAACTAGAACCAGCCACCCTACACAGGCGCCCAAACGCCTGGTACATCTTCCGTAGTATAGTGGTCAGTATGCAAGCTTGTCACGCTTGAGACCCGGGTTCAATTCCCGGCGGGAGAGATCCGCCACACCTCAGCAGAGGTGGTTCTATTTTTGCTCTTCAATTCTGCTGCATTTCAACTATTCTGGTCTTTTTGATCTTTTTCTTCCTTTAATTGATTTCATTTTCATGTCTCATCGTTAATAGTCGGTAAAGACTGCGTCGTGTAGCCTTGGAGCCCAATGCGCCTCATTTATTCAAAAGGAAAAAAAAAAAAAAAAAAAAAACATCCCATAAACCTAAAAGTAAAACAAGGGTTAAAAAGCCCAGCTGTGCAAAGTGTCCTGCAGCTGCCGTGTATTGAGACGTCCTAACAATAATATTCCATTTCATCCATTACCCAATACCATTACTCCAAACCCCTTAGTCCCGCTCCATGAAATGCACATCTCTGTGAAGCACGTAAGTAACAAAAAACCAGTTTTAGCCGTACAAAGCGTCGCCGACACTCTATGTCATCAAAACGAAAACAATCTCTAAGCATCTTTCGCCGTCACTGATTGAATGAGGCGCTTGTATTTGGCTTCGTTCTCCTCCTCTGGATCATGTGGTTTGAAAAACTTCAACTGTTTGGCAGGGTTAGCTGTCTTTGCCCACAGAACCGAAGGTTTCACCCCCACGGGCTGATCAGAGTCCGTCTCGACCTTGAGCGTAGCCCCGTTGGCCTTGGGCTCTTCAGGTGCCCCGTTTGCCTTTTCATCTTTAGAGACCCTTGGCAATTGCATTGCCAGGAGCACATATTCGGCTCGTGTCATGTTGTCCATCACGTCATCCATATAACGCCGTACCTCATCTTGAGGCGCCACTACTCGCATCAGATTCTCTAGATAGCGGCCAGTGCTTGTAGAAATGCGGATTGTGACGGGCTGATAGTAGTCCAGCTCGGGGTCTCCTCCATACTCGGACATGCTGCCCTTGCGCACGATGAGGAAGGACGCAACCACCTCCTGGCCGGATGGGGTGGGAAGATACTCCAGGATGCTGAATTTAGGAAACAAGTAACGATCCCCGTTTCCAAAATCAAACACCACGGCAGAAATATCGGGTTTCGGTGCAGGGGGAGGCCCCTTTGAACGTAGCGCTTGGGGATTTGCCTGCTGAGGCGTTGGGGGGTTCGAAGTCCTTGCTTGGCCATTGAGAGCATCGCCAGGCTGCTGCTTTGCAGAGACAGGGGTAGACAGCGTCTGCGGCGCAGGCTTTGCTTCTCTGTGAAGGCGGTCAAGAATTTCCTTGAGGTCGGTCGCATCCGTAAAACCAGGGGTGCCTCCCGCGATACGCCGAATCATGTCGTTAGTCTTGGGGTCTTCCAAGGCCGTCTTTACGAGCATTACCACGAGGGGGTCGCTCCTTGGCGGTGGTCTCAACTCGCTTGACCTCTGACGAGGGTTGGACGCTAGGACAATGTCAAGAATAGTCCGCACTTCGTCTGCAAAGTACTTGACGGTTCTTCCATCCACAAGCAGCCTGTCGGCCGAAGGACCCTGCTGTCCACCACTCCGACGATACTCGGCATTCAGTTGATCAATGATCTTCTGGAAACGATCAAGTTCTCCTTGCCTAGCCTGGCCCACGGCCACTCTTTTCATCAGGTCACGCAGCTCAGGGTCCCCCGAGGCCTTTTGCGCAAGCAGGGCAATGACCGGGTCGTTGGGAACAGGTTTTGCATTGGGTGGTCGTGGATTATTGGCCGGTATAATTAGCGGCGGAGGCGGAGGCGGCCTTGCCAACGGTGTGCGAGCTTGCTGCTGCTGTGCCGGCCCGGGATTCGCGGGCGGTTGAGGCGCCTGAGGTGGTCGAGCAAGGGGCAGCGGTGCAGCTGCCGGAGGAGGCTGTGGAGTTGCAGGAGGAGGCGCAGCGGGCTGTTGCGCAGAAAATGCTGGGCCTGGCGATGGTGACGTGGCTACATTGATCGTCGTGAGCGGCGATGGTGTCGGCTGAGGTGCTGAAACGCTCGGTGACGGTGGCGGTGGTCGTTGAGAAGGACTTGGAGCAGCACTCGGGGTAGCAGCAGGCTTTGGCGTGGTAGCTGCAATTGGAGTTTGGCTTGGTGTCGACGATCCAGGCCCAGGCGGGGGCGGCATAGAGCCATTTGGAGGGCCATACTGGAGAACTGGTCGGGCCAACGGTTGTGGTTGCGATTGAGCTTGTGTTTGAGTCACTGGCGGCGGTTTTGAAATCTGCTGCGGTGGTCGAGGTGGGGGAGCACGCTTGGCTTCCTTGACGACGAACATGGTGGCTTCGACTATATGAGGCTCAATAGTAATGGTAACTGAGCCGACTTTGGTCATGCTGTCCTTGGGAGGATTTTTTGGGTCCTCGTTAACGACACCCTTGCGCTTGTGAGGCTTGGTCCAAAACTTTTCAAAGAGTCCATCGTTGATCCATCGATATCGAGACCGAGAAAGAGATTCTGCGAGAACGCCGCTGGATTGAGATTGTCAGAGAAAGCAAGCACAATGGCAACTTGACGATTCGCCGTCGACATACCTTTCTAGAACGGATTGATAGTCTTTGGCAGACAGGTCGCCGGGCTGCGCGCTCTCTACGGTTGGCAGCGGCTTTCCTGGCTGGATCGAGGTCGGCAGCGGCGGCGGCGGCGGCGTTGGCTCTTTGACCACGACGGGCTCTGGCTCTGGAGGAGGAGGAGGAGGAGCTGGAGTGACGGATCGTTCCTGACGGGGCGTCAAATTCCGACGTTTGTTGGCGTTTTCAACGCGGGCCGAAGTCCTCGCGGGGAGCTTCCGCTTCCTCTCCATCGCGTCTCGAGGCGATTTACACGACTGCGACAGGCGAAGATTTGGCGGCGGGTCAGCATCATAGGAGCGCCATGCGAGGGTCCAGCAAGGGCGACGAGCAGAGGCCCAGCTACCGGCAGGACAATAGCAGGAGAGGGCAGAGGGCAGAGGGCAGAGGGCAGAGGGCTGTGACGATGCAGAGTGACGAGCAGCGATAAAATACTGGGCGATGTGCAGTCGGCTCTGGCTGGTCCAAATCCTGGAAGCTGCCGTTAATTGGCAACTACTAGGGGTGGATTGCGGTGCTGCAGAACCCGATGGCACAGTGGTAGCCCCTGCTGATTGGTCCGCTAAAGGGACGGGGCTGGCCGGCAGCGCCATGGGATTGGCGGAGGCTGACGCACCGTCCCCTCTCCACCGTCCGGGTTCACAGTGCTTGATGCACGCCCGTAACCCAACCAGGTACAAAGCGCTGCCGCGAGTGCTAGGGCTCTTCGGGCCTTGGAGCCGCCTCCAAAGCTCGACTGCATGCGAGAAGAGACGTGCGTGCGGTGCTTCTCTCCCAACGGCCAGCAGGACTGTCTGAGGAATAGCGGGCACTCAGACTCTATGCCCTGAACGGTATACGAGTATATCTAGTTTGGAAAGCATCCAACTTATGTTTACTTTGAGTCGTGCCTAGTAGGCATGAGAGCCTCTCGATGTACATACATGCGGCATACCTATAGTACACTAGCAACAGCCAAAAGGCAGATCCTGCTGAGCCTCAAGCCTTCAGCCGCCAGTGCCCAACGTCTTGTCCGGATGCACTAACCTTCAGCACGCACATCCACATCCACATCCACCCATAGGTAAGGTAGATACTTTGCACATACAATCTAGCTACATGTCTCAAGAGAGCGGCAAATAGCGGACATATCATGCTTATAGCCGTGTAACATCGCTTCTAGCCTCCATCTCTGCTGCGGGCGTGGACTAGGACGGGCGAAACAAGAAGCAAAGGAATGCGGAAAAAGAAGGGTGAAAAGAATAGGATAAAGATAGCATGATAATATCATCTCAAGGCGAAAAAAATGATGCACTGGGAATCAATCAGATCCATGAGATCCTTCAGCATGCTGCTAGTATCTTCTGTAAATGCTAAATACCGACGGAGAGTAGGGAATACATCCATGAAGAAAAGGGTGTCGAGCCTGCATATGACCAGGCTGTAAAGGCGATAGCGCCCACACCTTGATCAAACGTATACGGCCGCGTCAAGTTGGCATAGAATTGGCGGCATAGAATTGGCGGCATAGAATTGGCAGCAAAGAGAGGATGCGCCAAGAAGGATGCCGCGCTGCTTTGGGAGAGCACGTCTTGAATTGGCGCTGCCCATCTCCGGCAGAGTTTCCCGAAAAAAAATGTTTCTGTCATACGGTGGGATAGGGAATATATGCTCCTCATCCTCTCACTGAGGATTGGAACATATATGCGCTTTAACGACGGGGCATCTCGAGCAATGACGATGATCCGCTTACGAAATCCCCCACCCGCCTAACCTGCTTCAACTACTCGCCTAAGCGTACAGGCTTCCAGTCCCGTCCTTGGACCTCAAACGCAAGGGATGCACCATTGCGTACGATAAAGATGGGCATTCCCTTGCATCCGATTCTCCGAGCATCTCTTTGGGTGGCCGCCGCGCCCTTGGCCTTCTACGTCGCTCTTATAGGGCTAGGCGTGGTTCCGTTCTTCCAAAGACAGTAAGTTCTATTGCAGCATTATTCCCCAGTGCTGCAGCCGTGTCTTACATGCGCATAGCTTCCTGTATGCTCATACCATCAATTCGCTCTGGTGGTCAGATATCAATGACCCAGAGGGCTGGGGATTTGCCAGTTCGTATCCCCTCATGCGTCATTATGAGACGCTGTCGCCTCTAACATTCACGTCGTGTACCCCAACAGAAAACCAAGTGACTCCGTTTCAGCTACAGACTCCTGATGGAGAGACGATCTACGCTTGGCATATTATGCCGCTGCCTCTCTATCTGCAGCACGAAGCCGCAGTAGCAACTCAAAAGATTGGCCTCTGTAACAATTTCACGCAGACCGAATCGTTCCGCCTGCTGGCAAACGATCCAGAGGCGAGACTCATCATATCATGTAAATACATCTCCTCTCCAATTTTAATCGGTAAACACTTGAACTAATTTGAAATTACGCAGTTCACGGGGTAAGCTAAGCATGAAGCCCCATCTTCTTCCAGACTATGAAATTCAGCTCCTAAGTGTAGAATGCTGGACACATCGCCCAAAACGAGCGGCCAAACAGCTACCATGCCTTGACTGATACCTCGTCGTATCACGTTTTGGCCGTTGACTACCGCGGTTTCGGCCATTCTACGGGCATGCCCAACGAAACTGGCCTAATTCTAGATGCTGCCACCGTTGTCGACTGGGTTATCAACGTGGCAAATATTCCTCCAAGCAGAATCGTCTTGCTGGGCCATAGTCTTGGAACTGCAGTTGCTAGTGGTGTTGCCGAGCGGTATGCTCTCCAAGGAGTTGAGTTTGCAGGCATCGTGCTGGTCGCGGCATTTAGCGACTTGGCCACTATGCTGAGTGGCTATCGCTTCGGAGGCCTTGTGCCTGCTCTCGGGCCATTCGCGATGTGGCCGACTTTCCAGCGACTTCTCGAAAGGTACATTGTTGACAAATGGCACTCGGCTAACAGACTTGCAAACATTGTGCGCCACACCAGAGGCAGGCTAAGGATTAGCTTGGTGCATGCATACAATGATAATGATATCCCGTGGACTGAGGACAACAAGCTGTTCCACGCCGCCGCGAACGAGACGATTGGTATTCTTGATGACGATGAATTCAACTCTTGGAAAGAGTCAAATACGGTTCGGACCAGTGAAAAATCATTCGTCACCACATGGAAAACGGGCGAAAATATAGTCATTCGTCAAGAGTTGTTCCCTTGGGGCGGTAAGTCTTTCCATCTCTAAAACCATGCCTCTTCTCCTTCTTCTAAATATCTGTACATTAAGGTCATAACGAGATTTTGAGCTTTGCGCCTGTCAGCTTGGCAATTATACGGTCATTTGACCTGGAAGGCACAGCGTACGATTAATAGCATAGAACCTAATTCAAGAGGTCAAAAAGAAAAACTCTTTCTTCCGTGACCAAGTTGAATCCAGCATGAACAAGCGCAAAAAAGAAACGTCCGACGGAGACAGGATTCGAACCTGCGAGGCCGAAACCATATGATTTCTAGTCATACCCATTAACCACTCTGGCACTCCGCCTATTGGATGTTGAGTGTTGTGAAGCGGAGCACAATAGGAATATACGCCAAAATCACAAAGGGGAAGCGAAGAAAGAATTTTACATAGAATATGTGCGCAAAAAAAGAAACTTCCGACGGAGACAGGATTCGAACCTGCGAGGCCGAAACCATATGATTTCTAGTCATACCCATTAACCACTCTGGCACTCCGCCTAATTGGATGTTGAATGCTGTCGCGCTATCTTCTGCTATACAGGCCTAGCGGGATTAAAGCAAATAGCTGCATTCCCATTCGCTTTAGGGTAGGAAACTGTATTTATTGAGACTGCCTATATCTCAGTCCTATTTTTAGCTAACGGGGAAAGAGAAGGCCGGATGTAACTTTTTGGATGCAGCTCTTTAGGGCCGTGAAATATGTGGTAGTGCTCAATGAGCTCAAGTGCGAAGTAGTGATTGGCTGTTTGCCACGGTGTCTGTAATTTGCTACATCTTGTAAAAGAGTTGGCCAAGTATAGCTCTGCAGGTGAATCACAGATAGATATCAGCTGCCATTGTTTAATGGCATAAAAATGAAATAAATATATTGATAAAGAGTAATTGATAATGCTACATGTGATGTCATAAAAACGAGCAAAACTGAAAGATCCAAGTATGCCCCAGGCAGCAACGGCTGTCCGAAGCAACCACATGGCATCTTCCAGCTCTATCGCCAACCCCACCACAGGTCGCAACCACACACGGCCATTTGGTTCCTGAACCCCACCACAGCGCATTGCAACCTGCAAACGCACGCGACGCAAGGAACAGAGAACAAAGGCCACCACCGCACAAATGCCTGCCGAGGAATCCAAACCGGTCGACCAGGCCGTCAACGAGGTCGACGCCGAAATCAAGGCTAAGCAGGCCGCGGCCGAATCCGAGGGCGAGGAGGACGATGAAGAAGTAGCTGGTGACGCTTCTGCCGCCGGCGGGGCTTCAGCCTCGGCCAGCAAGAAGAAGAAGAAGTCCAAGAAGAAGAAGCTCAAGGAGGCGCTGACAGGCAAGCCTGACGACGCAGAGGCCGATCTGAAGAAGGCCATCGGTGGCCTCACGCCGCAGCAGCTGCAGGAGCTGTTGGCGCTCAACCCTGCGCTCGCGGGGGAGCTGGCTCAAGCTTCCGGCAGCGCAAACCCTTCGCCCGACCAGATCTCGGACCTGCTCAAGAAGATGAACCTGCAGGACATCATGACGGGCCTTGCGGCGGCCGGCAAGAACGTCAAGGACATGGCCTCGTACAAGTTCTGGCAGACGCAGCCGGTGCCCAGATTTGGCGAGGACGACAAGGTGGTTGAGGAGGGACCGCTAAGGATTCAGACGGTCGACGATGTCTCCAAGGAGCCTGCGGCATTGGTTGACGGTTTTGAGTGGGTGACAATGGATCTGAACAATGATGAAGAGATCAAGGAGATCTATGAGCTGCTCAACGGACACTACGTCGAGGATGATGAAGCCATGTTCCGATTCAACTACGGACCTGGCATTCTGAAATGGTGAGCCAGCATTATATCCCGTGTCCACTAAACTCAGAGCCATGTCGTTGCTAATCATGATTTTACGGACATCAGGGCCATGATGCCTCCTGGCTGGGCCAAGCACTACCACGTTGGTGTCCGCGCCACTCAGTCCCGCAAGCTCGTCGCCTTCATCTCCGCCATCCCCGTGCGCGTACGAGTCCGCAACAAGACCATCACGGCCTCCGAGGTCAACTTCCTCTGCGTCCACAAGAAGCTTCGCGGCAAGCGCCTCGCCCCCGTCCTCATCAAGGAGATCACCCGCATCAGCAACATGCATGAGATTTGGCAGGGCTTGTACACGGCCGGCATCGTCCTCCCCAAGCCCGTCAGCACATGCCGCTACTACCACCGCTCGCTCAACTGGCAGAAGCTGTACGAGTGCAGCTTTGTGCACCTGCCGCATGGAAGCAAGCCCCAGTATCAGATCCGCAAGTATGCGGTCCCGGATCACACCAGCACCAAGGGCCTGCGTGAGATGAAGACGACGGATATCGATGCCGTTCTCAAGCTGATGGACAAGTACATGTCCCGATTCGACATTGCCCCTGAGATGTCCAAGGAGGAGGCAACTCACTGGTTCACCCCCACCCCTCAGCCTGGTCAGGATCAGTACATTTGGTCTTATGTCGTCGAGGTACGAAGAATTTTTCTTTTCTCTCCAAATCTTTGTACTCAACTCTACTAACATTCGCTCCTCAGGATGACAACAAGAACATTACCGACTTCTTCTCCTTCTACTGCATCGAGTCATCCGCCATCAACAACCCCAAGCACGACATCATCCGCGTCGCCTACCTCTTCTACTACGCCACCGACGTGGCCTTCAAGGAGCCCTTTGACAAGTCCGCCCTCAAGGCCCGCCTCAACGACCTCGTCCACGACGCCCTCATCCTCGCCAAGCTCGCCAAGTTTGACGTCTTCAACGCCCTGTCTCTCATGGACAACGGCCTCTTCCTGGAGCAGCAAAAGTTTGGCGCCGGTGACGGCCAACTGCACTACTACCTCTTCAACTACAGGGCCAACCCCATAGCTGGAGGCGTGGACAAGAGAAACCAGCTGGATGATAATAATCTGAGTGGTGTCGGACTGGTTCTGCCTTAGAATGTGACGTTTGACGTATATAGATAGAGCATCTTATTTCTGTCTTTTTCTTTTCTAATGCGGAATGTCCGCTGGATGAAAGCGTTCGATGTTTGAACCAGAAAAGATACCTAGTGGCCAGTTCTGACGCAAATGAAGAATCCGAAATACAAATCTTGATACAAACATATATCCGCTCTCTTCTCTATATATCTCACTTTCTTTATGTTGTATATGTATACGTCTCCATCAGCTTATTACACGCAATGAATCTCTCCTCCAAAATGCCGTTGAACCACTCAGGCCTATCCATGCCAACCGCATGTCCAGCGTCCTCGACAATCATTCCCACGCCAGGCTGCATATGCTTGATCAGCTTCTCGCCATTCGCCACCGTAATCATCTTATCAGCCGTGCCATGCATGATGAAGATGCGATCCCTGCCAACATCACCTGCAATCTCCTTCAGCTGGCCCGGCGACTTCTTATGCCCCGCCGCCGCAATGAGCTGACACAAGAAGCCCTGCCGCGTGAACCAGTTGGTCTGCCGCCTCTTGAACAGCTCCTGCGCCTGGAACCGCTGGAAATTGCTATCAAAGGCGCGATACTCCCCATCAGGCGAGCCCGGCGCGGGGCCACATCGCGGCGTCGTCTTGGGCGAAGGCAGCGACGCGGCATCGTCCGGCGCAGCGAGCCATTCTTCACTAAAGAGCTGTCGACTCGTATCAATCAGGCCTTGCTCCTCCGACTTGGGAATGACAAACCCCAGGCGCTGCCATAATGCGTCGCTCCAGGACTTGGCCGGCCCGCTCTCGTACTGGGCCGTGGTGCTAATCAGACTGAGGGAACGCAGAGTCCCGGGGATGGTGTAGGCGACCTCCTGGGCAATCATGCCACCGAGGGAGATGCCGACGAGGTGGACGGAGCGCTCCTCCTTCCAGCCGATGAAGTCGAGCAGTTCGATCAAGTCGACGGCCATGGCGCCGGTGGTGTAGCGGGATAAGGGCTTGTCACTCTCGCCCATGCCGCGGTTGTCGAAGATGAGGACGGAATACTCGTCTCCGCGGTCGTGCCCGAAATATTTGGTTTGTCGCTGCCATGAGGTTTTCACGCCGGCCAAGCCCATGATGAGCTATGAGAATCCATGATATCATCAGTTAAAGAAACAAACAAACAACAACGGTATAATGTTGTTGAGGTTGAGAAAATCAGTGTGAAATCATACCGCAACACGATTTGGACCCTCTCCATGAATCTCATAAGCAATCTTGAGAGGACCTCCAGGCCGTCCTTTTCCGACATCACACTTGCCCTTCGAGTGAGGTTCCAGAGCCCATATCGTCGAGGGATAGGCCGGGTGCTTGAGTGTCTCCTCGGCAGATGGTGCTACAAACGCCCTGCGGAGTGAGAATTCCAGCATTTAGTTTAAAAATGAACAAGCCGACAAGAAAGAAAATGGAAGCAGTAAGCGAGACATGAGGCGCAGGCAACGAGACACAAAGAGGCAAGTATCGGATGAAGCTTAACGGCGAAAGAAGACAGCTGTTACACTGGCCCTTTGGGCAACACTCTGGTATGGATGATTCATTTTCAAAGGGGAATACTTACATGTTTGATACCTATTTGAAGCGCTCAAGCTACTTAAAAAAACAATCTGTGAATCTAGAATCACAAACCAGCTAGCTCTTTAGTTTTAGGCTGGCCGGCAGCTTCCAGATCGGCACTGCGTGGCAAATATGGCGCTTTGTAGGGTATTCTGCTTCTCAGGACAGTTCTATGCAAGGAGATATGGAATTTATAGTAAAAGCCTTGACGTATGTTGAAATCTTCAATTCTGGAGAAAGAGGTGATGCTAATGATGAATACGCGCCGACATCGTATTGATGGTTGAGGTTGGAAGTCGCAACTGCTGACATCATCATAACATGGATGACAGCGTAGCGTCCTTGGCTCTGAGCCTCACTGGGTGAACGTGCGCGACTACATCTGCCTCGGTGTCTCGTGATAACAGGTCGTCCATGTTTGAATGTATATATAATTTTACATCATTTTGACAAGGCATCTTTATCTCCTCATCTTTTTATCATCAATTGCAGCGATTTCCGATCCGCTATATGCCAATGGCTCTTTTCAGCCAACCATCCTACCACTTAACCACTATGTAGATAGAGCCCAGTTGCTTCTAAACCGAGAGAATACCTAACCTCCATCCCGAATGATTTTAGCTAATCAATTTATTTTTTAATCATCCTCACCTCTCGCCAGCCAGGCGACGGCGCTGGACCTCTCCCAAGGCCTTGTTTCCGCTCAAAAAGGCAGTGACGCCAACAACGCCAATCGCGGGGAGCGCCTGGAACAAGTTCCACTGTGTATAGTAGAGAAAGAAGACGCCCTCCATCGCAATGATTGAGCCGAAGAATACGGCGTGAGAGATGGGGGCATTTCCCAAAGCCTTCTGCGCATGATTAAAGTTTCCGCCAAGAGCAAACCACTATCGCAAATTAGCATATATATTCTTTTTTCGCCTATGATTCATATCCAGGGTGATGTCTTTCAACGTACGCCAATGAACAGTGCCGGCACGGTAGCCAAAACAGCAATTGAAAATACAAGCGAGATGATCACGGGAGGGTTCTTGGGGTCGGCTCGGAAGATGTGGTGGATCTCAGCAAGCTTGCCATATCGCAGCGGCTTCTCGGGGACTTCGACAGTGGCACCAGGGTCCCGCTTGACGTTGAAGTCAAAAACAGGAGTGACCGAGCCTTGGGAGGAGCCGAAAGATGCGATGATGAGGCTGGCGGAGAGAGGGCTGTCGGAGAGGAGCAGTTGACTGGGGAGATCTTTTTGTGACTGGCGTTTGGTGTTAGCTCTTACTCGTCAATCGTTTCTTGCACGGAGTCTTGGCATACAATCTCAACAGATCCCTTTCCAGATTCCTTTACGGCCAAGGGGAAAGGTGCCTCCAGTCCAGTTATTGACTCCTTCACAACGAGGAAAGCCTGGTGCGGTCGCTTCGCTTTGGAGCCATCTTTCGTTACCACCGTAACCTTGAGCTTGTCTTGGTGGCCCAAAGTGAGTGTGTTTCGGACACGAGCAGTGCCATCGAACCTGCAACCATCCCAATTGTTAGCAATGGCGCCTCAAATATCTCATTGAAGAAAAAGATAAAGGTTATAAGGGTTGGTCGAGTGACCAAGGGAAGCTCTTTCTTGGCATCCGAGGGAAAGCTCACTTCTCTACCGCATCATTGCCGCTCTTCGAGGCCACTTTGACAGTACCTTCGGCAAATGTCCACGAGGAAGCAGCAGAAGCAACGGAGGCGAGCGCCAAAACTGCAGAGGCTACAGAGAAACGCATGGTGGCAGACGACGGTTGGTGGACGAGGAAAGACGCTGCTCCAAGATGACAGCTTAGACAGCTTTGGTGCTAAAGGTTACGTGGTTGTAGTGCCGTCGAGGCGCAAGGTGGGGCGCTGTGATTGGCTAGTGGCCACATTGAACACACAGTGTATGCGACATAATGTACTGTATGATCTGCACTGTTCTGTCTTTGCAAGACAACATACCTGACAAATAGAAAGCTGGTGGGCAAGTAGAATTAGACAGTTACATTCGAGATCCGCTAGCAATTGATGATAATAATTGCAGTCTACGATCAAATTGATTAGTAAATACAAAGTGTATTTTCACTTCACTACCAGGTAGCTTCGCAATAATCTTGCCATCTAGCTATGGTCTAGCATAACATGAACGCTCAGTGACCAAATATCAGTTTTCTAAATTCTTCGTAATCTTCTCCCCCCCATGTAGTCATAACTCAGTCCTTTTACTCGGTTCAATCGTCGTTCCACTCGTCTTGCTCTTTGGCGGGTCCTTTGAGAAATGCCCAGACAAGTCCAACCACTCAGCCGTGAATGCCAGGACAAGCTTCGTCCAGTCATTGACGCTCGGCATATCAAGATGCTCGCCGTCATCCTGCATCGTATGCCACACGTCGGGGAACGGCGTGGGAATCAAGTGAAGAATATCAACGCCTCGTCTCAGAAATGGGATGTGGTCATCTTCAATGCCTCCATAGCCGAACTCGCTGGACTTTTTGTTTCCATCTGGAAGAAAGGGATGGGCGGGCTTGGACTCGAGAAGACCTAGATCACGCATGCGCTTCTCTAGCGATGCCATGTTCTTATACGCCCAGTGGGTGGTTGGAAAGTAAGAGGGTATACGGGGATTGGGCGACCCAAGGAGATCCAAAAGGACGAAGAGGCTGATGGCGTGTAGAGGGGTCCTGTAAGTAGACATGGTAGGATGGAACTCGGATTCCCAAGCCTGGGCCAGTGATCTGAGAAAGCAACAAACTGTCAGTGACAAACTATACTCATGAAAAAAAAAAGTAATGATAGTCCGTACCTTGCGCCATACAAAGAGTCCGTCTGCGTCCAGCGCACAAAGGCCTCCTCCCCATCTAGCAAGATAATCTGCACCCCGACATCCGTCTCGAAGTCGTCGTCCAGCCCATCATTCACCCCCGCCGCACTGCTCCATTTCGACTTGAGCGCCCCCTCAATGCTCCTCGCAATGTGCATCAGCATCGCGCACGGCGCTGCGCTGTCCGTCGCCCCAATGAAATCCTTGGGCTCCATCTTGCTATCGTAATGCGCCACCAGCGTCAGCCTGCCGACCTCGCCCTCGCGCGAACCGGGCGGATCGCGACGAAAAATCAGATTCGAAAAGGGAATGTCGTTCTTGCCGGTCGCCGGCGTCTTGGAGGTCGAGTTCTGCCAGAGCATTTCCCATTCTGGCAGGCTGCTCTTGAAGAAGTCGACAAAGTGTCGCTGTGTCTTGACTTGCCCTTCGGTGCCCGGCACTCGTGGTATGAGAATGGGAGCCAGGAGCCTCCCGTTATGAACGTCGAAATCGTTGCCCGGAGATGGCAGGTTTCGCAAGTCGTCGTCCGTCAGAGTCCCGATGCCGAGCGCTGCGCCGAAGAGGCCAACGAGAGGCACCACGAGAGATGCCCGCAAGACGTTGAAACGCATGTTCGGGATTGCGGTCTGCGGCACTCTCCCCGGTAAAAAAAAACTGAAAACAGAAAGAAAAAGGAAAAAAAGAACAGGCAATGCCGGGCAAAGATTGTGTTTAGGATTAAGTTGTCACTGCGTAGCGCCGCGGCATCGTTATAGTTCATCTGTTATCTACCAAGGCTCTAGGCGTTATCTTAGCATCAGCTAGAGTGGGCGTCGTGGCCACTTGCGGCGCTACGGGAGCCAACCCCGCTAAACCGCATTTTGCGGAGTCCCCTAAGACCCTGTTCCTGTTCCTGGCAGACAATGCATTGGGCGCCCGTTAGTCCTCAAGTGGCTTGGAAAGTCTGGAATTGTCTTTTATTCAGGCAGTGATATTGCAGATTCTATGATATGAGATAGGTGATTCATGTGCATTTCAGGCGAGCCCAATGCCTCTCGGGAGTCTTGTATAAATTTCTTAAATATTATTAGACATAATGGTGACTGTTAAGCATGACGTTGAATCTATAGAGTCCCGATATTAATAGGAGTAGAAAGAGAAAAAATTGAAGGGGGAAAATAGTACAAATCATTTCATCCTTGTAGCCCAGTGTTAACAAAGGCTGGACCATGATTCATAACAGAAGCGCAAAAGCACCAATCCAACGCCGGTCTGCCATGCGTGCCATAGTATCAGGTCGCTCATATACAAGCTGCACTTCCCCTTCTCCGTTGTGTTTCTTTATAGTCGCCCCAAACCATATCTTCTAGGTGGTTGAAATCTTGTCCAATCGTCCGTTTTTATTTGCTTGCTGGGTGTTGAAATCCTATCCCGCATCAACATCTCTAACTTGGTTTCATGAGGGCATTATCTGTGTTCAGGGAATAAAAATCGAAAAATACAGAAAACAGAAAATGAGGAAAGAAAAGAAAAGAAAAGAAAAGAAGAAAGAGCCTATAGTCTCAAAAGGCAAAAGTCAATGATTATCGTCTTTCAGTGCAGCTTGGTGGCGGCTCTGGCGGCCAGCTTGTTGGCCAACTGCTTCTCCTTTGGAATAGTGAGAGCGTTGATGCCCAAGAAGTCGCAGATGCTGGTGATCACCAGGTAGGCCCAGCGGAAATAGACCACCACCGCGAAGAAGAAGTATCCCCACATGTAGAATAACTCCAGTTGAGGGGTAATCTGGGGGAAGCCAATTCGAGGAAGGTTTCCGAGAACGGCACCTCCTACCAGCGGAGTCAACATGACAGTCCAGTACGGGAATGGTTGACGAGTCAAGTGTGCGAGGATGATTTTGGTGGTCAATCGTCCAAAAACGAGGGACATTGTGCAGCAAAAGAGAACGAGGTGGTTGTCCTTCATGAGGGAGCTGTAAGGAGAAAAGACCCAGGCGCCGGTGCAGACGGTGAAAACGGCCATTGGAATCCACTCGAGGAACACGGGAAGAACAGGGAGGTTCTTCGCCTGGCGCGCACGGGCTACGTTTAAGACGCAAAAGGGGATGTGAGTGGTGAACAGCAGGAAGATGATCATGCCGACCCAGATATCCCGGAAAGAGACGTCTCCGATGAGATGGGCCACTCCCTCCAAGTGGTCGCCCCAGATATGTGCTAGTGGCTTCGTGAAAACTTCGGGTCCGTAAATTCCGGAGACGATCATGATGCCGCAGGCAATAAGGAGGCCTTCCGTTGGGCCGTTGATGACGCCAAGGTAGAGCGTATGTGTGTGGTAAGTCTCCCACGTTGAGAAGAACATGGGAAGACACGGAATAAGAGCTGTGAAGACTCCAGAGGGCGAGGTGCCCAGTCCCATAGCGGCCGTCTCAAGTAAACTCGCGAGAGTGCAGTTAAGCGAATCGATGCCATGGTCGAAGAGCTCGCCCAAACCGCTCGAGGTGCCGGTCCTTCTCGCCTGCTTTCCGTCGACGTTATCCATCGTCTGGTACATGAAAAGGCCAAACGCAAAACTAAAGTACAGCCATGACGGTCCCTGCACGATTTCTCCCAGTTAGCAAAGCCGCCTGTAGTTGCGCACAGGCACGGTGGAATGTTGGTGACGTACTGGTCCCACTAGATCAGGCATATAGATGACCACCAAGGCGACGTTGAAGAGAATGAAGAAGAACCCCAGAAGGGTGACCATGTTCGGCGCAATCCATAGCGGTAATACTTCGACGAAGGCATTCCACTGCAACGCATTGATTGTTAGCTACCGTTTTGCATCAAATTCCTTATTTCGTTTTTTGGCTGGTGTCGATCGCGCGGAGGGGCAAGGACATGTAGGGGGCGAACCGCAACGTCATGCGGTTATTGGGGGGGAGAATAATCGGTGAGCCGTACCCAAGGACCAAGAATGTATTTCGACACTGGTGATTTATCGACGCTCGAGTATTTGTACGACTTCAAATGGATCAGAGCATCGTCCGAGATGCACTCTGCCACAGCCTGTTCTGCTCCGCCAACCTTGTTAGCTGCCACCTCCACCAAAAAAAAGGAACGATTCCTCCCGACTGTCAATTGTCGATAGCGCCGGAAACGGCCAGCCACCAGCCGCCATTCAAAGAACAAGTCGCCATATGAACTTTCGAGCGCAAGGCATGTTAATATCTTTACTTACTTGTGTTAGGGGCCATGCTGCTACCACCTCGCGTTGAGGTAATATCGCCCTGATGCAATGGCAGCGTGTTGACTGTAGACATCGTAGAGGGGGGGAGCCGGGGGCTCGGATAGTGGGAGGCAGGAGGATCTTTTTAAAAAAGACACACAGGGGAGCTTTCCGCTGCTCTAGGTTTGTTTCTGCGGCAGAACTAGTAGGTTACTCCTTGCTCCCGTGCGTCTGGAGGCTGCGCAAACTTCAGAGTTTTTGGTCGGCCAAGTGACCAAGAGTGTGGTTTCGTTGGGAGGCGTGCATGAAAACCTGCGATTTGTGGTCCTGACCCCGGTAAAAGCGCCTCGGAAAATCTGCCCGTGGGCCTCTAAATCCCCTGAGCTGGAACCGCTACAGCCCCCAAAAGGGCTCCAAGAGCGCCAAAGAGCTTCTATGGCCCCGAGCACCCACGACCTTAGTGGAGGATCATTGACGCGGCCCCCGCTCTGGTAATCTAAAACGACCGTCACCAGCACGTGAAAGCGGAATTCGTTGAGGCGCCAAGCAGCAAACGACGGTTTACTGGTCCCGTAGGCAAATCTCCTTGTAGGTCTACATCTTAGCTTGGTATAGGTACCTGCTAGGCCACTGACTCTAGCAGATTATTGAGAGTCCAAATGTTACTGTACGTTTTCCGTCGTGTATTGGCATTAGCGTGATGTTGGCACACTGATCGCAGAGCTGGTAGATTGAGAGCCTCCTCCCTGCAGCCGTCATATGCACGATCATCGTCATGTGCATGGTTTTGCAGCTGAGAAAGTAAGGTTGTGATTGGCCTTGAAGAGACAAAAACACACAAAAACCAGCTCTGGATCCAATCTTTTGCTGGCGCCGATGGCGGCCGCCTATAGAAAGGGTCGCGTGAGCTTTGAAGCGTCATGTGTTGTATACGCCGGGATAAGGAGACATTTTTTTTTGCTGATCAACCTTGATAGGCTAAATGGCACTTCCCAGCCAAAGCTCCAGAACTCACACTTTAATCCTAACCAGCGGCGACAAGTTTTCTTCTTTTTCGCTCAGCGAAAGGCAGACCAGCTTGCCACGAAGAGATTGCAAAGTGGGTAAAAAAAAAAGATAGATAGAAAAAGAAAAAAAGGTTGGGCAAGCTCGGTGAGTATTGCAATAATCTCAAATTTGTCGTATCAAAACGTGCATTCGGTAGTAGTATTAAGTAGTGATTCCCATAACAGACTTTCCCCAAGTACGCATAACGCTATTCAAATGTTCAGACGCACGCTCCAATAAACAAGCAACCAAGCAGATATTATGCGCGATCCCACAAGAGCAGTCTATTGCTTGCTCGAATCGCATTGTTCCCTTCCCATGAATATACACATTACAGCATGGCAAAACCAACAAACATGCTTCCAAACAGAGCCGCCAGTCCATACACTCTTGGAATTTCAACAGCGGGAGCTGCCATCGACTTGCCCTTGCCGCCACCGGTAGTACCAGGTACATTGGTGAAGATGGTGTCGGCGCCCGTGGTGGAAGCGGAGGGAGTAGCGTCAGGAACAGAGGAAGAGGCTGTTGAAGTCGTGTTGTATCGCTTAGGATCAGTGGCACCGCAAGGGTGGTCCACGGCGCAGTTAGTCGCGCATGTGCTGTCGGTTCCACAGGCATTTCTGCACTGTACAACAAACTCCTGGCAAATGAAGTACGGCAGTGTCAATGAGTATTCAGTGATGTTAGGCTGCTGGTTATTTCCACACAGACAGCCATATTGTAAAGTGTCCTACTTGGCCGTTAGTAATGTTATATCGAGCCAATGGGACCATAGCTGGAGACACATACGGGATCACATGTGTTCGTAAGTGTCTTCTTGGTTGTAATTTGTGAACAGATAAGCGGGCACGACGAGGTTTCGTAGTTGCACCATGAGACTGCTCCGTCATTAGCATCAACTGGCTGCATTTCATCTGCTGGCAATGATCTCACCTCTCGTGGCCTTGGGTACGCTGTCCGGGTCGATTGACTCCTGAGCCTGGGCTACGGCGGCAAAGGCCGTCGTGGCTGCCAGAAAAACTGATCTGAAGGACACCATGGTGGCTGATGATACAAGCGACGATGACGGATCGAGACGTTCGCGTTGAAGAGATGAGTGATACTGTAAGCTCTGGCACCGAGTCGATATTAGTGATGCAATGTTAAGACAAAATTGCGTTGGTGGATAGGTAGCAGAGAGAAGAGTCAAGAGAGCAAGACGACAAGAGTCAAGGTGGACGAGAGGCAAAGGTGACAAGGAGCCACCTGACAAGGACGATTTTGTGCAACTCACAATTATATAAACAGCAGCTGCACCGGGGATTGCAATTGCAAGAGCGAGACACGGCAAACGAAGGCAAGCAGCGAAGAAGCTCAGCGAACGACTCGTTAACGACAGAGATGGCAGCGGCGGCGAGAGAAAGGAGAGGATCGAAGGAGGCACGTTCGAGGAGGAAAAGCACTTTTATCAGCAGCGGCAACGGGGCCCCGGCACGGAATCTCTCCAGAAAAGCCAAGACCCGGCCATTGACCAGGGCGGGCCCTTGGATGAGCTCGCCTCCTGGTCTCGCCTCCCACCCCAGCTCGAGCTCTGCCTTTCTCTATCAAGCACACGGACGCACCAACTGCGCAGCTTCAGTATGCGGCCTAGCTCCATTTCGTGTTCCCCGCCACAGCGAACACACAGCCGGGGCCGCTGGAGTCTCACACATTGGCTTCTGGCCAGAGGAGCGTGCAAACGGCCAGTTGCGCTGCGGAGGGCAGCGGCGTGGAGAGCTACTGGCATCAATAACACAGGACGCTGCTACATACGATGCGACATACTTCGAGCCAAAGCTACTATCGCGCAGCTACTGCACATCCGCACTTAGTTTTGGGGGACGTTTGACCCTGGTCGGCCTAGTGGCCAGGCGATATTGAGGCCCCCACCATCTACAGCGAATGCTCCGTATTGGTACCTGGCCTCGATGCTGACTGCCTGGGCCGTTCTTTGCCTGTGCTAGGCGGTGCATGTACGAGGCACATCCGCCCACGAAGCGGTAATCCGATGTCCGCTAGCGCACGGTAGCACTGCTGGTAGCGCGTCGTCGCCAGCTAGTGGAAAGATCCGAGCTTGCAGTGGCGCTTCCCCCCTTTTACAGCATATGAGATGTTGGGCGAGTCGGGAAATGAGGCGTCTCTCTCTCTCTCCAGATCAATTACACCTCCAATGTTGCCAACAACACTTGCAGCAAAACGCCAGCCTCTGCCTCCACCAAGCAGTGCAGTCGCTGTCTATCGCTGGCATACTGTATCTTACCGCTGATCTTCAATGCCCAAGCGAACATCTTCCGTGTCTGCTGCTTCTGGAGCCTGCTAGGCGGGCCTTTTCGTCAAGCCGGGTCGCAGAGTCCCATGGATCCAGAAATTACGAGCCTACGAAAACGCACTAGGACGTCGAAAGCAGTCGAGCTTCCATTGAGCTAGGATTCTCCGCTTGACGATAATCCCAAGGGCCACCCATACATACTTCCATTCGCATTATCCTTTTTTGTGCCGCGTCTGCGCTTCGTATTCTGATATGCATGCAAATGGAGCCGGGAGCTATAATCGCACTTATGCAGACACTTGCGTCCAGTAGACGGCTATTGTTCCTCCATCGACAGGTGAAATGCTCCGTGCTCTCCGCACACTGATATCAAGATCCAGCAGGAATGCGTGGTTTCTGGCTGGACTGAAAGTCACATTCGTGGGGAGATCCACTTGAGCAACGGGGCTTCCATTATCATACTTGTGCAGCAACGCTACTTTTTCAAATCCAATGTTCTGCTAGCGATGCGAGGGAGGAGAAGAATGCATACCAGGCTCCCGTATACGATTCATGCTACCTGGTAGGTATCCTGAAAATTTTCCCTTGGCTCTGGCCCTGACGGGGCCCGTGTCCTCACGTTGAACGGAGTCTCCTTCGGAGTCGACGAACGACAAGGGCAAATTCATGACCTGTCAGACATGCATCCCAGTACGGGCTCCATTCCTTCTCCCTATTTGGGGAGGTTGCTATACGCTGGTCGGCAATAATTCTGGAGACATGCCACGGCTACGTAGCATGAGTCTGACCCTCGGACCACCATACGAGTGGCATTATGGAGAATTTGCCCAGCATCCCCAGCATCGCGAGATCAAGGCTGAAGTGCAAATATGCTTAGATGCATCGGATGCGATTCTATCGTGCCGTTCTCCGTACAGAGGGAAAGAAATAGGAAAGCAGCGATTCCCAGCTCGAGCACGCAGAAAGCTTGGCTCGCAGATCTCGAAATCTGGGGCAGAGCGATATTGGGGCGGAGGAGGAGTGGCGATTCGCGAATGAGAAGCCAAGGGGAGGTTGTGAGTGCGATATCGCCGAAACGGCCCCCCGTTTATAACCGTTTTGGTGTGGGGATGGTGCTAATGTACAGCTTTACGGACTACGCCCGCGTAGTATGAGCATCAGGCGGCGATCAGTCCAGAGCAAAAGTACTTGATTCTGCAACAGTAATATCATTAGGCAAAATGCCCGTAATGCTACCGATGACTCTTCCGTTACGTCCTGCATTCGTTCGTATACCAAAGTGCGCTGGTCAGAGCCAAGATGCTTGGCTGATGAATGAATACGGATTACGGAGTGATTTATTATCGAAATGCTCACTCTGAGGGACAATGAACAGTCAAGTATTCGCCGTAAACGGTCGTCCGATAAATCGGACGTTTTGCTCATGCCTACTCCGTAAACACGGACTGGGAAATTCGGGATCGTCATGTGTTATGCATGTCTCGCAAAATGGCGAGACAATGGCAATACTAAACGACAGCTTGCGAGACAGGCGGATATGTGTACTCTACTTGCAGTAGGCATGCAGCCAAGACATCAAAATCCCCAATTCTAAAGACGCAAACTTTTCCCATTGACAGCATGGCCGATGTGCAAGTAACACAGTCATCTCGGACATGATCAGCACACTCGGGGCGTCAGAATGAGCAGCTTTCCACTCTGTGCTACTTACAGCCCAATGTTTACCCGTTTACAGAATGCCGAGCCTTGTCTCTCTTCCCGATTTTTCCAAATTGATTGCTGAGAGGGGAGAGCATTGAGATCATATTAGCATCGCTCCCTCCGGTAACCCCGAACGACGCTGCGTCGGGAGAGAAAAGGGGTAGCCATCAACGGTGATCGCCACGAATGGCCGCGCCGAGCGGGAATGGCCATATCTACCTACATATGTGGTTTGTGGTGATTATCAGGATTGATGGCATTGCAAAAATCAAATCCCCCTCTTCTCTGGTTTAGCTAAGGGATGTATGTACACTGCGTATGGAGCAGTCACTGTTTCTCGGTGAGACACTGATGCTAGCGGTATCACAATTCAATATTTCAATATATCTACATGTGCTCACAGGAACCTCTATATGCGTACAGTTTCTCAGACACGCCTTTGAATGTGCTACTGCCTCATGAAAGGACTTTTCACAGCAAATTTTCCAGCTTGATGTAATACCGAGCTCCGTTCTCTCATTACGGAACCGAGATGCTGGCTGATATAAGCTTTACCGGCAATAGGCAGATAAGCACGCTGTACAATTGGGAGCTGTAGCCCATATCAATAGAGGGATAAAACCGTATTCGAGTACATGTATCAATTTCGCTCTCTGCAACTACTACCTACCTTACCTTATACCTAGCAGCTGTACATTGAATCATGTGTCATTCTCTACTGTCAGGAGCTCACTTCTACGACACAACCTGCTGACGGTATACACTGTTAGATGCATGTTTCTTTCTCCCACCTCTGCATAGGATCCCGCTGAAATCCAACACCGTGAAACATACATGTATTCTCCCCAGCCGTCTTCTATTAAGCTCTTCAGCTAGAATGATGGGTGTGCGTTAACCGCTTTAACACTAACGGAGCAATTGGCGTGATTTATTCAACATTCGCAAAACAGCAGCTAAGAATAGAAGCTTTTTTCCGAGAAGTGCTTAAGTGCATTACCTAATCACCAAGCGTAGAAAAATGGGACCCATTACTGAATAGACCCCACGCCGCTGCAGCTTTTAGCTGCCGGGGACAGCTACGCCACTATCGGAACTATTGCTGTGATTTAGAGTCCGTGGTGGTTATTGATAGGCCCAAATTTGAGAGGCGTCCCTTTTGGGATCTTATCTCATACATCTACGGCTTTGTTAAGCACGTTGACACTCAATTCAAGACGACAAGGGACTTTTAGTTTACCATCATCAACATCGCCATACTGTCATATCAAGTCTCGAGCAATCCCGCTGGCAATTGTGTTATCGAGCGAGGGGTGCTAGAACATACCCAGGAATTCAGACCCGGCCGTCGCATCGATTTGTAATAAAACGACGACCCCGATTGATTCGATACTCACGCGGGCATTGCGACTGCTTCACTCCATATGGCTGAATGGCTTCGGCTGTAGACACAAACCAGGACAATGCGCAAGGCGACCTGACGAGCCAGGCAGGGCCGTCGCCACCTGCAGAGTCCGGCGCAACGCCGCCGCTGAGTCGCACCTTGAGCAGAATCAACACCGATCTCTCCTCCAGAGACAGCCACCGCGGCCCCAGCGAAAACAATCATGGCGGCGACAACGATGGGGCGTTGCACAGCGCGCTCTCGAATACGAGCTCCATCACATCGCCTCCTCCTTACTGGCCTCATGCCAGCCTGCACCAGCGAAACATCTCCAACTTATCGACCGAGTCTTTCCTACCGGCGGAGGCAATAAGGTTGCGCGACAACGACACAAACGACGACGATAGGAACAGCGCATGCTGGGCGAAGAGCGTGGAGATTACGGACTTCATCTTTGTGAACGGCAGTAATACGAATATTGGCGCCTTCATTGTGTGGAACATATCTGTCGAAACCATGAATGTGAGTTCAATGTTATTGCTTCCCTTGCAGAGAGCGGCGCAAACCTGGTGCAGCATATGTGTGTGTGTCTGCGCCGGCTTCGACTACGTCATACAAATGAACTGACCAATTTGTTTCATGTTTCGAACAGGGAAGCTACATGAACATTCGGAAACGCTACTCTGAGTTCGACGACTTTCGACGAAAACTGACCCAGTCCTTTCCCAACTTCAGAGCGGCAGTGCCGGAACTACCACCCAAAAGCGCGATATTCAAATTCCGACCCAAGTTTCTGGAAAAGCGCCGGGCTGGCCTGCAATATTTTCTCAAGTATGGGAAGACCCAACAACCCATTTCATACGCTCCCTGCTCCTACATAAACTAACACAATCTTTGTAGCTGTATTCTATTAAATCCAGAGTTCTCGGGATCGCCTGTCCTCAAGGACTTTCTGTTTGCGTGATTAAGCGGCCAAGGTTTTCTCTCTTTTCTTCTTTATTCTTTCCCCGAATGGAGCGGGCCTTTGAAAACTGCGCATCGCTTTTAGCCGAAAGGTCCAAAAGTAGCACCCACGTGCTTTGCTGCACGATTGAGCTGGATAAATTGAGCTCCATGATTTCCTTTTTGGGTAATACTTTTCGCATCTAATTTGGAGCATGTATTTTGGTATGAAAATCCGAGCTTGAGTCTTTTGTACGCCCCTGAGGGGGCGATCTTTGTTATGTTATGTACGATAGGTTTACATTTATGCTTTTAATGATAGTGAAGGGGTCTGTAATAGTGTGTATGAATGGACAATGGATACTTTTAAAATTTACATCTCCGTCTCATGCAAAGTCATTCCGCGGTGAGCCGTAGTAAATTTCAGGTACTTGCTCGCCATCTAAGATACAATCTTTCGCAGTTGTTTCACTTGATCATGTTATAATGGCCTGTAATTCTACACCACTGTCTCAATAAAGGATAAAAAATCTGCCAACTAGTAGCAGCAGTAGCAGCAGTAGCAGCAGTAGCCCAGTACATCGTAATGGTTATAAGTGCTGGGTAGTGGGATTGGGGTGTTGCATAGCTTTCCCCTGAATTCATGGAGTAGCAGTATTCAAGCTGTGTATAATATTGTTGGGTATACATGGTAGTCTTTGTTGGATATCTTGAACAAGACAGCCCATAAGTAAAAATGTGTTTGGAACCTGAGTAGTACTTACTGTCCGGTGACGGTGGTGTGGGAAATGAGTATGTCTTGAAGAGAAGTATTGCCGTTTGTTTGGTTATGTTCAAACACGAGATGGGATGTTGTAATCGCAAGAACAAATATTGTCGCTCTCCTAGTTCAAATTTCGAGCACGGTAGTATCCACCACGTCATGTAGGCGCTGCAGCAGTGCGTTCAAGACTGCGTCTCCATGCATGTCAACTTTGACCAGCATAGATGGCACTTGAACAGTTCCTTGAAATTTCTTTGCAATGAAACAGAGTGTAGATAATAGAGCAATTGAATGGCGAGGATCTTGAGCCTTATGAGAGATTTAGAATACCATTGGCTGAGATTTTTCCGTCCTGCAATGCATATACTCGATGTGCTTCTCGCAGAGTGTGCGAGCGCCGTCAAGAGAAACCCTCGGCCGATGCATTTGACCCAATAACAATACATCACTTTACATGACGCTTGGCCCGGCCCAATTACGCAACCAACTTAGAATGTGGTGATTGATAGAATTCGTAAATGGTTCCAGTAGGACGATCCGGGTGAAGTGTTTCTCGCGTGTCTAAGCAAAATCACGTCCACCAATACGCTAGTCACTATTCAAGATCTCATAGAGTTGCGCGGCCGTGGAGTCGCTTCTACAACAGTACAAGACGTTCTTGCGCTGACTCCAGAGGACCACAAAGACCTGGACGACGTCCTTTTACGCTTCTATATGCTCGAAACAATCTTCAATGAGAATCCCTCGCCAGAAGACACAGACATTTATATTTATATGCTCTTGAAGATCAGGGCCCTTGGCTGTGTTTAATGTTATACAATACTCCAACTATAGCTTCAATAGCAAACCAACCAATCCATATAGAAAAAGACTCCTGCCAAATAACTTATCAATATATATATACATAGTATCAGTAGCCTCAGCAACAAGATTCAGCGACACCTGCACTGAACAAATCATCGTATGTGCTTCAGAGCAATGCGCCCCTCGATCATGTCCATTGATTCCATCAAGCCTATCGCAATGCTAGCTCATTCTTCTACTAATAGTAGGTGCCTGTAAGCGCGATGGACACTACATGTACCCTGTCTGTTTCAGTCTTCTGGAATAAACGCGCTGTCTGACAGGAGCACCCATGAGATTTTCATGTGTCGGGGCCCTGATTCCACTAAACCCGTTCTCTAAAATTGGTACAGTAATATTACATGTATCCCGTGGCCCTACAGGTGACCCATCCCTGTTGCCGGAATTCGCGTCAGTAAATCGCTTCTCCGGCCCGACCTGCTGCACTGCGCCTCAAACATCAGTTTGTCGCTCGCGGTGGCCGAAGCCAACACTCCAGTCGTCTGGTTGGCCTAGAATGACCTGCTTGTGAGACAGGAGACCACAGCAACAGCGCCATGACAAGACAAAGCCAAACGAAAAGAGAAGGGAGGAAAAGAAAATGAAAAAAAAAAAAGATGCTAGGAGAAAGATGATAACATCATGCCTTGTTTAGTTCTCTCTTGGCGATCTATCGTACCGCTTCGATCGCTTCGGTTTCGGGATATTTTAATGCGCATGCACGGACTAGTACTGCCACCTATCAAAATGGCAGCTGCCGCGCCTCCTTTGGGACATGCCCTAACAGCGATATTGTGATCACCACTCCATCTCTGCACTTCTCGTTCGTTGCGTGATCTCTCCGAGCATCAGTACATGTCGCATATGTGAACAGTGATGATACAGCGTAAGCTCTTGCTCAGATACAAGCACAGAGAACCCGTGATCGATCGGGGTTCGTTCTACTACCTGAGATAGAAAGATATCACATACTACGTATTTTGTTCCAAAGAACCTGTCAATCCTATTTTAGTAGCACTACTAAACGTGCTAGCAAGATGGCTGGGACCCACGTCACGTCATCACTAGATGTAAATAGTGAGACTTGAACTGGGTGTTTATCTGTAATACCAGCATGTTTGCAATGGAATCGCTGCCAGGGTACCGCATTCAAGGTTATATTCTGCCTTCATCTAGTGCGTCAATACTTGTGGACAGGTAGCGCCCGCACTGCTGAGCGTCTCAGACCAACATGGCCGCCGGTCTCACATGAGAGGCGGTGCCCTTGAGTTGTGGCACCTATATATGCCATAGCTGCTGTTCATTGAGGATCCCGACGCCCTCGGGTCCTTGCGTCACTCCGTCATCGACAGTTACAGTATATACCCAGTATATACCCAGTCCAGGGGCCGGTGATAGATAAGTGGTCAGCACCTGCTCCCATTTTCCCTTGTTCAGCAACGCTGCAGCTGGTTATCGGGTCCGTCGAGGTGGCTACCGTCTCTTTTTTTAGTTCTCTTCACTGTCTTAAAGGCCGCTTTCCCGCTTCGGCCTGTTGAACCAGCACCAACAAAGTCCTGGACCCTGGCCGAACATCGAGCTGTCGCTTTTCCTCTTCAGCGCCAAGGGCCCATCCGGGCAACCCGAATGACGAAAGGCGGCTCCCCTCTCCGTATAAAGTTGACGTCGCCTCTCACAGACAGCTCAGTCCATGGGATAAAGCAGTGTCGAAATCACATTCCAGCGTTTGCTTTTTCCCCCGCAGCCCCGCGGAGGTGGTCTCCCACGGGAGGTGCCGGGCATCATGACTACCTCTAGCTTTGCCTCTAGTTTCACAACCCTCTCCTCAAACTCGACAAAATCACAGCGATACATGGATTCACTAGTGCCGCCGTCCAGAGATCAGTTTGAGCGTATCGCTCGGGTGCAGGAAGGGAAGGAGGAGGAAATCAGGCAAAGGGTCAAGCATCTGAGGCAAAAATCGCTTCAAGAAAGCAAGCAGAGTTTGCAGGCGAGCAAGAGCGATGAGATGAGAGATGCTGCACGCATTATTCAGAAAACCTTTCGCGGCTACCGAGCAAGAAGGGAGATGAGTGGATTTATCTTGGATCCGAGTACAAGATGGATCACTGCGATCCGGGAGGCACAGTTTCGCGAAACAACGCGGCCTCGAGGTCGGTCTTTCACCGGCGCAAGCCAAGACACTTTATCGCTCGGAGACATGGCCGATTTCCATGCGTCAACCGCACGATCAAACTGGAAGAAGCTGAGCATGGTTGCGCTGCGGGCCGGTCACGACGATGAAGATGAAGCTTCCGACTCGGATTGCTCATCTGAGGCGGCGAGCCTACCGCCCCATGAGAAGGAAGAGTTGCGGCGACTTCGAGAACAAGCCAATGCACAACGACGAAAAACCGCCCTCACGCTGGGGCTGCAGTATTGGTTGGAAATAGTAGACCAGAAACATCGATATGGTACAAACCTGCGCATGTATCACGAAGAATGGAGGAAAGCCGATACCAATGAGAATTTCTTCTATTGGCTCGACTATGGTGAAGGCCGGTATATATCGCTGGACACTTGCCCACGAGAGCGACTTGAAAGGGATCAAGTACGGTATCTGTCGAGAGAAGAGCGCCAGTACTACTTGGCCACTGTCGACGACCAAGGCCGGCTATGCTGGGCCAAAAACGGAGAGCCCATCGACACGTCAGAAAAGTACAGGGACAGCATATATGGGATTGTCCCTGTAGACGATCCAGCACCGCCCTATCGACCGATGATGGAGCACCCGAACCCCTACGCCGACTCAGCTAGCGGAATGCCTTCCAACGCATCCGCATCGTATCTGGATTCGAACCACGAACAGCATCGCGCAGACAGTCATGTCAACCCAGAGCCCGATCAACGAGATATCAAAAAGGTGAAGCAGTTCTCTGCGACGACAACGCTCAACAAACTGCTCCGTAAGACGGTCAGAGACGGCACTTGGATCTTTGTTGCCGACACCTCGTTCAGGCTTTACATCGGCATCAAACAGGCGGGAGCATTTCAACATTCATCGTTCCTCCAGGGCGCCCGAATATCCGCGGGGGGTCTCATCAGCATCAAGGACGGCAAACTCAGCTCCCTCTCTCCGCTGAGCGGGCATTATCGCCCACCAACCTCCAACTTCCGTGCCTTTGTGCGGAGCCTCAAGACCGAGGGCGTCGATGTGGGACATGTGACGATATCGAAGGCCTATGCTGTCCTCCTAGGCCTGGAGACATACACCAAGTCGCGGCGTATGGGCAAGGACCTCATGCACAAGATGATCCACCGGAAGAACAAAGTAGTACATCCAAAGGAGATGAAGAAGAAGGAAGAGGATGAGATAGATACCAGCAAGAGTGCGCAGAGGGAAAGGGAAATTCTGGAGACGGAGAAGCAGCAAGCGATGGCCGATAAGCACGCGCGTGTGGAAGAGACTGCTGTCAAGACGATGGAGAAGCTGCATCTTGTGCCTTCAGCAGCTGGTGAAGAATCTCGGAAGAGGACTGTCACATATCTATAGCATTCAGGTTTGGAAGGAAGGTATCGCCCGTTAACTGGCTGTTGATAGGCTTGCATTTTGGTCTGTACGCATAAATACCCTGGGACTGGACTGGTTAGATAGAGCGAGTTTGTATTTGACTTTAGCGTTATATTAATCTTGATGACTGAATTTGAAGTCTAGCATTATGATTCAAATGTTTCTTTCTCCCGGGTACCTACCTACCTAGGTAGTAGGTACAATAATGAGCCATGTCAATGAATACATGTACCCAGGCCTTCCACCTTCGGATAAAAACAATAAGCTCATCATTCATTAAAATCGACGTAAAATGTGATGAACACACTCTGATTTGCTGGATTCAATTCTGATCTAGCTTTTGTGTGTTGTTAAAGATCTATGTTTTCATGACCTGTAAGAATAGCTTCTCGTACGAGGTGATGCGGGAAATCGTTGCTGGGAAAGTTACCATGATTAGGTGGAGCACCCAGTCCAACGTGGTTGATTCTTTTTCCAGCGAGCAGCAGCGGATTTCAAATGCTCTAAAAAGGGGCCGAGCTCTGCTGGCTTTAGTGAGCTGGTGCCCTATAACCTCGCTGGCTTATAGGCGGTACGGGGGCAAGAGCTACTGGGACCGCTCGCTAAAATCCACCAAACTCCATGGCGCGCAGGCGCTAGAGCGCCCCCTTCGGCTGCCCGAGAAAAAAAAAAGGCGTGGAAGGAAAAGCTGCAGTTGAGCGTCAAACGTCACGTCGCACGAAACAATCGGCATCAGTGCATCGAGCAAAAAACATCGAGGCAACGCGTGTCCCGACAGCGACAGCGACCTCTCCCGCCGCGCTGAAGAAACATGACAGGCGTGATCCCGCTTGCCAATGGCCTCCATCACCCGCTCCAACCGGCGAGCTGAGGGCCTTCACCTCTATGACCGTAACGTGAACGCCAGCGGCCCCCTCACGCGCTCGGCGCCAGGGCCAAACTCGTCCAGCTTCCACCACGGCGGCGCTGCAGGCGGTCGCACAAAGCGAGCCCTCGACGTGGCCGAGCGCGAGTTCGAGGCCATCCGCCACAAGAAGACGAGGATCGCCGTCGAGATTCTCGCAAAGCCCCAGCTGCCTCTCGAGTCTGTGAATGTACAACCGCCCCCGATACCGCGACGAGCCGCTGTGGCGAGCAGCGCAAGTAGGCCGCCTCCTGCCCCTGTGCAGCCCACCACCAAGCCCCCAGCGGCGCCCATAGCCGCCGAACCGCAGAGCGCCGGCTCCAGCTCCAACCTGACGAAGCATCAGGCGAAAGTAATAAATGGCATTAAGCACGAGCTGGACCGTCTGCAGCCTCGCCAGGACGACACCAAGGAGCAGGGTCGCAAGCTGCGATCGCAGGAGGCGACCCGCTTCAAGAGCGAGCTCTCAGCCTATTTCCCGGACTACGATGAAGTAATAGGGAACGACCCCAAAGAAGAACGTGAGCAGCCCCGTCTACCCGCCTCCGAAACTGCCGTGCCAATTCCCTTGCCACAATCTTGAGGTTTTTATTGCTGTTATACGACGTGCAACTTGTTTTTTTTCTGACGAGTCGATTTAGATTTACTCAACCCCGAAACGCCGATTATTATTATCGATACCAGTCTGTCGCGCGCGATTCCCGATCCTCCTCGCAATGCACCTCGACCCCACCATCGAGCTCCAGGTAGCATCGACTTTCCAGTCAGAGGATACGGCGATGCGCTATTCACCGACGTATTCGACTCTCAGCGCATCGATTTTGGCTTTCTAGAAGCCCAGCACAAGAACAAAAACATAGAAGATCCCCTGCCCGACAGCTTGTTCGAGCCCATTCATAAAAAAGCCGAGAGGGTTGAGCGATCGATCCGCAATACAGAGAAAGGCCGAGCACAACATGAGAAGGACCAAATCATCCGACTGCTGGAAGGCCTTCAAGGCCATGACTGGCTGAGAGTAATGGGCGTCAGCGGCGTCACGGAGACGAAGAAGAAGAAGTTTGAACCTGCTCGGATGCATTTCATCAAAGGCTGTCAAGTTATACTGGCTAAATTTCGCAATTGGAATCTCGAAGAGAAGCGACGAAAGCTGGAGAAGGAGAAAGCATTGGCAGAAAAGGCCGAGCAAGAGGGTGAAACCGACGAGAGTGAGGATGAATCTCAGGAGAGCCGGGATGGCCTTTCCAAGCAGAGTGAAGGCGAGGATGAGGAGGAGGGCGAGGGCGAGGGCGAAGGGGAAGACGAAGACGAAGACGAAGACGACGTTGAAGAAGACGAGCCTTCTCAAGACGATACTAGCGAGACGTCATCACCGGCTAAGCAACTTCGACGAGAGGCGAGGGCAAGATCAAAGCTGGCATTGGCAGACTCCACAAAGCTGCGAATAGCTCACAGACCTATGCCACCGATAAAACCTCCAGAGCCTCCAAAAGAGTTTAAATCCTTCTTCTCCAAAAAATACGAGCGTGATAGCGCGCTTAACCGGCAAAGGCGAGCAGGAAGAAAGGTTCTTGCCTGGGGTCTTCCGCTACCCGAAATTGCTGAGGCCGACTTCATATTGCCAGAAGAATATCGAGATGAAGAGACGCTAAAGGCACGCGAAAGGAAAAAGCGCAGAGACAGGCGAGAGCTGCGGACTTCGAAATAACGTCCAAATCATTGTCATGGGGCGTCATTGGGAGGGGAACAGGAGATCAAGGTACATGTACAGTGGGCGTCTAAGGGTCTGATTTGAAGGGCGTTTGGTAGTTTATAGGTCATATATTGGAGATGATGGCCCAGCAGGTTTTTTTTTTAGCAGCTCTTGTAAGATTATACCAAAGCATCAATGCACCATGGACCTGAGAGTGTACCATTCTCGGGACAATTTTTAAACTGTAATAAAGAAGAAGGGGAAAAAAAAAATTAAACATGATTATCAGTGAGTAAAACGAGCATGTGATAAGAGGTGCTGATAGTAAATGCAATTATGACATCGATGGAATTGAGAAGTGAAAAGAGGCTGCGGACGCTCGGAGCTTCGAAATTGAGCAGGTGTTGGTATGATGTAAGAGGTTGATTGTAGGTGTCTATATTCACATGCAATCGGAGTGCAGCGTGCTACAACCACAAATGGTATGGAAAACCCTGAATGTAACCTCTGAAGAAGTGATTCAAGACCTGATATGTATAGTTACGGTCAAGCAATGTGCGCATTTAGTTGCTACACGCAATTGTCCAAGAGCCTGAGCTTCAGCAGCAATGGTATAGTAGTAGCGTTTGTAGAAATTTGGCTAGTGAAGTTTGGGCTGGGAGCGGCAAGCGGCAAGCAGCAAGCAAACAGAGGTGGTCCGTGCTCCTCAAGCTTCTTTCGTGGGAGACGCGCCGCCACCACTCTGGCAATTTGTCCAGCCAACGTATCCGCCATAGCTTTTTGCGACCCTGCCTTTCCAGCATCTTCCGTATCTCTTTTTCTCTGTAGGATTGGAGTTTGGCGATCTAATTCCTTGCGTCTCTTTCATAATTACCACCGCTTTCTCGCCCGAGGCCACACCCCTTTGCGACTCACCACCACCTCGAGCGACGACCGGACGAAGTGCGATGAACCGATGGTGATCGGGTAGCTCTCACTCTCTCCTCAGATGCGCTCGCGACAAGTCCATCGAGCTCGATGCAGTGACTCTACAATTTGAAGCTCGCTAGAGCCACGCCGCTCACAACTCTCCCCGCTCCTCAATCTCTCATACCCCAGTCACTACCGTGGCCATGGCTGCGTTTATCAGCGGCTCCAATTCGGCACCAGACATGGAAGACCAGGCGTTATCGCAGCATCCGCTGCTAGACGGGCGAGATGGACTGCCTCCCATCGAGGACCGGCCGGTGCTCGGATATTTTGTTATCAAGCAGGAAGTCAGCCTTGACGTCAACTTTCGAGATCGACGCATCGACGGCACGACGGACATTTTCATAGTGACTTTTACGGATAAGGCTTCCGAAGAAATCCTTCTCGATGCTGCGCAGTGCGAAATCGATACAGACAACATTACGCTTACCGAAATGCGGGAGGTACAAGGAGAGGCTGTTGAAGGGCAGAAGCGCAAGGTGACGGCCGAATACCGCGATCCGTATCAGAAGCTAGCGCACCCCAAGGGCTGGAACTGGCGGGCTGAACATCACGATCTTCGCCGGATCCGCGCTCGTTCAGTTTTCCATAGCCGCAGGACCGACGTGCCCGCCGAAAATAGAGAATTCGAGGGTTGTACGCCCGTCTACGGCTCGTTGAAGGTGAATCTTCGCAGCAAAGGAGAGCAAGAACGCCCGAGGTTGATCATCAGAAAATCGACTACAAACCTGGATAGTTTGGAAAAATCTCACAAGCAATTCAAGATTACTGTGCCGTTTACAAACAAGAACCCGAGAGATGGCCTGCATTTTGTTGGTGTTGACCCGCTGGATAACCGTTTCACACACATGTATACTCGCCATTCGATCCAGCCAGGAACCGCGTGCTGCATTTTCCCCTGTGTCGACGATCATGGCGCCCGGTGTGATTGGAGGATATCCATCAAGTACCCCCGGACTCTGGGCGATGCCCTTCAACAGGCTCTTGCAACGCAACAGGATGGCCCATCCCACAACGGTGTCGAGAAGTCTCAAGTTGATGGCCATGATCTTCACTTTAAGCTAGCTGAAGAGGATAAGCTGCGGGAGATGTCTGTGGTCTGCTCTGGTTTCTTAATGGAAGAGACCACAGACCCCGACGACGACCACAAGAAGATTATGATATTTGAGCCAGAGAAGCAAGTCTCTGTACAGAAGCTTGGGTTTGCCATAGGCCCCTTTGAGCATATCAACCTCTCCTCAGAGTCACGAACCGAAGAAGATGAGGTGAAGCTCGGGATGAGCGCACTGAAAATCCATGCATACTGTTTGCCTAACCGGGCAGACTGGGTTCGCAATACTGCCGCAGCCTTAACCATGGCTGCTGATTTCTTTACGTACACATTTGCCAAGTATCCCTTTGGCAATTTCAAGCTCTGTTTCCTCGACGACATGGTGGAGGACACAACGGTGCTGCACTCCTTGGCTTTCATAAGCAACCGACTCCTATACCCCGAAGACATTATCGATCCAGAAATTGAAACGACAAGGAAAATTGTTTACACTCTGACATCTCAATGGATAGGGATCAACATGATCCCGAATACGCGAAACGATATGTGGCTTGTGATTGGACTAGCTCATTACATGACGGATCTGTTCATGAAAAAGCTCTGCGGCAACAATGACTACAGGTTTCGAATGAAAATGTTGGCGGATAAACTTGTCGAGACTGATGTTGGTCGACCCTCTCTGTCGGATCTTGGGCATAGCCTCCACCTTGGCGAATTTGAGATGGAGTTCATGGCCTTGAAAGCACCCATCGTCTTCTTTATTCTCGATAAGCGATTGAGCAAAGCGTCTGGTGGCCACGGATTGACTCGCATCCTCCAGAAACAGCTGACCCGGGCTCAGATTGAAAGCAGTGATAAATTTCTCATTCTTGACTCCGAAAAATTCAGAGCTACGTGCGAGAAAGCTGCCAAATATCGCCTCGAAAGCTTTTGGAATCAGTGGATACATGGCTCAGGCTGTCCGAAATTCGATGTCAAGGCTAAATTTAACAAGAAGAGACTCTGCGTGGAGTTGATGTTGATACAAACACAACAGCAAACTATAAAGAAGACTGAGCTCAGTAAAGACGAATTCTTTCGAGCTATCAAAGAACGAAGAGCAGATCTTAAGATTGGTGAGACACAGCCATTGTTTACTGGCCCCATGACCGTCCGGATTCATGAAGCCGATGGAACCCCTTACGAGCATATCCTAGAGATTCGAGAGGATGCTGCGCGTTCTACAAAATTTGAGATCCCTTATAATACGAAATATAAGCGACTAAAGAGAACGCGCCGTATGAAGGAGAAGCACAACGCAGGCGCAAGCATGGAGATACCTGAAAATACTGATGATGCTCTACTCTACTGCCTCGGAGACGTCCTGCAGAGTCCAGAGGATCTCCGCGACTGGGAACTGATAGAGTGGGACCCAGAAACCGAACGGAAAATGGACCAAGAATCCTACGAGTGGATTCGCGTTGACGCCGACTTCGAATGGGCGTGTAGCATGAATAGAACTCTTGAGCCATACATGTATGTGTCTCAACTGCAGCAAGACCGGGACGTTGTCGCCCAGCAAGATGCCATGCTGTATCTGTCGACTGGCCCGCTTCATCCGATTGCCTCTGGATTCCTTGTACGAACACTTGTCGATCGTCGTTATTTCCACGGCATCCGGACTATGGCAGCGAAAGCCCTGACCAGGCAGGCCAATATCAAGGACATTCCGATGCTGGGACTCCGACAGTTGATGCGGGCTTTTCGCGACATGTTTTGTTATGACCAAACAAACCAGCCTCTTCAAAACGACTTCTCTGACAAGAGACAGTACAATGTCCGGTGTTCAATTATCAGAGCCATCTCTGAGGTTAGGGATGGCACAAATTACTGTCCATTCGAGGCCCGACAGTTTATTTTAGACCAACTGCTTTTTAATAACAACGAGAACAACCCGTATTCTGACCATCACTACATAGCTTTGCTGGTTGAAGCGCTGGCTACGTCGCTTATTCCTGCCCAGGCAGACGAGTGGTTCAAGCGACAAGTCAAAATTCCCACCGAAGAGGAACGCCGGTTTCTCGAGGAGGCAATGGAGCAGATTGAACGCGTTCTAAGACGTGATGAGTGGACACATTCGTACCAGAATATTTGGACCATTGCAGGGTTGGATGCGAAGCAGCGTCTCATGAAAGCAGAAGTGATACCCATCAACTACGCTGAATTTGGTCAGTATCTACTAGATGGAACAAACGATCTAATTCGCATCAAGTGTTTTGAGGCTCTGATCGATCTTGGGGCACTGATGGACCCGACCGTTTTCACCTTCCTGTTCTACTCTCTAATGACGGATCGATCGCCTTTTGTTCGTGACAGACTTATTCAGGCGGTGGCTCGGGGGCTTGCTGCCATTGCATTCGGTGAACACTCAAAGGCTGTTAAGAACGAGCCTGCCCAGGATGAGGCGGATGCTTTACTGCTTATCCAAGATAGTGCCGAGGAAGTTGCTGCCAGAAAGGAAAAGTTTGCTCGAAAAGAGAATCTAGATGCTGCGCTGAAAGCTTTGAGGAAGGAAATGGAAGAGACGTATAACGGTGATGAAAGGCACTACAGCACCGCCATGCGTAAGGCGTTGGACCACCCTGGTCTTGGGCGGGCTGAAATTGAGTCGCTGCTTGATTTGGCAGCTATGATGTTTGAGGAAGCGAGAAGCTGGGTGCTCACACTCAACTTGCCCAAGGGCTGGAAGGTGGAGCGCCCTGTGGTTCAGCTTTCGGACAGAGTAAGTCACTGCATACTTTCCCTTCTTTACTTTAACATATAGATAATCTGACTCTCAATAGCTTATGATGAACTTCAAGTCTTACTATAAGACCAAGTTGAAGAATGCAGTGCCTGCACCACGGACTCCTGCCCCTGAGGTGAAATTGCCTCCTCCTTTGCCAAGATCATCATCTATCAAAATCAATACGAAGGCCGCGCAGCCGCCGCAGCCCCAGCCACTCTCACAGCCACCTCAACCGGCGCGGCCTGTAGCTATTCCCAAGCCAACGCCTCCTACAGACACTATAGTTGCGGCTCCAGGGGTCTCTCGTCCTTTGAATGGCACTAACTCGCTTCTTAAAACTGGCATTAAGCTCGAATCTCAATCAGGAGTACTGGCCAAACGGCCTCGGCCAGAAAAGGGGGATCAAGTGTCAACACCAAAGAGACCCAAAGTGGAAGGGCCGTCATCGAGCTTTGAAAGGATCACTGCTCTTCCGAAGAAGCGGCGCATCGTCACTCTCAGAACATCCAATCCAAAGCGCCTCGCTGTCATCCTTGGTCATACAAAGACTCTTTCGTCTATTCCTAGCAGGACGGCTTTACCTTCTGGGGCTTCCAAGGAACAGCCGGCACTCGGGTTGGCCAAGGACATCAACGCTCTGAAGCCTGCGCGTAAGCCGCTGCCTTCTGGAGACATAGTTAGGAAGCCCTTGCCAATGGGTGGTTCGTCTTCGAGTCTTTCGAGCCTTGGAAATTCTCCGACTAGTAAGATTTTTGCGAAGCATCGCCCCCCCATGCCTGGGCCTAAACCGCCTAGCAAATCTCCCAGCAAGTCTCAGTCTCCGAGCAAATCAGCTACTCCGCCGGTGCCTAGTCAACCAGCGGCAGCAGCGGCGGCAGCGGCAGCCCCGGCAGCTGTTCCAAGCGCACGTCCCAAGATCAAGATTATCAGAAAGCCTCAACCATCTCAGGCTCCTCCTGCGCCATGAAGAAGAATTGCCTGTCTAGACGAAAGCCAATGAAGAAGCTGCATAGAAAAAAAAAATAAGGGGGCGTTTGGAAGCTGACATATTCGAAAAAGAGACAAAAGTAAAGAAAAGTAAAGAACGAAGAAATAATTCTACGAGAAGGTTCTCATTTTTTTCTACGCGTGGGGAGGTGATGAGTTTTTACGCATTGATACCTTTCTTTTTTCCTCTTCTCTATTCGTAATCTCCCTCTTTTCTGAGAGAAGAGTATGTCGATTTGTATTTACTAGCATTATCATGGCGTTTGGAAGGGAAGGGGGATGAAACGTATGAACGACTTTTCACAATGCTCTATGGGAGTCGGGGCAGTTATGAAGACGACAGTTGAATTTTAGGACGGGGCGAGACATGGGTTAGGAGGAGGGTTTTAATACACATCTTTGATAGAAACGTAAGAACCCTAACATGCTTGATCTGGATTGACGTGGACACATTTGGATCGGTGCATGTTTTTGGTGTAGCAGGCAGTTGAGATGGTTTATGGATAATTGACCCACCCAAGAAATCAACTCTTCGAGATTTAATTCTAATGCAGTTGTATAGGCTCAAAAACCCTGCAAAGGCAAGACATCAACTCATTGCATGAAAATTACATGTACAATTCCAAGTCCACGGGTATACTTGCAGCTCATGGGCATAGCATGTATTATCATTGGCGGTAGCCCATGTGTCTGTCTATCTTTGTAGGGTATATAACCAACATGGGCTGTAGCTGAAAAGCGTTTCTGGGAGATTAACGAGACATGCACAGACTTATCTTGTAGCTGAAAAAATCAAACCTGCCGCCGCTCTATATATATAAATGGTTTACCCTTGAACAAACCGTTTTATGCTTTGACATCTTCCTCCTTGCCCCATCGTGCAGTCTCGTCGCCATCCTTCCATTCCCGCTCAACGTAGCCAATCTGCTGCTTGACTTTTTGAACCGTCTCCTTGTCGCCAGTATTCTTTCCAGAATTATCACTGTTCAAAGTAAGCATATGAGTCATGTCGCATTGCTGAGGTATAAAAAACTAACCTGATTTTGACAGCTGGCCGACCAGCAGCTGAGCTGAGCTTAATGACAATATTCAGTGGCACTGACTTGGTTCCAGTCGAAAGGTGCGTGAAATCGTTTGTTAAGAAGGTGCCGACACCGAAAGATGGCTGAAAGCCGTACTTTTGAGAGATTGCGAGATACTCCAGACAGCTATCGATGTTCAACGAGTCAGAAAACACAAGCGTCTTCTTGTCCTTGATGCCCTGCGCATCGTAGTAATCGCGCAGCAGCTTGACGTATTCGGCGGGGTCTCCGGAATCTTGTCGTACTCCGGCAAACATCTCAGCGTACGTCTTCATGCTTCCATCAGCCTTCTGGAAGACTTCAGGGCTGAAGCCGCCGTCAACCGGACGGATGGGTAGGCTAAAGGCCCTGAGGAATTCTTGTGTGCCAAAGGTGTCTGTCAGAGCAATGGTCAAGTTGGGACCGAAAGAGCTGACCCAGTGACGCAGAGCCTCTTCGGTTGCCTTGGTATAGTCGTTGGTGATGGCAGCTATTCCCATAAACCACTCATGGGCTACGGTGCCGACAGGCGGGATGTTGAAGCGCATGGCCAAGTGCACATTACTCGTGCCAGTCAACTTTCCAGGGAAACCCTTTGCGGCCGCCTCCTTCGATGCCTTAACTAAGCCGCGAAATACAAGTGCCTGGGTATGGTAGTCACGGCGTCTTCGGGTTCCGAATTCGGAAGTGGTGCATCCAGCTTCAAGAAGGCGTAGACCCTTCTCAAAGGCCTTTTCTTCTTGTCCTTCGTAGTTCCAGTCTGTGTCGATGAAGCGGAAATAAGCCTCAGAAGTAAGCGCTAATATAGGGATCTCATAGAGAATCGTGTCGGACCAAGTGCCCTTGATCTCCATGTGGACGTCGCCAACATCCGAGTCAGAGCCCGTGTCGTCTCCAACGGGGGTGAATGTCGTGAAAACCTGCTCCCGAGGCCGCAGCCGGAAGTCCTTGAGGAATTCGAGATAGTCAGAAGTTAGATACTTGCAGTGTTCCTGCAAGAATCGATACTCCTCGTCAGACAGTGAGATGTTGCCGAGCCCTGTCAGGATACGTCAGTATACACGCAACAGGCTCTCGAAAGTGGCATTGGATAACACTGCTTCGGAGAACAAAAAGGTACATACTGCGGATTTGCTCCTCTAGCCATTTGAAAGCAGCTCGGGAGAGCTTCTTGTCGGGGGTTCTATTGGTGAAAGCATAGGTCACAGGAACGTCCTTGAAGAACTTGAAGACGGCACATTGCATCGTCAGCTTATACAAGTCAGTGTCTAGGAAGGAGATGACTCCCTCCGGGAAGGGAGAAGAGCTGTTGAAGTCCATGGTTGGAGATGAATAAGAAAAAATGAGAGAAAATGCTATGGCGCGACAATGATTATGGAAGCGGAATGATTCATCAAGGTCGTTTAGTAGTTGCCGGAAAAGTGTTTTGGGTTAAGTTTAGTCTATTCAGCTACACTGGCGGGGCCGCTCAAGAGTTGAAAGTTACTGCTGATAAATTTGGGAACTGGCACCATTGATCCGAAATGATACCGCCCGGCGCCCTGCGGTTCTGGACCGAGCCAAGATGCCGAGTTTGCGCACGAGAGATTTTACTTCAAGTTGTTTCAGGGTGCTGCCTGGTACCTACTAAGCTTGCTACAGCCTTTCTCTCTACCAAGGTGTACCTTTGCAGGTCTACTACTACCTGAAATAGTAACACGCCCAGAGTACATTAGCGGGCAGCTGTTGCGTGGGAGATGAAACATAACGAAAGGAAAGATGTCCGGTTTACACTAAGCCTTGAGTGAGAGTACAGCAACATGTCCTCATTTCCTGAAGACACTATTTCGATCAATATTAATAATCCGAAACTGGTCGTATGCATGAGCTAAACGCTGTAAACAATCAACTGGAAAGTCTCTCAAGGGTCCTCTAGTGGCCTGCCAGCTTATTTGCACGCCCCATGATATCATGCGGCGCCGAATTCCGCTGTGCCAGAGGGTGATAAGGGAACAACGATGATCCGCGCCTTCAAACATAGCTAAAAACCTTCAGCTAGTAACGAATTCCGCTCTAGAGAGCTTATCGCCACGTGACAAAGAAGCCTCCGCGGCACGCCCAGGCGATGGCTGTCAGATCTCGTCACCCTTTGAATTCGGAGCTACCCAGGTTTGCACCGGTACAAAATTGTGTGCCCTCCAGAGATTTTTTTGTTGTTTGCTATTGCCGTGTCTTTCTTCTGATCGAATCTTGTCTTGGGGCTTGAGCTTCCATGTAGGAGCACATCGGCTCAGCTGTGCCCATAAGCTGTAAGTCGTTTCTCTCTTCTGCTCTCGCGCGACAAAAGAGATCTAGCCGAACAATCTCCTGAGCCGGCTGTGAGGTGTGGATGAGCAAACACTCACAGATTGCCGTTACTGTTCGCCGACGTGGTTCTCCAAGAGAGAGCACGTAAATACTGCCTTGTTCTGCTCGATGTCGCCTCCAGCTGTCTCTTGTTTTGAATTTTGCTAATAAAAATCCTTGTCGGCAGATCAGCATGAACAGCCAAAATCTACACGGCCACGGCGGCAGCGCGCCGTACGACCGAGAGCGCGATATGGATGAACGACATCGCGCCATCCAACAGCACGAAGAGATGGCTCGCCGCGACCAAGAACGAGATAGAGAGCGCGAGCGAGAACGAGACAGCGACCGTTACCCGCCGGCGCCGCACCAGAGCAGCGCCGGCTCGATTCCCATTCACCAGCCGGTGGCCTCGCGGATCTCCGGTGCCATACACAGTCCCGGAGGGCTGCTCGCGAATCATAATGGCAACGCGCCGCCCATCCCTCTCGGCGCCCCGTCGGGACCGCTAGGTAACTTTGGCGGGCCTTTGCAGGGCGAGCATGGACGGCCGATCCAGCATGGCGGACCGGGCGGTGCCAACGGGCAACACCAAATGTTCGCCTCGATTTCTCATACACAACCACCTCCCAACGGCTCCCAGGCGGCGCCGGGCGGCGGTATCTTCGGCGGGCCTCTACAGCCGCAACACCAACAAGAGGGAGGACGCGGAGGCCAACAGAATGCGTCGATGGTTGGCGTGGCTCCTGGTGGGCACCAGATTCCCGGTGGCATCACCCAGGGTCAGCAACCTATTTTGAATGTGAGTGGGTGCATTTTCCTTGTTCCTACACGCTCGAGTTTATACCTTTTTTTCTCCTCTCTTGTTTGAGTAGAGTGAGCGCAAAGTCAAGTGAGTGGCCTTGCAGCCTGCAGGTGGCTTTGGAGTGGCAGCCAGCCGCTGAGGAGATAAACAAACGGCTTTCAGATGTGATTCACTCTTGGGTGCTCGCATATTTCTTCCCCTCTTTTCATCAGTCTTCAGCTCGTTTGCCTCCCTCCGTCTTTTCTGGATAGAGGATTGCCCATTCTCTTTTTCTTCCTCCTTTGCCTCTGCTGCCTACCCGCCCCCGCCCAGCAATCACACATGGATGCGCTGTAACGGCTGCATAAACACACCATTTCCTTTCTTGCGTGCTGTTACACAAGCCTGAACGCGAGCCCAAATCGAGCGCGAAGATGGATAAGCTACAACAGTATCCCGCAATGGCCATCACACTGCCATCTGGCCGTCCACTGGCCAGTGTCGTTGATCCGGTGGGACTTCAAACCATGGCTTTCTTCGATTTCCCAGCCGGGACACGAGAAGTCGTCACTGCTTTCGTTGCTGGCGGCGAGCGTTTGATCTTGGCCTGTCGCGATGACGCTAGGCTCTGGGGCTTCTACCATCATTTTCATGTGCCGTTGAATCTACATCATTCGATGCTTCCGTTGCTCAGTCGCTGATATTTTTGATCGTTTAGGATGCTCTCACCTATCTCGACCAAGTCAAGGTGCAGTTTCACGACCAGCCTGACGTTTATAACAGATTCCTCGACATAATGAAAGATTTCAAAAGCCAGGCGTATGCATCTCATATGCATTTTGTAACTTACAGACGCTGACATACCCTTAGAATTGATACACCCGGCGTCATTAACCGTGTTTCTGAGCTGTTCGCTGGCCACCCAAATCTGATCCAAGGCTTCAATACGTTTTTGCCCCCTGGATATAGAATTGAGTGCGGAGCCGGTAACGACCCGAATACTATCCGAGTCACTACCCCTATGGGAACTACAGTCCAGTCCATCGCTGGACGGGGACCACAGCCTGAAGGACATGGACTTGCTGTTGGAGGCGGCCAGCCATTATTCCCTGAGCGTGGAAACCAATGGCAACAAAGGCCTCAGCACAATATTGAGAGCCCAGAGGCTACCTTTAGTACTCCAGTGCAGAATGGCGCAAATTTGTTCGTCCAGGCAGCAACCCAAAGCGGCGCGTTTGAAGGCCCAGGAAGTCATCAGCAACGCAATCCTTCCCAAATGCAGGGAAATGCAGGCCCGCCTGGCGGACCAAATGCAAGGAATGCCCACACTCCATTGCCTACTTCTGGCCCGGGTGCAGCTAATGGCGGTGCGGCTAACCCAGCAAATATGGAACGTCGTGGCCCTGTTGAGTTTAATCACGCTATCAGCTATGTAAACAAAATCAAGGTAAGCACCTATCGTTGAGGTGTCTATCTAACCTGTTGACTAATATTCAATCCATATAGAATCGCTTCCAAGATAAGCCTGAGATCTATAAACAGTTTCTCGAAATCCTGCAGACTTACCAAAGAGAACAAAAGCCGATACAAGATGTCTATGCTCAAGTGACTACTCTCTTCAACTCGGCACCTGACCTCTTAGAGGACTTTAAGCAGTTTTTGCCGGAGTCTGCGGGCCAAGCCAGAGCACCGCCAGGCCGCCCAGAAGATGGCACCGCTGCTGGATCTGCACACACCCCTCAGCCAGGACTGAGAGATGGACAGAAGATGCCTCCTCTTGGGAGCTTTGCGCCACCAGTCAGCGCAGGCAAAGATACCAAGAAACGGCCACGCACTGACAAGCAGACTCCTACTCCTGGTGCTCTTCTCCCAGATCCTCCCGTTGCGACCCGAATTCCTCCTCAAAATTTGAACGGTAGCAAGCGACCGAAGCTGAGCCATGCCAGAGGTAGCGGAGACGCTGGTTCCATCGAGCCTACCCTTACGCCCGTTATGCCCGAACCTTATCCTCCTCGCTCTCCCGCTACATCAAATCAGGAGGAAATTGCCTTCTTTGAGAGGGTAAAGAAGTTCCTCAGCAATCGGTCTGCGATGAACGAGTTTCTCAAACTCTGCAACCTTTTTAGCCAAAATATCATTGACAAGAACACTTTATATCACAAAGGTGCTCTTTTTATCGGCGCAAACCCAGAGCTGATGACCTTTTGGAAAGCCTTTGTCGGCGTCGACTCTCAAGATGTGGTTATCGACAATAGACCAGCGCCGCCGCTTGAGAAGGTCTCTTTGAGCAATTGTCGTGGCTACGGGCCTAGCTACAGGCTCCTACCAAAGAGGGTAAGTCATGAGAATGAATCGCCAGTTCTTACTCATTTCATCGCTGGCTAACATGTGCTTCTCCACAGGAACGTCTCAAGCCTTGCAGTGGCCGCGATGAGCTCTGTAACTCAGTTCTAAATGACGAATGGGCGTCGCACCCGACTTGGGCCAGTGAGGATTCCGGATTTGTTGCTCATCGTAAAAATCAGTTTGAAGAGGGCCTTCACCGTATCGAAGAGGAGCGCCATGATTACGATTTTAACATTGAAGCCAATCTGAAGTGCATTCAGCTCCTGGAGCCTATTGCTCAGCAAATGCTTGCAATGTCGCCATCTGAGAGAGAGGCGTTCCACATGCCCTCTGCTCTTGCCGGCCAAAGCACTTCCATATTCAAGCGCATTTGCAAGAAAATTTATGGAGAGCGCGGCATTGATGTTGTCAATGACATGTACACGCATCCATTTGATGTTATACCCGTACTTTTGGCTCGCATGAAACAAAAGGATGAAGAGTGGCGATTCTCTCAGCGAGAATGGGAAAAAGTGTGGCACGCTCAAACGCATAACATGCACCTCAAGAGTTTGGATCACATGGGCATCCTCGTCAAGTCAACGGACAAGAGAAATCTGACGGCGAAGCATCTGGTGGATGTCATCAAAACCAAGCACGAAGAGCAACGTCGCGAACGCATTCTCAAAGGGAAGGCGCCTCGTCACCAATTTGTCTGGGACTTCAAGGACAAGGACGTCGTTCTTGATCTTCTGCGTCTTATGATGCTCTACAGCATGCATAATGGTCAGCACAGTGGCCAAGAAAAGGAACGTATCTTGGACTTTTTTGAGACGTTCGTCCCGGCCTTTTTTGATCTCTCGGAGGACATTGTCCAGGAGAGAGTCCCAAAGATGCAACCCGAATCTGGTGAAGAGGAGATTGAAGACCAGACGCCGGCTGAGTTGACCAACGGCCGCAGTCGCCGCAATGGAAAAAAGGGCGATCTCCTTAGAGGGGTCCTCGACCCTGGCCGAAACGGTAGCAAACCACGAAATCAGAAAGAGGACAGCGCCGCCTCTGGTAGTAAAGAGACCACCCCCGAAGTTGGATCTGCCAATGAAGAAGAGATGGCTGATGTTAATGACGACGCGGCTGTCACCGAGGTATCGAATGAGCGATGGATGCCCACTATTCCTAAGCCAGTGGTCGTTGGTGACAGCGATAATGCTCTCCTTGATGCTGATGGAGAGCTCAAAGCGGACGGCTTCTTCACTCGCCCGTGGTACAACTTTTTCTGCAACCAGACCATGTTTGTTTTCTTCAGCATCTTTCAAACGGTTTATTCCCGACTCCTAGATATCAAGGACAGCAAAGATGCTGTTGCTTTTGCGATTGACCGACTCAACAAGCCCAAGCCTGCTAGAGATCTGGGCTTTACGGAGAACCACATGACATTCTTTGATCCCAGTGAAGAGCCTTCTAAATTTTGGCCCAAGACTCTGGAGCTTATCGAGGATTATATTACAGGAGAAATTGATGAAAACCGATACCAAGATGTCATGCGGCACTATTATCTGAAAAACGGCTGGAAGCTGTACACTATTCAAGATCTACTCAAGACGCTTTGTCGTCTAGCTCTGACCTGCAAGAGTCTGGACGCCAAAGAGAAGACACCAGATCTGATTCAGCAGTATCTGCTCAGCCGAGAAAAGGAAGAGACTAGTTATCAGACTGAGATCAGCGCCAGAAAATTTGCAGAGAAGTGTGTTAAGGATGGTGATCTGTTTGTTGTCTGCTGGGTAAGTTTATGGACACTATTTTCTTTTTTTGCCCACCCCCCTACAGCGGCTAATTTTTGAACATAGTTCCCTCAGAAGTCAGAAGCCACCGTTCGATGGCTCCAACGAGACGAGACCACTTTCTACATGGATGAGATGCAACTCCGTGAGAGGTGGCAATACTACATCTCCTCTTTCATCCGCGTCGAACCTACCGAGGGTGTTGCTCGATCGAAGATGAAGAAGGTGGTTCTCACTCGCAACCTACCATCTGGGGAGGCTGACAACGATGAGGATGGCATCCCTAAGCCGGTATCATACAAAGAAAGCCTTACAGTCAGCATCTGTCTCAAGAGCTCCAAGATGATTTGGGCTCCCGGTACCTCCGAGTACTTCGTTTACGACCAGGCTCCAAGATCCAAAGAGCAACGCGAACATCGCGAGAAGCTCACCAAGGCGACGAGCAGTTTCCGTGAACGAAAGCTTCTTGAAAAGATGGTGCACAACCCAGTCTGGGCCAAAGATATGAGCCCCGAGGAAGTTCAAGAGATCAATGGAAACTTCCGCAGGTGGATGGATGAGGGAGTCCCTCCAGTTGGTTCTAATGAGGACGTGGACATGGATTAGGAAATCTCACTGGCCGGTTCTATTGAGGACATAGACAGAGTTTTAGACAGCTGTCTGGCCGGTTCTAATGAGGACATAGACAGGGTTTTGGACAGCTGTCTGGCCGTTTCTAATGAGGACGTGGACGGAGATCCGGACAACCGGCCCTTTTTTTCACTCCGATTTTGACGTTTTATTTCCCCCTCCCATTCTCTTTTTCAATCAGAGAAAGAGTAATCATATTTGGCATGCTTCGAGCGGAATTGGGCTACGCTTCTTGATTTATACATATTCCCCTCCCAACCCCCCCCCCCCCTAAGTTTGCTATGACTTTAGCAAACGAAAAGGGAGAAAAAAGCATTAAGGGACACCTTTCCCTCTTTGGGGACAAAAAGTACAGCATACGATGCGAGAAAAAAAAATTTATGTGAACAGAAAAACTAAACTGGCACGAAGTTCTAATGGAATTGATATTCGACGCGGAGTAGGTGGTAAAAGGGAGGGTAGGCTGCGTGCTGGTAGTATATCTTGCAGCGTACATTGTTTCTCTCTCTTTCTCTCTCTTTTCTATATGGGAGTGCTAGTTTCTGTATTTTACGTTTTGCTTTTCATTGTTTTTCCACCCCAAAGTACGGAATATTGGGGATTTTCTTTTTACTCTTTGGTAGCTCTATGCAGTACTATAGCTTGAATTGACGAAGATTAAGACTGAGATGGGTCGCTCTTTTGCACAAGTGATGAGATTGATCAAAGTTCAAAGTTCATAGAAGAAGAAGAAAAAATCGTTATATCCAAGAAATGGAAACGTATGGTTATCTTAGAGGGAACTGCGTCTTTGGACGAATGAAGAATTGCTCATCTTTAAATTTAATTTTACTTTGTATTATATTTTATATCCCTAGCCTGTTATCCAACTATGTCTCAGCCTACTTTTATGTATGGCGGTATATATCGCTGGTTCCTAAATGTATATGCTTCCTCCAAGCTCTTCTATCTCGCTTTTATTATTCAGCTCATATATTCATGATGGTATTTTTGTTTTCTCATAATTTTGATGCCTCTGGGTGAGAGGCTTGATCAGATGTGGGTAGTCACTGCAGGTTCTCGATAACCAGAGCAGAGGCACCACCGCCACCGTTGCAGATACCAGCAACACCAATCTTGCCCTTCTTCTCTGCCAAGACTGAGGTCAGAGTAGAGAGGATACGGGCACCGGAGGCACCCAGAGGGTGGCCGATGGCGACTGAGCCGCCAAAGACGTTGACCTTCTCAGGGTTGAGGCTCAGAAGTTGAATGTTGGCGAGGGCAACGGCGGAGAAGGCCTCGTTGATCTCGTAGTAGTCGACATCATCGGCAGTGAGACCGGCGTGCTTGATGGCCTTGGGGATGGCAGCAGCGGGAGCAATGGTGAATCGCTCAGACTCGCGCTCTGCATCACCCCAGCCGAGAATCTTGGCAATGGGCTTGAGACCGAGCTCTTTGAGCTTACGCTCAGAGACAAGAACGACAGCGGCAGCACCGTCGTTCAGGGGAGCGGCGTTGGGGGCAGTGACGGTACCGGTACCGTCAGTCTTGAAAGCCGGGCGAATAGCCTTGAGCTTGGCCTCGTTGAGGTTCTTGACCTCATCGTCTCGGTCAATGGTGACATTGGGCTTGCCGCGGCCGCCAGGAACCTCGACAGGAACAATCTCCTTGAAAAGGCCGGCCTCGGTGGCAGCCTGAGCCCTCTTGTAGGTGCTGATGGCATATTCGTCCTGGGCCTCGCGAGTGAGCTTGTGCTCCTCAGCGCAGAGCTCGGCCTCAAGACCCATGTGCTGATTCTTGAAGGAATCGATGAGACCATCCTTCAAGACACCCTCGATGAGAGTTTGGTCACCGTACTTGACGCCGGTGCGCATGTTGGGCAGGTAGTGGGGAGTGTTGGACATGGACTCAGAGCCGGCGGCAACCACAATATCGTTGATGCCAAGCATGATGTTTTGGGCACCGATGATGACCGCCTTCAGGGATGAAGCGCAGACTTTGTTGACGGTGGTGGTAATGACGTTGTTGGAGAGGCCAGCGCCGATGGCGGCCTGACGAGCGGGAGCCTGACCCAAGCTAGAAGAAGAAATATGTATGAGTATCCATGTTTGATCGGGTCGTGGTTCGTAAAGGGCTTGGGATTCGGCTTACTTGGCAGAGAGGACATTGCCAAAGAAGACCTCTTCGACGTCTTCGGGCTTGATGCCAGAGCGCTCAACGGCTCCTAAGAAGCTGTTAGAGACGGGTACAAGTAGCAGGCATAAGAGAGGGAGTAGACAAACCCTTGATAGCGGCAGAACCGAGCTGGGTAGCAGTCAGGCCGGACAGAGAGCTGGATTGGGATTTTAGCACCAAAATCATACGAGCCAGAGAGCAGCAACACTTTCTTACCCCAAGAAAGAACCAACGGGGGTTCTGGCGGCAGAGACGATGTAAACGGGAGGAAGGCCAGACATCTTGACGGTGTTGTTTGGAAGACTGGGAGGATGAAAAGAAGAGGAATGAAGAAAAGGGGTGGATTAGGTATGGAGAGGTAAGAGAGTGAGAAAGATGGAGAGGTCCAAAGGGGTATATATATACCACTAGTGGTGCTGCCCAACAGATTAGATTAGCAGCAGCAAGGTGGCGTAATTTGGGAATTGGACGCGATGGAGGTGCAATTGATTGATCTTGATACGGAAATGGGTATGGACGAGGGTATGGAAATGTCGCAGGGTTGAGGCTGGAGCACTTTATTGCGAATGCGACCTGGAGTTGTTGGATCTTGCAAAAACGCGAGCCGTGGGCCAGGTACCAATGGAAGCATTCAGGGCCCTGATTCTGGGTTCCTGATGCCGAGTGACGGCGGAGAGGGGCACAATTTTTTGGTGGTCCCAGCCGGCTCTTGGGACCCCGCCAGTACCAGGTACATTCAAAAGACGATTGAACGCTGGATTCAAGCACTTGGCGCTACAGGTACTAACTTTTAGGCAGACCGTAGCTGTTCTCACGTAGTACTCCCTAGTAGCTTCACCGCTCCACACCGCAATTGCCATGTTGGGCAGTAAGTCAGTTCATGCCATATTGGATATACAGCAGCTTCTTCAGCAGAGTTGAAGGGTGAATATTAGAGCATACAAGTATAGAGTACATAAAACCATCTCAGCTGCCTGCTGGATCAAGAGAGCTGCTGATAAATCCCTCCTTCTATGCCCAATTCATGTAAATCCGGTACCAAAATGGAAATATACTACCTAGGTAGTATATTTCTACCTTAGGTTTTGTAGCATTTATCTCATCGCCCGATACAGGAGAATGCGCTAGTTGCGATTGCGAGCCACTCCCGTATCCGTATCCGTAAACTTCAGATCCTTTCCGATAGCACAATGGCGCTCGTCACAGGGATAAACTTGATTATTGTAATCACCAATAATGATTAGTACATGCGCATGTGTAAGATTAATCTTATTGATTGACCCAAACAAGCCAACTTGAAGCGCATCAAGTATTAAGATCAGAGAAAAGCGAGTTTGCTAGTGCTAGTACCCAGTACATGCTGCCTCTAAAAGCAAGACCCCACAGCGATTAACCTTCGTACCTTCCAGGAACCAAATGCTCACGATATCGGACAGAGGTCTCGATGGGTCCGGATATGGGAGTATCTTAATCCGAGAAAACTGCCAAGTGGCTCCACCCAATGATCGTGATAAGATAAGATTCGCTCAGCCTTGCAATCACCACGTGATAAGCTCTTCAAGCTTTTGCAGCAAAAAAGTTGCTGGGGACCCGTTTTAGTGCGAGGCAGGCGGTCGGTATCGCAAGTACACGCGACTTGCGACGATACCCGTGTCTTCAGCATTTCAAGTTTGTCGCCCGCCATTGATCTTGTAATTTGGATTATTTTGGTGACAAAATGGATGACCTCTATGACGAGTGAGCTTCCCAATCCCCATCGCACATGCAGCTTAACGTAATTCGCTCCTAACAAGCTCATCCTAGGTTCGGAAACTTCATCGGCGAAGAGGTTGAGTCCGAAGAAGCGTCCGAGGCTGGAGATGAGGCGGCTGACTATGCATACGATGAAGAGCAAGAGGAGGCGCCCAGTGTGACTGGGCAAGAGCTCATGGAGCTTGATGGTAGGCCTGGTTTTGTATTCAGAGAGAGTGGCAGAAGAGACCAAAAAGCTGACTGAATCTTGGGTAGATGGACCGTCGAATGCCGTCATCCTTCACGAAGACAAACAATATTACCCCACTGCTGAGCAGGTGTATGGTGCTGAAGTCGAGACGCGCGTGGAAGAGGTGGATGCGCAACCTTTAACACAGCCCATCATTGCGCCGATCGAGCAGAAGAAGTTCAACATCGAAGAGGTCGACTTGCCACCTGTGTTTTTCGATCGCGAGTTCATGGCAGATCTCATGAACTTTCCCGAGCAAACAAGGAACATTGCGCTAGCTGGCCACTTGCATCACGGAAAAACCGCCTTCATGGACATGCTTGTCCTAGAGACCCATGACATCACCGACAGGCTTGATCGGAGAGTCGGCAAGAAGCGTGACGAGGCGCTGCGATACACCGACGTACACGTGTTGGAGAGAGAGCGAGGAATCTCCATCAAGGCTGCGCCGATGAGCCTTGTTCTGCAGAGCACAAAGGGAAAATCACATCTGCTTCACATCGTCGATACCCCTGGCCATGTCAACTTTGTAGATGAAGTGGCAGCAGCATTTAGGCTGGTGGATGGTGTATGTCTGGTTGTCGACGTGGTTGAGGGTGTCCAGATCAATACAGAGCAAATCATCAAGCATGCCGTGCTGGAAGATATTCCCTTGACACTCATCATCAACAAGATGGATCGCCTGATCCTGGAGTTGAAGCTCCCGCCAAAGGACGCCTACTTCAAGCTCAAGCACGTGGTAGAGGAAGTCAACACAGTCATTGCCAACACCGTCCCGACCAAGGCGGCTTCAAAGCGACTGAGCCCTGAGAAAGGCAATGTTCTATTCGCCTGCACAGATATGGGATGGTGCTTCACACTGCCCTCTTTTGCTAAGATGTACACAGACACCTTTGGCGATATCAACACAGAAGAGTTTGCTAGGCGGTTGTGGGGAGACGTTTATTACAACCCAAAGAAGCGAAACTTTACTCGCAAACCGGCTGAAGACAGATCAGCACGGTCATTTGTTCACTTCGTTCTTGAACCCATCTACAAAATCTTTACACATTCCATCAGCGACAGCCCGGAACAGCTGAAATTAGTCTTGTCTTCGCTTGGCATCGAGCTGAAGCCGTCACAATATAAAGCCGATGCTAATGTCATCCTGAAGTTGGTATGCGAACAATTCTTTGGTCCTTCAACCGGTTTTGTCGACATGGTTGTCAAGCACATTCCTTCTCCAGCTGACGGAGCACAACGACTACTGGAGCGCTACTATACTGGACCTTTGGACACAAAGGTGGCGACGTCGATGCAGACATGCAACCAAGATGGGCCCCTGGTGGTTCATGTCTCGAAACTTTTCAATACCTCTGATGCGAAAAGCTTCTACTCTTTCGGGCGTGTTCTAAGCGGCACTGCTCGTCCGGGCGCAACCGTGAGAGTCCTTGGCGAAGGTTATTCTCTTGATGATGAAGAAGACATGACGACAGCCTCTATCGGCGAAGTCTTCATCGCAGAGACAAGATACAACATCCCTACAGATGGTGTCCCGGCGGGTAACTTGGTATTATTGGGAGGCATCGACAACTCCATCGTTAAAACTGCGACAATCGTACCATCCAAGCTGGAAGATGACGAGGATGCCTTCATCTTCAGACCCATCGCTCATTTTACCGAATCCGTCCTGAAAGTGGCCGTCGAGCCCATCAATCCCTCCGAACTACCGAAAATGCTTGACGGACTTCGCAAAATCCAAAAGTCATACCCCCTTATCAACACAAAAGTGGAGGAGTCTGGCGAACACGTCGTCTTGGGAACCGGAGAGCTTTACATGGACTGCGTTCTGCACGATTTACGGAAACTGTATGCCGATATGGATATCAAAATATCAGATCCGGTAACAAGATTCTGTGAAACGGTTGTAGAAACTTCAGCAACAAAGTGTTACGCCATCACGCCGAACAAGAAGAACAAAATTACCATGGTAGCGGAACAACTGGAGAAGGGTATTTCTACAGACATTGAGACCGGTGCCGTGAAAATACGAGATCCGATACGGAAGACGGCCAAGTTTTTCGAAGAAAAGCACGGTTGGGACAAGTTGGCGGCAAGAAGTATCTGGGCTTTTGGTCCTGATGAGATGGGACCAAACATTCTCCAGGACGATACTTTACCTACTGAAGTAAGTAGATATGGAACTCCCACTGCAGAGAGCCACCCTGTTTGTTTTGGAATATCTTGCTAATGATTATTTACGCGCACAGGTTGACAAGAAACTTTTGACTACAGTCAAAGAATCAATAAGGCAAGGCTTCAGCTGGGCTACTCGTGAAGGCCCCCTCTGTGAAGAACGTATGTGCTTGACCCTCTTTTTCCGACATTTGTCCCGTGATGTAGTAATCAATCAGTATTTGCTGACACCCTTGCTATAGCCATCCGCAATACCAAGTTCAAAGTTACGGATGTGGTATTAGCCAACGAGGCCATCTTCCGCGGTGGTGGCCAAATAATTCCCACTTCCCGAAGAGCATGCTACTCGTCCTTCTTGATGGCCTCTCCGCGTCTCATGGAGCCTGTGTACACCGTCTCTGTCACTGGCCCCGAAGACTCTTACATGGAGGTTTACAATGTGCTTGCACGGCGCCGAGGCCACGTCCTGTCCGATGGCCCTGTTGCTGGCACACCCCTCTATCGTGTCAATGGCCTCATTCCTGTCATTGACAGTTTTGGCTTTGAAACAGATTTGCGAATCAAGACACAAGGTGGTTCCATGGTCAGTCTGGTGTTCGACAGCTGGAGCATCATCCCTGGTGATCCGCTTGATAGAGACCAGGTTACAAGGCCGCTCCAACCTGCTGCCGCGCAGGCTACAGCCCGAGACTTTGTGCTCAAGACCAGACGGCGAAAGGGTCTAAGCGAAGACGTCAGCGTCAAGACATTCTTGGAACCGGAATTCTATCAAAGCCTGATGGAGAGTGGAATGCTCGGCGATATCTAAGTCGGCCATATCTATACTAATACTATCACATGTGTTTTTTTATTTACATGTACGCTGTTGATGCTACTATGTCGTTGTATATTTTGAGTAAGGAGCTCAGGGCAGAGTTAGGGGCCAACAATACGGGTGTGACAAAATAAAAAGGAAGAAACAAAGAGATAAGGAATTGAGCGGTAACCGCTTCTAAAGTAGCATATTCGATGGCAAAGCGTAAAAATCTAGATATCAATTTAATAAAGACATCAAAGAGGCACAATTAGAGAGCAATGTCTCCGTCTGTAAATGAGGCTGTAAATTTGGACCCCCTCATGATTGGTGGAAGAATGGCCCATGGTACAGTAGCTATTTGCCTGTTCATACGCCCCCCCCCCCAGAAGAACCAACAAGACTCCCCATGTTCAATTCGGGCAAAAAGAGTTGAAAGAAAAAGAAGAAGAAAACTGCGGAGCACATAGGAGAACTGCCGACGATCAGCTCTTGATAGACTAACAGAAACGAGGAACGATCTGTCACGGAAAGAAAGCTTGTATGCAACCCACGTAAGAGGAGGTACTTCGTGTATGTACGGCATTTTCTTTCTTTCTAGCTTTGCTCCATTTCTTCCCCCCCCCCACATCCCTTGACGGGAAATGGTTACTGATATGCATCTCCTTCTCCTACTGTAACAGCACCTACTCAATACTGTACCCAGGCAAGGGGGGGGGGGAGGGGGGGTAAAGAAAACACCACCGGTCTGCTCTTTAAAATTGTATGTGAACAGCGGCGATGTGATTTTTACCCCACATGCCAGGCAGCGAAGAGAAGAACAAGAAAAGAGAGCGAAGAAAACATCGACTGATTAGTTTACGAGTCAGCGGTCTACGACGTAATAAATTCGCATAACCTTGACGCAAAGGAAAAAAGCTGCTATAAACGCAGCTACCCCAAAGGAGGAACAGGCAGCGCAGAATAGGGAATAGATTGCAGCAGCGCTAAAATCCTTACGAAGGGGGGCGTGGTACCTAGTAGTTCCAGTAATGGTATTTGCACGAGGTGGGAGGAAGCACATCCCGGAAGGATGATTTTACATAGGTACTTATATATAGTAGTAGTTTTAGGTAGTTTTAGGTAGGGAGAATACGTTGGACCAAGAATAGGCATGCGTAGCAGGGTTGATAGGTTTAGGATAAGAGCCAACAGCAGCTCCCTTTGACATTTCTAGCAATGCCTACATGAGGCCCCCTTTTGTAGGATTTTCACGAGGTCAAAAGTGGCTCCTATGCTGACGCCAAAAAAGAAACGCTCTTTGGTTTTTGTTTTTTCTGTCTGGCTGCTGGAAAGACATGGCATGACTTGACTTGAAATGACGAGTCAACTTGAACTTCCCGTCGGGTTTTAAGTCAAAGCCCTGGGCCTGCTTAGTAACTTCTCTGGTTTAGTTTACGATCAACGATGACAAGATTGTGTCTCACTGTTGCTTGGATAGTATAAGAGAGGACAACTTTGATGAGGCAACAGTCTATAGCATTCGTGTAATCCCAAGTACGCGCGTTGTCGGCTTGATAGCATGTTCAGTCGGCGATTGCGGCAAATATCCCACGATCCTGGTTTCCAGCAAGGAAGCGCTCGTTTACGCAGGCCCAAAGGCAGCAATCCTCCGGAAGCACTGTCATAAGCCGCAGTAAGCCAATGGCAGCCCTGGCTTCTGGAATACCAGGCTGATCCGATGCTTTCGGCGTCCTCCTCAGATCTTGGCCAGATCCTTGCGAGCCTTCGTTATCTCTCACTTTTAGTCCCAAGGTTACAATGGGTTACCATCTGGGCTGATTGAACTGCCGTCCACGGGATATGCAAACTTGCTCGTCTTTGCCGGCTGCGGAGATTTCTTCGGATCCGAATTCGTGTGCTAGATATCCAAGACCTATTCCATAGACAGAAGTAAGGAAAAAATCCCACATTTACTGAAAGAGGCCCAGTTGCGCCAGGCCCCCATATTACCATCCCTGGTACTCATAGTACGGTAAGAGAAGAGGTGACGTTCTGGGTATCCTATCATAGCAGCTGGTGTAGTATTACTAGCTACTAGAAGTACAATTACTACTGCATGATGAGTCAACAATAAAGAAGCGCAACTTTTGCACCATGACCGAGGAAGGTAACTTGAAACAAGTTGACCAGCCTATATCAACTCCCGCTAATAACAAGAAAAAGTCGACATGATTCATTGTATGGAATCATTGAGAGTCGCATGTCCAAGTGGGAGCGCCTTTGGGGTGGGGGGTGCGCATTTTCGCCTTCTTCAGGTTTACTCGCAGGAAGTTTATTCGTTCAACCTCCCGTTTTGGCGACGGCTAATGCTGGCGAGCGTGATGTCTTACTCCATCGGGCGCCGTAGAGTAGCAGTAGCTGTAACGGTATCGACTTGCTACTTCTAGGCAGCGATTTGCGACTTTCAACCACACTCTGCAGTCGCGCTGCATGGAGGGCCTCTCACCGTGGTCAAAGCTTCCCGGTTGCCCTCTTGGATGATGCTGACGTTTTGGCTCCGTGAAGATTAGCTTATATACCCTGGTTCATATCAACTAAAAGCCATGTGTTGGCTGTTGACGTAGTGTCACGAGCCAAGAGCGCAGGGGATTGACTGAGGTACAGACGAGCACGAGCATCCACGCTTTTAGCCAATGCGCGGCGTAGAGAAGTCTTGGCTGGTGGGTTTTTCGAAATTGGGCGACTTAATTATCTATGCAAGACTCTAGCATCTTGTCCAAGACGCTCTTTAGCGAGTCATTCTCCAGAGCCGCCGCAACACGCTCCTTGTCGCTAAGCTGCTTGTTCACCTGATCATCCTGGCTGTGGCTGTTCTCCTTGCAAATAACTTCAACGCGGTAATTCGGGGGGAGTACCTGCTCCAGCCGGACTCTAACGCCAAGTCCAAGCACGGTAGCGAGGGAGCAGTGGGTGACGGTAGGGGTTAGCTCAACGGTGACCTGCACGATGGTATTTGGGCTTGGCACGCCGAGAGCCGGAGAGGGAGTAATGTGAATATCGGGAAGATTGATGACAGACAGCTGGCCCAAGGAGACAGGGTGCTCAGGGTCCGTGATATTGGAAATAAGATCTGTAAGTGGATGTTAGTGTAAATACCAAATGTTACCAACGACACATGGTGCCAAACGGATTCGATGTGAAACGGATTATACATGGCGTTCGAAAGACACAGTAGTCGAAAAAGCTAACTGCCGAGTCTGTCCCAATGAATTTCTATTGCTTGTGATCGTCTCATTTCAACGGAATAAGCAACTGCAGTAGTGCAAATCCCCCAGACATTGAGAGTGGCATGACATGTACAAAACGGGTCTGGCATGCCAGGGGGAGACCACATCGGGGCTCACTTTGAAACGCCGAACAGCCACTGTTGGAAGCACGGATGAAGAGAAAGCAGCTAGGAAGGAGAAGAGGAAGGACGAAGGAAGGCTATGGCGGAGAGCCAAGCTTGCAAAGGGTGTAACGTGTTTGGAGGTCGCAATCATACCGTAGATCTCCTGCTCATCGATGGCCTCAGCCGAGAGATTGTCATCTGCACCTCCTGCGCCGGAACCGAAGCGGGACCAAGCCACGGCCGCCGCTGTATCATGCTGATACTGGGCATCGTCGTCTTGCAAAAAGGGCCGAGACATGTACGACGGCTTGGAGAGGATCAGGTCTGAGTATCTGCAGTCGGGGCCCTTGCGCGGAGCGGACCGCCTGTGCCGGGTTGGGAGCTGCGAGGCGCTCAGAATGATGGGGTTGGCATTGTCCAGAGCCGCAGCAGCCATCTTGTCTGGAGTTTGATGGATGAAGCTTGATAGCACCTATTTGCGAGGGCTATTTGCGAGGGCTAGAGGGCAGGCGTATAGAAGTGTTGCGGTCTATAGTGGTGTTTGTCACTACCAAACACGAAAAACGTGCTGAGGAAAAATCTCGGGGTCTGACGCGGGGGCGATCGACCGGCTGGTTAGAGAGACGACGACTGACAGGGCCTTTTGGCGAGAGGGGGGTGTTTGTGGAGGCAAGGTTGGAGATTGTCGAGACGTCTAAACTCGTCGGAGGTTCTGGCCATTAGTAATAGGATTTACGATTTTGCGGGCTGGCAGGCGGTCAGAAGCTGCGCCAAAAAATCGGTGCTAGCGGGTACGTAGCGTGGAAAGAGCCCAACTGCCAGGAACTTGTACCGCCTGTTGCTTCCAGTTAGTACTATCAAGGTATCAAGGCACTGATATCTTGAGTGATGGCTTTTGCTTGTGATTAATCATATATTAGATAGGTCAAAATTGATGCTACTGTACCCAGGTGGAGCATGTCGAAAGAATGAGGTGTAACATTGGTTAAAATTATATATAAAATGAAAATGCATGTGCATAGCCTACGCTTGTATCCGTACCTGTTCACGGCAAAAGGAACGACTCCATCGAAAAGCCACCTGCAAGGAGGTGCAATATCTGGGGCTGCAACTCTGGGCGCAGAATCAATTTGATGTTTAGTCAAGTGAGATGCGACTTGGAGAGTCATTTAGCAGGGATTGCGGTGCAACCTTGCCGTGGGCTGAACTCGCCGTGACCTTTCTCTTTGTCCAGAACGCAGCACTGACGAAGGGATCCCTGTAGGTTGGTGCCGTCACCTGCTAAGCGATCAATGAGCTGGCTCGCTGGACCTGCGAGAGCCTTTGGACTGCATGGGAGGCATTGTTTGTTGCTGTACGACTTGATCCTTCTCAGCCAGCAAGGGGGACGCGCTCCATCGCGCTCCTGCTCGACGCTAAAGCTCGCAAAGTGAAAGTGCATGCTGCATGTGCATGTTGATGTTGGCTGGAGGTTGTCTCGCGCGTTGCAGTGCACTAAGAGGCTGCCTTAGTGCCATATATACTGTACAGAACACCACATCACGCATACTTGGATATAAAGCACGCACAAGCGCGCTTGACGCTGGATCGAGGTACTACTGCAGGGGATCTTTGTATCTTTGTCGCGAAGTAGAAAAGTCTGGGCTCCTCCTCTGTATATGCCCATGGAGGCGAGGATGAGGATAGCGAGAGCAAGAGGAGCAACGGTACCATCGACGTCGTATTCCGCAATCGTAAAAGCGGCTCTTCTGCTACTGCAGCATGGCACGGAACGCTCAGGCGATAAAACGATCGGAGTTTGGAGCCACGCACTACCCTCACTACCCTCACTACCCTCGCCTGCGACTGTGATAACCACAGACGTCGCATTTTCGGTGCTATTCGCCTCTGCTTTGGTCACCGAGCCTTGCATCTCTGGCCTTGTTTTCTCTGCCTCTGCCTTGTCTGATGCCTCCCACCGCGCAGGCCATGCAAAATTGCTACACACCCTAGAACTCCCACCCCCCCTTTTTTCGCCCCCCCTCTATCAGTAGGGCTGGGAGGCTTGGAATGCTCCTAAATACGACTATACTTGTATGATGCTGAGAAGCTCCAGTCCCTAGCCGCCATGCGCGAGCCTAGATGTATACTATCTTGTATTTAACACCATATTACTGTACCATATCAATACGTAGAGTACACTTTCAAAAGCGAGATGAGCCCTTTAATGCTGTGGCGGCTTAGTGCTGCGCATCTGGGATGTCTTGGTCGTGGCGGTGCGACAAGACTTTGACGGGCAAGCAGAACTTTGTGCCCGCGATGACGCGATCGGCTGGCAGCTAAGTTTGATGCTAAAAAGTACGGCCGAAAAGGCGGACTTTGCATGGACTGATAATTAATCCAGCATGATTGGCCATCCGAGCTGAAAAAAAAAAAAATTAGAAGGAAAAGGAGAGGAATATCTTTTGTAAACCAGAGTTGCACTCGCCGAATCAGTTTAGGCGAGTCAGAGAACAATAAGGCCTTGCAGCATACCTTGATGTGATGTCTTATAGAGGTGACACTGGAGTTCGTTGCGACTGGGTGCTGACGTTCCATTGAATCAATTGCGAGCTTGAGGGGGTCTTGGTTCTTGACTCGCTCGTTACAGACATGTACCCCTGTTCGCTCATTGCGAGCCTCGGCACGTCCCCAGCAAAATCATTCTAGAAGCTCTGTACACGCTAGAAGGGTGGCCTTGGATCCCTAGAGTAAATTACAGTAAATTGCAGTGCCTGGGCATGCTGATTTAGCAGACGGAAGAATTATTTGCTTGCAACGTGAAGAGCGCCATCACTATCGGTTGAGTAATACCTAAATGCAGCAGGCACGGCAGTTCTATGTGACATCTACCAATAGTGGGACGTAGAGTGTGATATGCGAATGATTGGCTCTTGAGCAAGATTCAAGGGCGCACGAGCTGTAGCACGACTCGAGCAGTGACAAGGAAGCATGTAAGAGGATAGGTAGACTACCTCCTTGCTGCTCTGGCAATGTGTATTAGGATTGGTTACAGTACCTTTAGTTGATAGGATTGCATCGAAAAGGATGTCGTAGGCAGCTAGATAATTCAAGTAAATGTAGGAATAGCATCGCGGAGTACGGAATATAAGCCGTTGCATTGCATTTCGCAGGTAGGGATGGACAAGACGATGCCGTGCAGCAGCGACTCGCCAGCAGCAGCCACCACCCACCTCCCGCCTCCCACTTCCCACCACCCGCTGCGCCCAAGTGCCGAAGCTCTCTTTGCAATGGCCGGAATTGGTCAATGGTCTTCATCCGCGCTGTGGGATGGGGATGGCAGTCGAAAAGCTGATCTGCAGCTCTGTAAAAAGGCGCTGCGCTAGTCGTTGCGCAGGATCGCCAACTCCAGTCGAACAAGCAAGCCGGCTTGCAAGGGATGTCGAAGGAAGGAATGGTGGAACTTGCAGTACTCCGTAATTCATCTCAGATATCCCCGGTGTGTACCTTGAGAATTTGTCCTTATCCGTTTGCTTAATCTATTTATACATTTGTTCATGTTTGTTTGGTCCCATGGTGCTTCTCGGCCGAATGGCCCTCTCACATCTATTGCGTTGGAACGGCTGAAAACGCGTCTTTCTTCTCTTTTTTTTGTTTCTTAGCCCCAGTATGACAATGGCACAGATGTCATTACACAAGATGATCCTCAGCGGCAAGTATATCCGGCAAGAAAAGGGCATGTTGGAAAATACAACTAAAGCCTCTGTCTCATTATACGGGATCAAAGGACCGAATATCGTACGCAACGAATCTTGCAGTACCCATATTAATGGGGCCCCAAGTCCCGCAACTCGCTGCCTACCAAGTTCCTATTTGGGTGCCAGATGCAGACAGTGATTGCTTGAGTCCTCTCTTCTCTATTGGCAGCGTCCCTTGATTGGAGGAGGATCCCATGAAATCATCTTTCACTTCCAACGAGCCAATTGGAACTGCTTCCTGCGCTATTGGGTCAATGCTGCGTCTGAAAGTAGCACCTGGAGCTGTTGATAGCAGATCCATGCATACTGATCGGTGCCATTTAGAGCATTGCTACAGTCGCTTTTGCTTTGACCTTTGCTGCCTCTTTCTGTTTGCTCGCTATTGCTCCCTGACGTAGATGCGGAGTTAAGGGATTGAGGAAGAAACGACTACCTAGAAATATCCGCGGAGATAATTCAATCCACGGCGAAGTGTTACAGGTAGGCATGATTACTTTTGAGAAGTGATACCGTATATGCGCCACAATTCGTCAGATCCAAATTCCGCTTAATCACAATTCAGCGAGAGAGACTCCGAATGGTGGCGTAGGTTGAAAGTAGGTAAGGTAAGTTTCAACCAACAGGTACCCAACCAACAGACGAGGCGGTTGATACAAATGCTCGTTGCAGTAATAATGAGAGATTTGCCACAAGATGGCTTGACCTTGTAAGTCTAGATGCAACATTTAAGCTAGCTAATAGGCTTTTGTCCGTCGTTTGTCCGTCACTTGTTCAGCTCCCAGAGTCTGCTGCATCCTGCGTATCAGCCAGTGTCACGTACCATCAGTGAGTGCTGGCGGCGGTTTCGCTGTGCGCAGGTGGTCATAGCTGGGAGACGGAACTTTCCGTCTCTCGCTCTTGGCACCCCCGTCATCTAGACCGAGCCGGCCGCTGCCGAAGATCACGGAGGGTTACGGACCAGGTACATGCGGTGAGTACTGCTAGGTGGTATCATCGCTGGGTACTCAACAGGTAGCCTATTTTATCCCAGTTTACTGTAAGTGCTCGCATTCCTCGCAAAGTCAACAATGGCTATCTTTAGACGGCGTCTAACTGGCCTTGTCATTATTTTAACAGAATCAGACACAAACGCCTTTATTGCAACTGCAGATGACTTGACTTGTACGCGTACGACACGCAAAAAGTTCCTTTGCTCGTTCTGGAGGGCCCGCGCGGTTAAGGGCAGGGCTAGCCCTGTGCGTCAAGAGCAGCGTTTCCATGTGCAGACCAGGCTAGTCCGGATCTGCACTGGAGCGCTGATTGCTCGTGCTAGCGGCATCAGACTGGCACTCTCGTGTGCGGGGGGAGCACTTTGGGGGCCCTCTCGCTTATTAGGAGAGTGACAGCTCGCTCGTTGACACCGCTGCTGGTGCGCGCGCAGCATGGTGTAGCACAGTGGTACTTGCACGAGCACTACTGCACGCACCAGACGCCAAGTACCAAAGTAGTGCTCGGCAGATGCAGTAGGAGCACATGTTGCTGCAGCCATCTTCCCTCTTGCGGCGGTGCTAATACGCATCAGACACACTGCTGGGCAGTAGAAGTTTCTACAGATCCAAGCGCGGCGGGGAAATCCAGTCGGGCTGGGCTAATTAGTGCACTTAGCGGTTCGCCGCACTCCATCCAAAACGCTACTCGAGCTCAAAGTGCTGCTAGAGCAGTTCTGCCACGAGGGAATGTCTGTCTGGCGTACTGTAGAGTGCAAAGTGCGAAAAAGCCGGCTTAGTCAGGCGGTACGTACCTGCCAGATGCTTGCCCATACAAGCATGTGCTGAATGAAGCGCAGGGAACCTTGGACGTTCCCTGTTGTTTAACATGGCCAACCAATCATTTCACCTTGTCATGCTGCAGACAGGCACCTCGTGCATAAACCTGATAGAGACGCACAGGGCCTGGAAAGGAAGCTGATGCCTGCAAAAGCTACTGCCAACGTCCATTGGGCTGTTGTATGTTTCCCTGTTGGTACTAGGGCGTCTTCTGTAATGCCATTTCAAGATGGCATCTCAGTTTGCACATGCATCTTAACAATACGGGCAGCTGCTTGCTGTAACAATGGTATCATAATAGTAGGTACTTACTACATAGTACTTGTCGTAGCAGCCGTTTAAACTAACAACGTTTAAGCTTTCTCGAGATCTATCCGTTGAATTGAGGCATGATATACATATCACGCACATGGGTGAGAAGCTCCATGTCTCGAGGCATGTGTTCGAGCAGCCTTAGCATTGTCGAGGCCCAGGGGGTTAGTTGTTAAAACTCGTTCCCATACTAGGCATTACTCCTACGTTCTGCTATTGCAACAGGGCTCCTTGCTTGTCTTTTATTTCTCTCTCCTTTTTCTCTTGACTCTTGCTTGTGAGAGGCAAAGTCCGGAAATGTTTAGGCTGATTGGCAGTTCACATCTATATACCAAACATGAATATTCACTTCAAGGGTTACATAGCTTGACAAACAAATGCACTAGGGGCGCAGCAGACTCGTATTCGATGGCTGCGATAAGGCATACACGTAGATACAACTCCACGTGCATGACGCTTGACATCGATACATAGCCACGAGCTGCCGCTTGCCCCAAGCGTTCGGACGCGCGCTACGGACATGTACCTACTTGTTTGAATCTTGGGGGCCGCCACCAGGAACCACGAGCTGTTCAACGGCCGATTGTCATGCAAGTGCAGTTTATGCGCCTTTGACGTGTGCCCCTAGCACCAGCCTTACGCAGCTGTGGAGAAACAAAACATTGCGACATGCGTTCCATCCGGAGCATGCGGAGGACATTGAAGGCCAGCAACCAAGCTACCGGCATCACGCCTCCTGAAGAACTCAGCTTGGATAAGTGCTCACCCTTATAATGGCCATCGCTCCACTCTACGAGCGATCGTCCTTGGCATACAAAGTGCGTTGCAATGCGAAGATACGAGCATAGTCGGCCTGGATAGCTGGACTGTGATGCGAATGCTACCGTTCAACGAGGAACCTGCTACTAGGAGCAGGTAGATTTCAATGTACGAGATGCTATCTAGGTGTAGTAATCATTTCGCCAACGTTGCTTACTGAAGGTGGACACATGCTTTTTGTCTTTTGGCATGGCAGTCAGCCTCTGTTCCTATAAGCTGTGCGTCATGCTCAACGGTTCCAGAAAAGTGACACGGCTGATCGGCTCATTGGTGGCGAACAGAGAGAAGAAAACGCGAGCCGTGAGATCGAGCTGCAGCGAGCCATTGAATGTTTACAAAGCGCCAAGATGCGTATAAAGCTCCATCATGTCATGGCCGCGGGTACCCCAAGGGTTTCGCCTCAAACACCTGCCTGCAATTTTGTAGCCAGTGAATTGGCTTGGCTGGCATCTGCCCCCTAGATGGCGCAACACCAGCTGCTGGGAGCATGGCCATTATCATCAGCTACTGGCTGAGCAGCATTTGCCCCCCTTGACTCGACTGCAAGTCGTTGGTAATACTCTTGTGCATACTCGTACGTTAAATAAAATTTGAACAGGAACATTACCTGCCGTACTTGAGAAAAAAAAAAAAAAAAGGTCCTCCCACCGGCAGTGTGCGTTGGTTGATTAATTGATCTCACAAATGATATGATTCGGCTCGAGGTGTGTGTCTAGCCACGACTTACTCGTCCGTCATTTCGGGTTTCCGTCTCGACCTTCGGATCCGTCAAATCCGCGTTTCCCACAGTGGCTGATGCGGGTTCAGCTGGCAGGCATGGATGAGACCAAACAGACATGGAGGCAAAAATTCCTTCCCAAGCTTAACGTAGCTCACGCAGGTAGCGGTACAACGAGCCGGGGGCTTCATCAGCTCACTTGTCGCGTGCGCCCAAGGTTGCGGTACTTGTTCGCTAGGAGCACACGGCCTGGTAGCGCGGCGCAACGACCTGTAACTCTCCAGAGCAGGTACCGCTGGGCCGGCACAGCTACACTGTACTGCAGCAGGCGCGGGCACTAAAGGCTCGCAGCTAGCCCCAAAGCCGCCCAGTGCCGCCCACCCAGTCAGCGCCAGCGCTCTCTAGCAGCAGGCCGTACCTCGCCCGCCAGAGCCCAAAGTCTGGGCCCAGGTGCCTCCTTGGAAACGCCCAGTGCAGTCTCCAGTCCTCCACGCAGCTTCAACAAACAGCCCAGCCAGGAGTCAAGCCCACCGCAGTCAAGCCAAACCAAAGCCCCCTTGCCCCTGTCTCCTTGCTCTCAACTTGCTGCACGCCCCCCTCCCTTGGCGAACCCCTCCTCCCATTTGGTACCACCCACGTCGCCTGCCCTTGTCCAGCGCAGCGCAGCCAACTGGGTTTCCTGGCTCCAACCCCAAAAAGTCCGCTTCCTGCCGCTAAAACGCCCTGCCCCTCTGGCTGTACTTCTGCTGCCAGCCTGGATCGATCACAAAGTCGACTTTGCTATACACCAAAGCCTACAAAACTGCCGCCTCCAGCTGCGGCCCAAGTGGTGAATCTGATTGTAATTTGATTTGGTCTGGACCGCCGTGTTACTCGTCGAAACGACTTCGCCGTTGCTTCCGAATTCTGAGCGTCTTTCTCGGCCTTTCGACATTGCATCTTGCGGGCGCTGTGCAGTGCACCTTGCCGCGACAACATACCGAGGCGCCGGGGGTCGCCACTTTGAGGGCCAACGTCCCATGAGGTCACGATCTCGACGCTGCTATACCTACGTCGACTGAACACGCGATCGACCGAACACTCGCTTTGACACACGATTCTTTGGAGCGCATATTTCTCTGCCATGTCTTCCACCGACCCTTCTGTGCGGCGCATCCTGCCGCAGGAGTCCCAGAACGCCCAGGCCATGGGCATGAACAGCTATACGTTTGCGCCTCAGCAATACCCCCAGAGGGAGACCCAGAAGAGTGAGATGAGCCGGCCCAATTACGATCAACCCAAGATACCGAATGATTTGGTTGGAATCGCAAACTAACACGCCAATTAGACTATGTCTTTGTTGATGAGCACAATCGCCATAAGCGACTCAAAGGTAATCTTCGATCATGTCTTGCGGTATAGCTTCACCGTGGTCGCATCGACTTGACTGACCGTTTCCTCGCAGTGATGAGAGCTTGCGAAGGCTGCCGACGCCGAAAGATCAAATGTGATGCGGCCACTACAAATACCTGGCCTTGCTCTGCCTGTATCCGACTTAAACTTCACTGCGTTCGACCAAATGGCTACGATGGCGCCGCTGATTCGACGACATACGAGACTTTTGTCCCTTCCGGAAGCCAATTCCAACAGATGGCGATGCCACCGCACGCACAGGGTCAAGCTGCCCTGAAGCCAGAGTCCGACGTCTATGCGCCGCAGGCCGGCTATCCTGACGCAGCTTCGGCTTCCTTCCAAACTATGCCATATAACGCCTCGCAGCCTCAGCACGATATTCACTACACCGCAGTTGCCCCGCCAATGTCCTTGGTTGACCAACAGGTCGCGCCTCAGGATGCATTCCCAACGCCGCCTACATTGCAGCAGTCGTCGCAGCAGGGTTCTTCACCGGGTGCATATTCTGATTCCTATCAGGGGCAAGACCTAGCAGATCTCCTCGGTGGCCTCAAGATGAGTGAGATTGGAACCGGTATGACGATGCCTCAAATCTGCAGACGTAATCTTCAAATTGCTGACTAACACCGTGATAGCACCCTATCTGAGAAATAAGACGTCCTTTAGACATGAAGATCCGGCTGTTGAGGAAGACGATGGTTACGGAAATCTACCTCCCATCTCGATCGGCGCCGGCCATAGGATTCGCATCCCACCCGAACTGATGCCGGATGACGGAAACGCGATCCACTACTTTGATCTCTACTTTACCCACGTCCATCCCTATGTTCCCGTGTTGAACCGGTCAACGTTCTACCGCCAATGGGCTACTGCTAGGGATTCCATCTCTCCCCTAATCCTTGAGGCTCTATTTGCCATTGGAGGACGGCTGGCAGATGAGCCAGCGCAGGGCCAACAGTGGCTGGCTTTGGCATCAAGTACGTGCTGTATTGCTTAATCGAATTTAGTCGGTACTAATACGAGTCTGCAGGACATGCCGATGCTTTTATGGATGTTCCCCGACTTAGCACTCTTCAAGCACTACTAATGATTCTCAAGGCCCGAGAGGCCGCGCCGAAGCGAGGTTACTACTACCGCTCGTGGATGACCGTCGTGCAGTGCGTTCAAATGGCCAAGGATCTTGGACTCGAGGAGCATTATGAGGAACACAAAGCCGGGCGGCCTTGCGAATATGCAAGCAACCCCACTGAATGCCAGCTGCGAACGCGGATCTGGCAGACAGTCTTCATTTGCGAGGTCATGGTGGGAGGTCCTCAAGGTAAGTGACTGACACCTTATACTGGAAAGAGTGATGCCATGTTATGAAGGCGGCGCTCACCATGTCATTCCAGGTCGATATAACATGGCTGTGGACATTGAGTCTGTAGATTTCAACGTGCCGAAGCCCATTCCTGGTGGAGACGACGCCGAATATCTCATCTCGCGCAACTTTACCTACTTTGCTCGCAACGTGCGAAATATTGCCAAGATTACCAGCATCTATGTGCGCTTAAAGAACAGAAAGGACTGGGGAATCGATCCCGAATTCCAGCAAATGGACCACGCTTTTAGCCAGTTTTTGGCAGAAATTCCTGCTGATCTGAGTGTCACATTTCCACCGGACGGCTCGGCGCCCTGGCTGCCATCACCGTTCCTCGGCAACATTCACTCATATTACTATCTGACTCTGATCCTGTTCCACCGACCTCAGCTATCGTTCTTCGATCCAACTACACAGGAAGCTCAATGGAAACACCACATGATGATCTGCTATAATTCCGCCCGAGCTCTCTGTCGCTTACAAGAGGCTGTCATCAACTCATTCGGAGTCATGGGGTTGCAGTGCATGCAGCGTGGGTTTAGCTTGGCTGTCTACGCTGGACTTTCATGCATTGTGCTTCATCTAGTAAGCCGCGCTAGTTTTTTTGATCCCCCTTACTTTTATACTATGCGCAGGAAATAGCAATTGTCTTTTTTTGTTTTCAGAAAGTTGACTGTTCGAAATAGGTGGCGATTGTCTCTCCAGATCCCGATCTTCACACGGACGCACGAGAATTCTTTACCCGTCACATGCGGATTATGGAAACGGTGATGGAAGCGTGGCCTATGCCGGAATTGCGAAGACAGGTCGACGCCGTCCGAGAGGCCTTTTCCGCTGACATTAGGAAGCCTTTTGTTCTCAAGCCATCTTTCCCATACGGAAGCCCACATCCGTCTCATAGTGCCAGCCCCCCAGCGTTCCGTGGCATGGAGCGCGCCGGTTCTATGGAACAAGTTCTGGATACGAGCGGCACCCAAACAGTCAGTTATATAAGCCATCCCATATCACCTCCAATATCTACCGGCGGTCTGGACAGTAAGAGTGACTCCCCATCTGCACAGTCACTTGTTATGATGCCACAAACGGTTGGCCCCGGCATTCCACCAAACATGACCATGCCGGAGCAGCCCACTTGGAATCCTGCAAAGATTTTTGAGTAAGTCGCTACCCAGCGTTAATCGAGTTTTGTTTTCCTTGTCTTTTTTATGTGGTATTTCATGCTCGGAAATTTGGATTTCCTCTTTTCCTTTGCTTTTCCTTGTGTGTTTGGGATTAATATCTGGCCCCCCCCCCCCCTTTTTTTTTTTTTTCCCCCGTTGTTTAATTCTATAAATACTCGAATCCCGATGCACTAACACTACATTCAGACAATGGAACACCACATTTGGTACGCCCGCTCATACAGAGCCCAATCCTGTTTCCCCGGCCAGCTCTCTGAACATTGCTTCGTCCTCAGGTGCACCCGAAATTCCTTCACTTGATGATATTCAGGCTGTAAACTCCTCGTTGCCGCCCGGCTCACAACACAGCATCTCCCCACAACAATATGCGGCTGCGCCTGTGCCGAACTTCGTCACGCCCGCTATGTGGCAGGAATCTGTAGCCAACGTGTACGAAGGCGGCCTCAAGCGCTCGTGGGATTACGATGGGGTCACTCCAGCTATGAAGCGCCGCTAGCGGACACTATTCGTCGAAAGGAGCCTGGCTGGTCTTTGGCTTCCTAACTCCCTACTCTCTTGATTCCGAAATCGACTCCAGCCGCGATTACTGGGGACTCGGAAGCTGCAGCCGAGGGCTCGTTGGTTACTGGGTCCATTCCTCAGCTTTCGCCTCAATCGAAATACGGCGACACACAGCTCCTTACGATACAATTACTATTAATTTCTTCTTCTGTTCTTCCTCTTACGGCCATGTATAGTTTGTTTCCCCCATGCTTTATTGTTTTCCGCAGATGTTTACCTTATACTGGTCGAAAAGGGGAGCTATTGGGCTAATTTTCTCTTCACCCTTGTTACTGATCTTTGTTTTCTCTCTGCTCCTTTTTGCTCTTTTGCTCTGTTGAATGGTTCTTTTTTTTTTTTTTAACAATACGGATGTGATTTCCATCACGATTAGGGAGGTGCAACGGGGTGCGGACAGTTGGATATATAAAAACAGAGTGGCGGCACTCCGGCAAAACAAAAGCGATATTTGATAACCGGCTATGCCCTGCGGGCTTACGCTGGCGGAGGGCCTTAATGAATCTATGATGGACAGAATTGGTGGCGTTGCAGGTCGATTCGAAACCTCTTCTCAAACTTTTTTGCTTCCCGATGCATCGTCAAAGTGTCGGAGTCCTAGCTGGCTATGGGGGAGAAATGCAGGATATTAGCTTTGCATGTAGTACGTATATCACTGGTGTTATGGGCGATGTTCAAGGTAGTCAAGTCTCTTTTTCGGTTACGAGTAGACGGCAAGGCAATGGCAAAGCAACTGTTTGGTTACGGTATCATGTATGAGACAATGGAGGGTGGCCTTTAGGCGAAGAGTGGATCCTGGGATGGATGAGTTTTAAATGATTTGATTTTATGTTTGGGCTTGAGATACCTAGGTACTGCTTGTATGTTATGATATCAGGATGAAGGAGTTTCACGGCACAGTGTACCTAGTGCAGCATAGCTGTGACGAAGTGAATCCATGTCAAAAGACATGTGGGAGTGTTACTATTAGAACTGTTATTACCACGTCTTCATACTAGGTACTACGACAATGCCCGTACAGACGACAAGAAATCCGCGGACCTAGATTTAGAACTTGTAGCTACCGCAGGAGCCAAGTATCGTTGTGGGGATGTTCCTTTTTCTCCGCTTGGGCTGAAAAGGGAATTTGCAACGAAATAATGCCGAGGAAAGTTGGGAGGGGGTTGGTTGGTTAATTAAGACGAAAAAAGAAACGAGCGGGCGGGCGGGCGGATGTTGGAACCCCCGAAAATACATGATCCTTGTTTTTTGTTATCTACGGGACGGATAGGCTGGGATTGCCACGCGATGTGCCGCTGATATAGTGGGTGATGAGATGAAGAACTAGGTGATGTTGTTTCGTAAAGATGAGGTGTGTTGCTGTTTGTTGTTGTTGTGGCTTTGCACTTTTGTATATCTAACAGCTACTGGGAGCTGAAACAGATGGGATAGTGACCTGTTACTGGTGATTCAAGCTAAGTGACGGGATGAAGTCTAGAAGGCAGATCAAGAACACCAAGTGCCTAATACTAGTCTACTTGTAATATAGCGAGAGGACAGGGAAAGATGGCCAGGGGAAGGGGCGTGTGTGTGTGTGGGCAAAGAGCTCAGCCTTGAGATCCGGTTGGCTTGAAAGAAAATGATGTGATAGGTAGTAAATGCAAGACTTTTTGCTCGTAAAACCTACAAATCAATGACTAGAAACAGAGACAACAATCATGATAGCGCCTATGGGTATATGCATACGAATCTTTTATGAGGGGGGACCCATCGGAGATTGATAAGTTGGTGTACTTGTATATAAGTGGGCAGCGCTAGCAGCGCTGAACTGGAACCCGGTCTGGGGAACTTTTTTATTTTCTCCACGAGGGCTGTGTTTGTGACTTAGCTTGGATGGTAGGCTGAAGAGATATGGAGTGAGGTAATCTAGTACAAATGTTCTGAGTGTGCTAACATGGTGTGATGTTATCTAGTTCATGTAGGAAGATAGGAGGGATCTATTGGACTCGTATGGAGTTTGATGGGTAAAATACCTACTGCTATGCCGCCTAGCTCTAAGCAGTGATTTTAGCCTGAAATTCGCTATGGTAAAAGAAGGAGATACTCATTGAAGGCAAATCCTATGATTGCTGCTGAAAAGCGCTTCTGAATAAGCTTGTAGAAGATGAATTGCTTACCTATACTATAGGCTTGTGTTAGACTTCCCATGAGAAGGCTGGCAATGGTGTTGTGCCGGTTCCATACGTTTTAGCTAAGTATATAGAGATTCTAAGGCTAAGAGTTTGAATCCCAGTAAGTTGTACGGCATTATAATGCCGGGTCAGTCCATGACTGCCCTCCTGTAACAAGACTTAAGACTGATGATTCTTAAAAGTTATATCGTAGGCAATAAAGCAGCTGCTATATAATCAGGTTTCATGCCTCTTTCGAGGCTTTCAATTTCCATATCAGCCGCTTTAGAATAAAAACAGTAACCTCAGCTTCAAATCTAATATGAAGACGGCATCTATTCTTCCCATTATCGCCGCTTTTATTGCGGCAACTTCTGTTTTGCCAGTGGCAATTACTGTATATAATTATTTATCATAAATGACTGTCTTTGCCAGCTCATTAACTTGTTGATAGACTGCAAGCTCAGAAATTAAGAATCCACGATCAGAGCAATGCGCTGGCGGGCCCTCAGGTGGCGTGTGTTTGGTTTAGAGGCAAGGGTTTCAATGTGATTGTACGTACACACATGCATACATGAGGTAGTACTGAATCCTTCGAGGAGCGGTTTGTTGGGACTTGGCTTGTCGTTTTGTGGCTATATTTGGAAACAAGGGCGGTAAAATGCTTTGCCATACTGCTACAAGCTTGCATCCGATGTCGTATGTGTGAAAGCATGTACGTAAAATACTTGTGTTCTTGATCAATTTGGGTCTATTCTTAAGTATTTGAAGAAAGACTCCTACTTCCTCTAGAACTGCCGACGTATATAGCAGATACCAATACTTTCCACTTGAAACCTATGTGATATAGAAAGATGTTCAGACAAGTCATTTGAACCAGATGCTTTGATGTTCAGGATCAACTGGGCTACATTAGGCTATATGTAAATATGTAAACAATAACTGACTTTTTTTTTCCCTGTCTCTTCTCCTGCATGGACTTTTGATATTCAATGTGGATTCTAAGCAGCAGATACCACTGGAAAAGGAGGTGTGGGCGGATCCGGCATTGGTGCTATCGTTCAATTTATTAGTCGTAGTATTTGGTTTTAATCTGCGGCTTATTATAAGACTAAGAGAATGACTACTACCAACTACACAGCATACTTGTGCATGCCGCGTATACGGAATATGTATGCGGTGTGATGGACTGCGCCTTTCATGCCATGTACGTGTGGGAACTGGTCTATAGATGGCGCTGTTTGGATAATATACCGCTGCTCCGTATTTTTTCTCTTCAAAACTACTGCGGCTTCTGCATGTTTTGGAGGAGCTCATGTATGTACGGCATGTGCATGCATATGCGTGATAAACGCCAACGAGGATTTAGGGCGGGCTAATTAATAGAGTCACGATCAGGATGGGGGCTGCATCCGCCACAGTGTGTGTGTAAGTAATAAAGGCGATAATTTTGGGGAAGCGAGAGAGGGGGTGTGCGCCGCGAAATGCCGAGGCTTGTTGGGAGTGTGTGGCTTGGCGATTTTTGCGCTGCGGAACTAGGGACAGACATAGAAACAGAAAAGAGAAAACAAAAATCCTTTTTGACATGTGAATGTGGGAGGGAGAGAAAGAAAGACGTGGAGAGAGACAGGGGGGCCAAGGCACAGGAAAATACTTGTGATTTTGGCTGGGCTGGAGGACCGGGATGGCGTGATGAAGGGACTGGGGATGCGATTTCTTCGCTTTTTTATCCGTCCCTACAAAGTATCTACGTACTATTGGTACTATCGAGTACTAACAGATAGTTGTCTCATCTGTTGTTGTTTTAGGGTTGCACCGGGTGACTCAGACTCAGGTGAGCCTCGGTACTGGAAACGGGAAATGCTCCAGAACTAAAGGTGAAGAGGTGAAGGAGACTTGGCGGGGTATTGAAGCAGAATAGCAACTAGGAAGAAAGAAAGGAGAGACAGGGTAAATATTGAACGAAGAATTGTCTCTGTGTAATGTCATGGGGACTATCATTTTGTAAACCTCGCAATTCATATGGTTCAGGGCTGCAGCCTTGTCTTTTCAAGCTAGAGCATTACAACTTCATTGAATCGTGCTGGAGCGATAGGCCTCGTCTATGCAAGATCAGCGCAGATCGCAATTGCATTTCCCCAGATTCTGCTAAGAATCTCATCGCAGACACTAAGAATTTAGCACTGCTACTGCTAGCTAAGAATAACCAAGGCATTGAGCATGATGCGCAGTGGAATGGAGTATAGACGTTCATGCGGCTCGGGTAGCATTCCGTTGATGGGGGACCACGGACATGTTACTTGATTGTTTCTAGCGTTCGGGTTGATGGGTTTTGGGTGGATAGGTGAGATGGTGTTAAAGTATCTGTTGTAGTAGGCTTTTAGTGGTATATTGATAGACGACGACGTCTGTAAACTGGGAGTTTTATAGGCTTCAAAGGCATCTTTATATAAGGTATATGAGATGGGCTCCAGAAATTGTCGTCGCGTAGAGGCATCATCATTTGTGGCTTTGGTTAACCAGTAATGTACAATAGAGTTTCACAACTTGACGTTCATACATGTAGCTCTTACGCCGCCTTGCCAGAGTTCACAACCGCCCTCTTCTCAATCTTATCCTTCAACGCATCCCAAATCCACGCCTCGGTCAAGTCTTTGCTCTTCTTCCCCTTAGCCTTCTTCTTCTGCGTCCTCACCTCCTGCACGCCAAACTTGGTCATGGCCCGCAAGTTGTACCACTTCCTCGTCTCATTCTCTGCCATGGCGTCCTCGGCGTCTCGCACGTAGTTTACAATGCCAAATCGCCGATTTGACGGACGCAGGTGGCCTGCTTGCATGGTGCTGTAGCGAGGCTTTGCGATGGCGCTCATGGTTGTGAGGGTAAGTTCCGTCGAGGGGGGCAGAGCGCTGTGGATGAAGCGCTCGAGGACTGGGCGGCTGGTGCGTGCGGCTGGAGGGAGGTGGATGTAGATGTGAGTGACAAAGGGGGATGTGGTGTATGCGACGAAAATGAGAGGGATGAGGCCGCAGAGGGCAACTAGAGGAAGGTCAGCTATGTTCAGCTTGGTTCAGAATAGTGTTATACAGAGAGAGAAAGCATGAAGTGCCGATACCAACCATATAGCCTCTTCATGGTGGGCAAAGGAGGTTGGTGTATGGAAGATGAAGCCTCAACAAGGGAGATTTTGATGAAATAACACGTCCAAAGTCACAGCAACTCACCTCCTATAGTCTCCCACTCTGGCTTCTCCGCCTTGATATATCCTGGGACAACAACAAACGTAAAAAACGCCCCAAGAAACAGCGTCGTCACCTTGACCATGGCCAGAAACGTTATCCTCCCCGTACCCGCATGATAGATGAGCAGTCTCTCAGCAATATCTATCCTCATCATCATTAGCAGATTTCTCACGATAGAAGATGGTCAATTTGGTCGTTACCATAGTGCTTAGACCCAGCATTAGCAGCGGCGGCTTTTGCCTGCTGCTTGGCCTGTTCAGCCGCTGGGAGGTTCGGTTTTGAGATGGGCTTTTTGGGTAGTTGGGCGTAGCATCGCCGGAAGAGACATTTGCTTTCAATGAGCCGTAGGTGGCGAGCTCGGATGAGATTTTGCCGATTGATGAGGCCGGATGGCGATGAGAAATTGGCAAATGGGGTGAATGGTTTTTTACTACATAATCTTGATGAGAACATGCTGGGCTGTGAGCTCTTGTTGGAATCGAGAGCTCGATTAAGCTGTGGCTGCATGTAGTTGATGGATGGCGGTTTTGTCCAGGCTAGTTGGAGGACCGGATTGGTCCACCCCGCGATAACGATAAAAGAGCTGCCACTAAAGAGAGCTCTATATCGCTACCTACCATCGTGTGTCTATAAGTCTTATGATTTTCGATCACATCCTTTCTTGTTTTTTTTGTCCTTCATGAAGTCAAAGTGCCATTGTTTTATTTTGAGTATAATACTATTATCTTTGTGTGTATCTCGCCTTGGTGTCCTCATTTAACCAATGTTCTTGGTGAAAAACTCCTTCCACTGATCCAGCGTCCACCCAGAACTCGTATCCTGAACAACGCCATCAAAAACCACCGTAGGAGTAACGTGGACGCCTATCAGGCGATTCATCTTGGTGACAACCTTCAAGTCGTTGGTCACGGCATTGCCGCTGTTCAGCGATCCGTCCTCTCCGGCTTTCTCAGGAATGGCCAACAGCTTGTAGACCTCGTCCTCACTGACACCAACCTTGGCAGCGACCTTGGCCAGGCGACGGTAAGTCTTGTTCCGAGTCTCATTGACGACACTTATGTCATAGAACTCGGTCTGCACCGCGAATAGCTCGCCACTAAACGCCCAGAACTTCTCGGGAGCCAGACGCAGCACCGCGAGCCCGGTCTCATGCATCAGCGTCGAAGAGGGGTGCCATGGCTGCACCTGCTGGCGGAAGACGACGGTGAGGCTGTTGGCCCAGACGGAGTTCTCGCGAATGGCTGGGAACACTTGCGTGGTGAGAGTTTTGAAAATCTTTGCAGAGAAGGGACAGCAGTAGTCGAGGTAGAGCTCAAAGGTGTGAGTTGCGCGCGGGACCGACGAGCTTGAAGCGGCCGGCGGGGCGAATTCGAGCTTGTGGCCTGCAAACTTGGGAGGGACAGCCATTGTGTTGTAGTGTTGATTGTGCAATTGTAGATTGATTGATTAGGTATGTAGAGATTGGAGGAGTTGACACCGTTGGCTTTGTTGAGACTTCCAAGCTGTAGGAGAAGATGGTTTAAATTAATTCTTCCGAGTTCAAAGAGCAGCTACCCCTCAACCCCTCCGTCTTACCTGCCACATGCTGACTTTACTCGTTATGTGCAAATGATGTCAAAGAGGCTTCAGTCGCCGGGCGTGCCTGCCTCTAAGATGGCGGGGCACACTGATAGGACAAGATCAGCCCGAATGGCGTGTGATTGCGTGCGATTGCATAATTCGCCCATCTACAAATTGGTGACACATCTTTGGCAAGTGTTGCTCTGCAAGTGATGTGATGCATCCGATTTGAATGCTGCTATGCTCGAATAAGCATCATGATAGCTGACTTGACAGCGGCCAGTGTAAGTCTCACTGCTCAATGCTTACAGGGTAATACTACAGGTTTCACAAGAGACAAAAATAGTGATAAGAAGAAGACAACAGATGCTCAAGAAAAAAACAGTATCTTTATTCTGACAAGTTCCAGCTGTCAATAGTATCAATCTAAACAACGCTCGTCATATATCATACATCCAATCCAATGAGCTCCAGGCTCTCTTACTTCCATCGCTGTGGTTGCCCACCCAACTATCGAGCTTCTAAGAAATGATGAGGAAAAGATACAAAAGAAAAGATAAGATAATCATACAACCTAGCCTTTCAACTCAACATGATATACTCCAACGTCCGTCCTTCTCTTGGTAAAAACATTCATTCCACTACGCGACTCTTCTCAGTCTGATGTTGATATCATTGGCACATCGCTCAAAGCCAATGCCAAATCCATCTTCAGTTCTCGGCTCGGGGTATTGTTCGCTCTCGCCACGCGGGTTCTCAATGTCAAACTCCCGCAGGACACTGGCGACCACGTACAGAATCGTCTCGAGCCCGACTTTCCTTCCGGGGCACAAGTTGCCCGCCACACCAAAGACTCGCAGCTTTCGCACCATGGAGGCGGAGAGGTTGCCAGCATTGTTTAGGAGCCTTTCAGGTGAGAAAGTAGAAGCATCAGGGCCCCAACTTTCCGTGTTCCTGTTGAATGACGACATGGCAAGGTAGATGAGATCTCCCGACTTCAGGTGGATGGGCTGTGAGTTGGGCACTGCGACGTCGAAATCTGCCTTTGCCACACGCGGAATTGCCGTCATGTGCAGTCGCAGAGTTTCATACAAGCATGCGGCCAAGAAGGGGAATGACTCTCGGATGCGGACCAGGTCAATGTTGCCTTCTTCATCCAGAGCATCTGGGTTTCGTGCTTCTTTGATAACTCTGTCGAAGAGATCCGGACGCAAGAGCAGATGGCGGATCATCCAGACTGCCATGGTGCTGGGGGTTACCATCAGGCCGAGCGATGTAAGCAGCTCAACATTGAAGTAGTCCTTGTTGGATTCCCACTCGGGGTCAGACATGACGACGGCATTGATTCGGTGAGCAATCTGTCTGACCCTTGATGCTCGGTTATTGGCGTGAGCGGCTTGCAGCCTGTTGATGATGAATTCTCTAGCTTTGTGGGCTGCTTGGGCAGTGTATTTGGAAAACGGTCTTAGAAGAGTCATCTGAGAGCCGCTGAGTTCCATGAACTGGTTCTGAAACTCTTCGTCCACAACCCATGGGCTTTCAGGGCCCCAAAGGGCACTGGCGACAGCCGAGCTGGTGAGCTTGAATAGCCAGGGGCCGAGCTCGGTTTCCTGAACATCAGGCTGGCTCTGAAGTTTCTGGCCTGTAGTTTCAGCCATAGCTGCAAGAAGAGCTCTGGCGTTGCTCGCAGATGAGAACTCGCCAACGTGGACAGGGCGAGGATCATAACCTCCAATGGCCTGGATGGAAGAGTCGCTCAAGCCGAATACACGGCGGCCAATCAAGAAAATGACGTTGGCGAGACTTGTCTCTGAAGTGTGTCTAGACAGGGCACTTTCCATTGATGGGTCTGTGACGACAATCTTTCTTGGGAAGATGTTGATGGAAAGCACCGGATTGGCGCAGTTGAGGATGGCATTATATACAAACGAGTAGAGCTTATATCTCAGCCATGAGAGCAACTTGATGATTTTGACGGAAAGTGGTTTCTGATTGTAGTTTTTGCGGCCACGATACGTGTGTACCAGAGGGGCCATCAAAACTAAAAGCAAGAGGAAGTGATATGGGAACGGAGATGAGACATGGGGCTCAGTGAAGACTGGGCCAACCACACCGAGGTGAGATGTTGAAGATGGGATGACGTTCATCGTGTCTATCCAAGAAGAATTGATCTTCAAGAGCGTCGTGTAAGTGGAAATAGAGTGCTTATTGAAGGCGTCTGATGTAATAGAGATCAGATTGTCTGTTCCAAAGATCTGATATAAGTTGGTATATATATGTGTGTATGTGTGTGTGTGTATGTATGTATATTTCTTGATGTTGTTGGTTTGTGTTGTTGTCTGTTTGTGATGGTGAATGATGAGATGCCACGGAAAACAGCAACGCACCGGCATATTTATCTACATCAGACGAACACACACGAACCGGACAAACGGGTCCAGCAAAGGAGGCTGAATCCCATCCATCTCCAAACTAGCACAAACAGTCACCATGCCTGGTGAGGCTATGGAGCGCAACAAAGCTCCCCAAAAAGAAATCACACTACGAAGTGAGGCCACCGTCGGACTCACCCAATGGGCCTCAATCCTGCCCACTGCCGTAAAAGCTGAGCATTTTTGGGCCCCCAAAAGATTTTTCTTCCCACATTCAGCGCCCCCTCCACCCTCGGCCATCACTTATCACGGATAAAAACGACAAGAAAGATGCCTAACACGATGACAAGTTCATCCCACTTGGGGCGTCATGGCTAGGGCAAACGAGTAAAGGTAGGGATGGCAGTTCACTTGATCAAAGCTTTGTGGGAGGACGGGACTAGCATCGTTGGGGGTTCCCACATCGGGGAACGGTTGATCGAGGCTATGTACATGAGCAGCTGAACATTATAGGCTTTTCTACTTTTTTTTTTTTTTACTTTTACTTGTTCAGCATCGATATGAACCCTTGCTAGTTGCGTTAGTATGATGAATATACCGAGATCAGGTAGTAGGGAGGGCAAGAAAACAGCCCCATGTAAGAGTCAGGGAAGAAGGCCATGTGGTTTGGCCTGCGTTAGCATGGGAGAGGATGAGAAGGGAGGGGGCGTGTACCAAAAACTCATTGACGAGCGCCATGTTTACCTCTCTATGGGTATCCTAAATAGGCCAATGATCCAATTTAGACTGCCTATTGGTAGAATCTCACTTTTTTTTTGTCCTTTGGTCTAGTATTTCCCTCACGAGGACTTCAAGCCAGGGAGGGAGGGAGGGAGTATAGGGCGTGAGCGTAAACTGGGGCTGAGGACTGAGACTTGGGGCTGGGATGTAGGAGGGATAGAAAAAAAAAAGTATCCGATGATCTGAGTGGCTGATTGGCCGCCTTGTGTCCATTGGACTCAAAACCCAGGGGGGGAAGGATTGGGACGCTGGTTATGGGGAATGATGCCTGGGCTGAGCGTTTGCTGTGGTGTAAGAGTCAGTGTTGGTGGGAAGGGATGCTACCCGATTGGGAAACCGGCCGTGGGGCCTAGCCTGGTTTTCACCGAGGGGCTGGTCGTTGGGTCTTTTGGGGTCTGTTTTGGCTTGGTGTTGGTAATACTATTTGAAATTTTGAAATACGATTGATGAAAATGGTGGACATGAAGTCTAGTAAAAAGTGCAGAAAAGGAGATATATACACAGTGACTCTGTTTTATTTTATTTCCTTCGAGTTGAAGAAAAGTCCTAGATACGAAGCAAAAAACAGCCCTGCGCTACGTTAGTGTAAGAGTCAAAAAAAAAAAAAAAACCAGCGGTGTCATCAGCGGTCATCATGGCTGTCATCCAGCTCTCAAAGGGGAAATTCTAGAATGTCTCATATTTTTATTTATATCATGTGTGCGACCCTCACTTTTTTCATCCCCTCCCTTACAGACTAACTTATGAAAATGTCTTGAAACTCTTTTTTTTTTTTTTATGCCTCGCCCTATTTGGCCCAGGCACAAACGAGCATTTGTAAGATGGCTACCACCCTGCAACAATATCTGCCAATGCAATGGAGTGTGCTACTGCATGCAATGTGACTGATGTCAAGATGCATTGTGCATAAAGGCTGCCTTAGCTGGAGTGCTAGCATAGGGCTGGATGGATGCAATATCTTTAGATTGTATCTGCGTCTAGTCTAGTCGATGTCGATTAAGTGGACGAGGTGGACAGGCAGACAACATGAGACAAACATAAACGAAGCTCGAGTCCAGTCATCCTGCGCTTGGCACGCCCCCCTCCATGTTTGCCCATCTCTCATATTTTATCCCCTTATCTGCCAGAATGAAAATGATGAAAATCAAAAATAAGTAATTGAATAATGATAGCTACAGCTCAGTACTAACACTGATACTACTACTAGTCCAACTCATAGCCCATCTGACAATGATCCAATCCCAGACGTCCATTGACTAGATTCACTTCCACTTCACCTTGACTACCCTTCGGTCAACCGCAGCTGCGCGCGTCTCGTCCGTCCCACTCCCCCACCATCAGCGTCACTTGCATCACCGTCATCAGATCAGCCGCTCCCAGATGCAGGGTTCAGGTCCCCGTCCCGCCCTTGCTTTGCCTCTCAGCCCCAGCCGCCGAGGGTGTAACCAAGGCAAATCGCGTCGTATTGCCAGTCGTAATTCTCTCTCTATCTGCTCTGTTGCTGTTTGCTCATTGGGTGTCACAAAAAGATACTAGACAAGATCAAAGACCACGAAGAGCCAATGAGGCAACACGAATAGTCATTGAGAGAAGCTACAATGACACATTAAAGCAAACGCACTGGACTAAATTTCTCTTTCACCTCGAGAAGCGTTCATGCTTGATGGCCCCAAAGATACACATCATATACGTATAAATATATACGTATAAATATACGAGTTACCAGGCTCGTGTTGGGTCGGTTAGACAACGCCCATCACGGGAAGGATTGAGGCCGCAGACAACAGCGAAAATGCCGGAGCCGAGTCGAATGACAGCGGGCGGCCGCATGAAGTGACGCCCCAACCGCCGCCTTGGCGCAAACTGTGTTTTGCTTTGCTTCACGTTCTCGGCTTCTTGATTATTATTCCTCGTCGCTTGCTGCTGCGGCTACTTGGCGCAAGATGCACCATCGCCAATCTAGCCATAATCCTCATCAATAGCTGGTTCATGCTAGCAGCGGCAATAGCCGGGGGAGCGACGATGGCTCGACAGCGCAACGACGGATTACTTGCAGCAGGCACTTACTTGTTATGGCGTCGTAATCGCCTGTTGGCCGCTGTTTAGCTCCCGCGATGGGCTTATAGTGGCTGCGGGAAAAGAAGCGGGTAGGGCTGTAGCAATAAGCAGGGACAGGCTTACCATCACCCAATCGGGCCATGCATAGTGAGGGCATGCATGTATGCACTCAACCGCATTATGCGTTCGTTCCCTCCCTTCAGCTCATCTATTTTTTAACTTTTGTCTCTCGTTTAAGCCGCCCTGCAGTTTGTCTCTTCTATTTTTTACCTTTTTTTTTTCTCTTTTTCTGGCGTCGTCTGGTGGGGCTGATCTTCAGCTGGGAACATCAGCTCTAGGACTGAGAGCGAGACTTAAGAGAGAAGATGATACGCCGAGCGGGCAACGGGAGCGACCCGAATCTATCCAAGCGATACAAGGGCCTGGTTCCGAGGAAAGCAAAGCACGACTTCTCATTTTTTATTCTCTCTCTTCTTCTTCATTCTTCCAAGGCAAAACGCAAACTCGCTTCGCCTCGCATCAGCTGAGCAGAGCAGTGACTAGTAGCCAGCCACTTGGTAATTGCTGCTCTTGATGTCATTCAGGCAACAAACCCAAGGTAGGCATAGCATAGCCCTCGTCGCCTTACTTCTTCCCTCCAGGCAGGCAACAAATCTCCAGCAGCAGTTAGTCATACCGGCCACTTACGCTCTCTCTCTCATCTTTCTTCTATTTTTTCTTAATTAATTTCTTATCCTACCGCAACTGCCACTGCCAACCATCTACTCTGCATCAGCCATCTGCGCGGCATATCTTCCGTTATCTTCTGTTGGTCGGATCCCTCCCTCTGCCGTCCTCCCCCTCCATGGACATTATTCGTCCCATCTCATCCTCTTCCAGGGTCCCCTCCAATAGCGCAGCCTCCAGTCCCCCAAATCAAATCCGGCCCCTCCCCCTCCCTCCACCTCCCAACTGCTCGTGTCTGCCCGGCCTTCACCGAGCAGAGCTGATGCCCCTGCACGCAGCTGAAGTGCAACTCCGGGGCTCGATGTCACCTCTGCGGAGCGGCGTCTGCCCCGCTTTGTGTCTCTTCCCTCAGCAGCCTGGTGGGGGAGAATTGATACAGAGGACACAACCAAAAGAAAAAGAAGAAGAAGAGACAAAAGCAACCCCCATGGCATGATTTTTTCCCCATTCCTTTTTTTATCCGGTAGATGGATCGCGCAGATGGCTGCCCAGGCAAGGGTGATTACATGTAAGCAAAGCACAGCAAACAAGCACAAGAGAGGGAGGAGGCCAACAACAAGACCCAGACCAGAGACTATTTGCTAAGCCGCATCGAGCTGAGAGATCTAGGCCCCATCCAGGGTTCACGCGCCGCTGGTGATTCTGTCTGGCCCCCTGTTCCAGTCTATTTGTTTTGTTTCTTTTTTTTTTTGCACTCTCCCCTTGTCTGTCTACCTTGCAGAAATGACGTCCTTCTGTCTTCCCCCCCCGGCCTGTCGCTCTGATTCGGCGCATCATACGACTGGGGGCTAAAACGAGGCTGGCTGGATTGCTGTTCCAGACCAAAACGATGCAAAAGCGGGAGAAGAAAAAAAAGAGCAGAGAGGAAAAAGTACGACCTAGGCACCCATGTTATCGTAAATCCCAGAAATCGAACGGTGACGTGCTACCCGCTCAGGACCCCGGAGCAAATACTACGTATCCCAGGTAGCATTCTGATTCCATGTCGCGTCACCACGTGGTACGGCTACACCATATCCTTGTAGTCCCACAGAGGGAGATATTTTTCCCAAGACAAGAAAACAAGAAAAGGAATTCAATTGGGAGGTAGAGAAAAAACTCAAATTGTCAAATCAATTACCAGGCTCTAGCTGCATAGGACCTGCAGGAGTCATGGCAGAAAAGTGCTGCCTGGCCATGCAAGGGCGGAGCAGAAAAAAAAAGCGTTGCCTTGGTATAAGTGCGTATGTCTCTGTGTGTGTGTACGACGGTGACTCTACTCTTAGTCCAGGTGAGGCGCACAACGGACACTTCAAGTTGGCCGAAGCTATTCTTTTCGTCTTTCTACTCTCTCCTTTCCGCCATCTCTTCCAGGTGAGGCTTCGGTATTGTTGAGGCAAGCTCAAGACTGCGGCCCAAACACCCCGGAGCAACGGCTGCGGCGGCGAAGCATGGGGAAAACTGATTCTCAAGGCTGAGACAAGGAATATTCAGGCGAGCCTGTTTGTGCAGCTGGATATGTGATGCGGGCTGTAGACTATCGAACATGGGATGTGAGATATGGGTAGGATAAGAGACGCTGGATACCGAAGAACTGGAAGGGTGTGGATATGATATCTGATAGTGGTGACATCAACCCGGCCTCTTGCTGGCTTCACTCAGCTCAAGGCAGAATACAGAGCATTCTTACCACACCACAGAAGCCTACATCGTCAAATGGTATCAATTTTGATCAATCTTTTTTTCTATTTTTGCTGTCCTAGTCTAAACCAGAAACACACCAAGCCTAAGAAACCGTATTCTTCGTCACAACGCCCCTCGCAAACTCTCCAAACGTCAAGTGCTGCTCGATATCCACCTCCTCGCCCAGATTCGGCTGCGTAAACACCGCCAGCGTGTTCCTCGCTACCCTCCCATCGCTCACGCTCGCCCTGACCCCCCTCACAAAGTGCGGCACCGCCTTGAACCTGCCCGCCGTGATGCGCTCCAGGGCCTCGCCCGTCTGGAACGCGATGCAGTCACGCGGGATCTTGACCTGCACCGTCTCGCCCGTTCGAGACTTGATGTACAGGCCGGCCGCGGCGTCGGGCGACGCAGGCAGCTCGTCCAGGGGAGGGAGGGAGGCCCCCGTGAGGCTGGTGAGGTCCGCCGCGCTGGGCACCGTGGGGTCAACCTGCTTCTCGTCGATGAACATGGCCGATGTGAGGCCCGTCAAGCAGCCGTGGTCGAGATGCGTGCCGCACCAATCGTCCTCGTCGCCCTCTGCCGCCGTCGACGCCGCGTCGGACGCCCCCTGGGGGAAGTAGTGCAGCAGCCTCGCTTTGGTGGTGTTGGACGTGCTAACGACGTGCTCCAGGTAGCCCTTGGGGTAGCCCTGGATCTCCTTTTCGGCAAAGCGGTCGCAGGCGCGCGCCACCAGCACGGCTACGTCGATGATGAGGCGGCACAGGCTGGTCACTGCCGGCTTCATGCCGGGGAGCACTCGCTCCGCCGGCCAGATGTTGGGTGAGAGGTACTCGGGAAAGGTCTCGGGCGAGAACTCTGGCGTGGGCTCGGCACAGTCCAGGCTCGGATTGACGTAGAAGGCACAGTTTGCGTAGTAGGATCCCTTGAAGGTGTCGGCCTGGCCATTCTTGAGCGTCTCCTTGCCGAGGGACCAGCCAGTCAGGTACTTTGCCTTGGCATTTTCCAGCTTGTCTAGAGTAGTAGGGGGCGAAGGTCAGTGTCTGCTGCATATGTGGCTGGCAAACTAGATGCATCTCTATGTCGTTGCCTGAACTTGGCCCCCTCCCCCAAATGACTCCCTCCCCTCTTTGATAGTCCTTCCCTTGAAGAAAAAAAATGAAAGGGGCAAGAAGCAGCAAACCAACAAGACTTACCTAGTTCCTCCTTGGGGAGGTTACCCAAATAAGATCCATATGATAAGGCGACATGGCGCAGCTGCGCAAACTCCTCCGGAACGTTCTTGACCACTAAGATGCCCAGGGAATCAGGGCCAAAAGCCTCCTGCAAAGTCTCGAATGAGACGTTCCCTGATGGCTCGTATGTTAGTCAGGGGAAACTCGGCACGTATGAGTAAAGAAATGTGAGTAGGGTAAGTATATTCGGTTTAAGAAAAAGAGATTGTGGCGCGGGTTGTGAAAGTGGGATTGTGTGAGTGGGCTGTTTGAAATCCATCGATTCGTTCAAAGCTGTTTTGCACGGCACGGAGGACTTGTACAAAGTAGGAAATCACAAGTAGATGCACTTGAGGCGAGGCTCCTCATACCGTTTTGGAGGTCTTGGAGGGACACAGTCACAGCCTGTGCCAGAGGAGCCATTTTGAAACGACGATGGCGATGAGGATTGCAGATGTCAGATGCTGACAGGAGGAATGGAGTTGGCCTATATGGCGAGAAATAGACAGTACGAGGTAGAAAAAAGGGGCGATCCAAACTTCACCAGATGGATGTTGATGCGAAAGAAAAGGATCAATCTAATTACTCCCAATCGTACGAGGAAAAGGGCACCTCTTTTCGCGGTTTATCCTCGCCCCCAAAACCGCCGCCACAACGGCCCCATTTTCGCTCCTCCACGCTCTAAAGCAGAGAAATAATCCGAATTAGCAGCTCTCCAAGCTCGCTTCAGTCCCGAGCCATATCGATTCTCTAGCGGGGGAGGGGCAGAAAAATAGAGGGAAACCAATCTTGACACAAACAACTGGAGAATACGCCAATAAGAGAGACAAAAGTCCCAAGAAGGCACTCACTGCGATTGCGCTTACGTAACGCGGAAAGCATAGCAGAGCTTCTCTGGGCCGAAAGATGGAGCTCGCCGTCTCCCGAGTTCATCCAACTCCAGCCGAGCCTTGTTTGGACTTCCAAAAGACGAGCCAAGGCTGTTCCGCTTAATGCTACCCATTCCATTATAGCCGCAGCACGCATATTGTCTTCCGGTCTTCGGACGCCCTTTTGATTGAGCGTTTCTGCTCGCCCCGACGCAAGCCGCGTCTCTCATTGGTGGCTCTGCCATAGCAGCAGCAGCAATCATGGTCAAGCCGTTGACCTTCAAGGGCGACAAAAAGACCAAGAAGCGGAAGCGCGCCGCCGCGGAGCTCCACGACGACGACGACGACAATGGCGCCGGCGAGTCCAGCAAGAAGCAGCTTGTCAGGGCAAACGACGACAACGAAGACCAGGCCCAGGACGACAGCTGGGTCTCGGCCGATGCCGTCACCGATGTCATTGGCCCCGTCATGATTGTCCTGCCTACGGACAAGCCCTCCGCGCTCGCCTGCGATCCCAGCGGGAAAGTGTTTGCGCTGCCGATTGAGAACATTGTCGACGACAATCCGACCAGCGCGGAGCCGCATGATGTGAGGCAGGTCTGGGTGGCCAATCGCGTGGCTGGCACCGGCAACTTTCGCTTCAAGGGACATCATGGGAGGTACGTTTTGGTCATGTTGCGCTTAGAAGTATAGTGCCCGTATATGCTCAGCATCCCGCTAACTTGGGATACGCAATGTATAGATATCTCGCCTGCGACAAGATCGGCCTGCTTTCAGCAACCTCAGAAGCCGTCTCCCCCCTCGAATCATTCAACCTAATCGCCACCGCAGACACGCCCGGCACGTTCCAGATCCAGTCCCTCCGCGACACCTTCATCACCATCAAGCCGTCTACGTCGTCCAAGCCGAATGCGCCGCCCGCCGACGTGCGCGGCGACGCCGACAGCATCACCTTCAACACGACGCTGCGCATCCGCATGCAGGCGCGCTTCAAGCCTCGCATCAGGACGTCTAAGGAGGAGCGTGAAAAGTCCAAGATAAGCCGGCGCGAGCTGGAGGATGCGGCTGGGCGGAGGTTGGACGAGGAGGAGGTGCGGGTGCTGAAGAGGGCGAAGAGGGAGGGCGATTATCATGAGCGGTTGCTGGAGATTAAGGTCAAGAATAAGCATGACAAGTTTGGCTGAAGGCTTTGTTGTCAGATTCACGTTTGCTGGATTGAAGAATACTTACGCAGCCACGATAGACTTGGAACTGAGATGTTGGGCGACCCGAGGCAGACGTCGAAGGGCTTGACTAAGGGTCGCAAATTCGAGGGCCTGCCTCAATCGATGAGAACGAGCTGGCCACTACATCTACAACCCGATCCAACGCCAAGTCATAAACCCTGCAAGCTCCCGGCCGCTGGATATCAGTCTTGTCTGGAGCCAAAACAGAAAAGGGGTTGGTAAAAGCAGTGTCCATCTCTGAATCTTGGACAAAAGACGAAAACCCTCCATTCAGCCAAAGCAATAGCTTATATATATACATATGAAGATAGAAGAAAATTCCAAAGTCCTCTCATCATTGCCAAAGAAACGAAAGCTCAACTTTTTCTGTGCCATTTGATATCTATTCAGCATCCGCGTATTTCAGTTCTCAGTTACCCGCCCTCCATGCCTTCACATTCCCGTCTTCTCCCGTCGTAAACACAACCTGCTCGTCGTCAAAAAAGCAAAACGAGCGCACAATCTCACTGCCGTGTGCGCCGGGTAGGACAACTCTATTGTCGTGGTCGAGTGCCCAAGCGTTGTTCGGTGTCTTGGCTAGGAAGACGAGTTCAAAGTTTTGTTTACTATTCGAAAACCCGATTAGCCAAGTCATAATTCTCACCTCAAGTACATCAATAACGAAGAGGACTTACTCCTGAGCACCCGCGCCCAATATAGCACCGCTCCCATCCAACTTGGTAGTCACATTCGCCACATACTGACACCCAAGCACCTTTCTCAAGTCCCCGAAATCCTGCGTCGCACTCCCATCAGTCCTCTCCTCGGCAACGTCGTACAGCGCAAACGTCTCGTCGTGCGACAGCGCAAAAACCTCGGTGGGCGTCAGGAACGCCGCGTCGTGGATCGAGGCGTTGTGGTTCAACGTCTGCACCGTCAGCTCGTCCTCGTCGGTGATGGTCGTGTCGTGGATGCTGACAAGGCCGTCGGTCGAGCCGGAGATGAGCAAGTTGGGCGAGGACGGGTGGAAGCCGAGAGAGGTGACGTCGTCGCTGTGGACTTCGGAGTAGCTTGCTTTGGGGGTCGGGGTGGAGCGGACGTCCCTGTGGTTTTTGATGAGCTTTTGGTGCACATAGGCAGTGAGGGAGTTCTTACCAGAGATGTATTGAGGCGACGTGGTTCTCCAGCTCTGTGCCGACGGCGATTGTTTGTGTGTTTGCGCTGCATGCCAATGACAAGATGGATGCCTCGGCCGCTATGAAGATAATATCAGCCAGAGATCCAGCAACCTTTCACCATCATCCGTATCTCATCATGCTTTCATCTTCATTCTCACTCTCACTCATCCATTCATCCCACCCTCTCATAAAGCTCACCTTGAAAATGCGCAACCCTCGCCGCCTGCCTCAAATCCCAAACCCCAACAGACCCATTCTCACCAGCCGTACACACCAACGAACTCCCCGCGTCAAACACCCGCAGCGTCGTCACGTTCCCATGGCTCGTCTTGAGGCTCGACACAGGCCCGGCTCCGAGTCGAGCAGGGTTGAATAGCGAGAGCGTCTGGTCCGAGGCTACGGTGGCGAGTCCTGCTGCTGTGCGGTGCGCCTCGAGCACGTAGACGTCGTCGGGACCGGAGAAGTGGTGCTGATCGATGTTGGTGAGGGTATACATTTTGGGTTTGTGGTATAAGGCAGTAGGCGAATGGGGTATAAGGCGAGAGGTAGGTATAGGTAGGCAAGAAGACCTCTTGGAGGTAATCGCTTTTGTGTGGCCCAGGTGCGGCTGTTTGGATGAAAGAAATTTAGATATCTCCAATAAAATCAATATGAGTTGTTGATGTGTTCCACTAGATCCAGATTCCAGATCTAGGTTCAAATAAAGATTCACGCAGAGCTAAATGTTCATCAAACAGCTGTGTAAACTCTTTTTCACCCACCAGGACGCTAAATTTAGAACTAGCCTCGTTAGCTACATATCCTCACACCTACAACTAGCACACATGTCACTCAGGCTTTCGATTCAAGGTTGAGAACGTATTTTAAAGAAACAGATTAATGTTACAGACATCTTTTCCGCTGCATCTATCGTACACACGTGTCTTGACTCTAAACAGTTCAAATCATTCGTCCAACATATGATAGGAGTGTCGCCAAAGCCAGCTTGAAAAAGGGAATTTCTCGTCTTCTTTTCCCAGAAAATCAAAAAAAAAAAAAAAAAAAAAAAAACCCCTCGCAAGACGTGCTCTTTCGTAGCAGCTCTTTGTATCAAACGCCATGTAAAGCTCTAAAACGCCAAAACTTTGATGAAACTTTGGAAAAAATTTCATTCACTTTTAAAACCCAACCCAATTATGTTATTTAATTGTTATCGCCGCGTCTTCCCCTTCAGTCCTCGCCAGCCAAGCTCTCGTTCATAGAGCGCTCATTGACACTTCGAAACGCCCGCTTGCCGACTTCGTAGCTACTGATCATAATGGCGCAAGCCGGTGCCACCTTTAGTGTGCGAGGAATCCAGCCTCGCCATAAGCCAGAGATACCCTCCGTCTGGAAGATGTGTAATAGCAGTCGTCCCATATTTTGCTGCTCGGGTGCCAGTGCGCTTCCGGCTGCACGGCGCGAACCGTCGTTGTAGACTTGGGTGCGCGTCTTGCCCACGTCAAACGGCATGGTCATGATAGATGCAATAGCGCCGGAGGTAGCGCCAGCAGCAAAGCTGTCAAGGAAAGTTTCTGTATGGCTCTCTCGGCTCTGAGATCGACGCCGGGCTGTTGTGCGGCTGAGGCCATCAAATGTGTCGCGGCTGGCTGCCCTGCCTTGTCGTTCTTCGCGAATATCGGAGATTCTAGATCGGATAGACTCGTATCCCCACCAGTAGAGGCCAGAAAAGGGCACATCTCTCCACAGAGTCAATGTCAGGCCTCGCCATAATGAGGTGTAGCCTTGAGTGGCAACCATGGAGCGGATCCCGCTGAAAGCTTCAACCAGGTGGTTTGTGGTAGAAGCACCAGACGCAGCCTGCATACGGGTGCGGACGAGCTCGATAGGGCCAACGGCGGTTGCTGCGAGAATTCGGGCGAAAGAGCCAGCAGTGAGCGGCGCATAATCGGTTGAGAGGCCTGAAAACGGGCTCATGGAGTTGAATCGCAGCCAATCGTATCCGGTGAAGTATATGATATTGGCGGGAATTGTCATGGCGAGGGTAGGTGAGAGGCCTCGCCATAATGTCGTGAATCCTTCATTGCGAGCAATCTTCCGCAGGCCATCAATCGTTGAGTGATATGTCTTCTTTTGGACTTCTTGCACTGCGCAGTCAGCGGCGGCGCCACTTCCGCTGGATGTTGCGATGCCCTCGACTCTCGGGGCGGCGAGGCAGTAATCTATGGCGCTCTCTGCGAAGAACACTTCGCGGCAGCATGCTGTGACGCCCAGTTCGGATGTCTGGACCGGGGTGAGGTTGGCGGTTGTTCGCATGAGTCTCGAAAAGTCCACAACCGGGGCGGCGGTGGCGGAAGTCGGCTGCGATTGTAGGCGTACGCGAACGACGTCCAGTGGAGTTACTAGGAGAGAATGAAAAGTTAATACATGTTGCAGTCCAAAGCTTGTAACCAATCTCAGCAGAGTTGACTCACCCAGCAACGAAGTCAAGAGACTGCCCGACATGGCCGACACCATCTTCTGGCCTGCTGTGATATCCGGAATGATGCTGCCTCCATCGCCATCGCCCGCACCCGCAATCCTAGGAATGCCAGACATGCTGGCCTCGTCTCCGTCTATCCTGTCGTAGTTTTGGCCGTTGAGCCTGTGGACAGTAGAGAGAGATCCCATGCCGCGCGGAGGGGCGTGAGCGAGGAGCCGACCCCTCGGGCCCTCACGAATATCCGGATGCTGGAGGCTTGTGCGCAGCTCTCTCGGAGATGCTCGGACCGGGCCGAATTCGGTCAGCGGTGTTTGGAGCTCGAAAGTTGGTGCTGTAGAAATTGTGCTTGATTGACAATGAGTCGATACGGATGTATGTTCAGAGGATGGATGAAGGAGACAGAAATTGGCAGTGGAAAGAGGAGAGAGAAGAATATCGAGTAGTCATAGCTAGGAAGGTTATTTGGTTAGCAGAGAGTGCTAGAAGCCGCTAGCCAAGGTGTAGCGCATGCAAGTGGTAAATATCGACGGCTCAGCGGCGTTCGTTGACGGAGCCCCGGTTTATTTTTTCTCGCTGCTTTTTTCGGGTTCGCCTCCACGCCGCAGCCGGAGATGAATCTGCACCGCGCCTGCTGTGTCTGCCAATCCCGCACCGAGGCGAGGCACCGTCTGTAGCCGAATGATGTCACGGCGCGCTGTGATTGGCTGGGCTTTTGCCGTGGCGATTGATAATCAGCGATAAGATGAACGCCTCCAGTATGTATGCGCATAGCTGGAGTAACTTTGATCTTGTACTGCTTCTCCATAGACCCCGTGGACCCTGCACGGCAGTGTTTCTGAGGGCCATGTTTGGCGCGCTGTGTTGATCCAGCAGCACCCCTTCGGCGATTGCTCGTATTAGTCTCGATATATGCCAGAGACACTCGATTGCCTACGTCTAGCTTAATCGCCTCCTACAGAACCTCTTTAGAGCCTCTTTCGCTTCTCTATCTTATCCACTAGCATTAGTTGGGCCTAGCTGTGCTCAAGCTGTACTGCAAGTACATGCACGCATTACGGCGTCTTAGTAATCGACGCCTGTCTTAGCCACTGGCCGATCGAGTCACTTTCTAAGAAGCGCTGAGTCTTGACCGATTCATTGCATATTGTACTCTAACATTGTAAGGCACTCCGTGTAAAAAAAAAAACTCCCTATACATGCAGTGTTAAGCCATCTGTATTCGTCCCCTATCATCACTCCTTCTCGCCTTATTTCCCTCTGCTTCTCAAGTCATACCTAGTGTTGAGTTCTTAATGATCATCATGTCTTTGTAAATCACATCATACACGGCCGTAATACCAGCATAAGCATTCCGCGCTGTGTTCATCAATTCCCCGCGCTCGGCCATATCGGACACACGCGTCTACGCTTCGTATCTTCCAACCACGCACCAGCCACAGCCATGACTTCAGAAAACCGAGAGTCCAATTCGGAGCTGGAATCCTTCCGGCAAAAATGGATTTCCGACCTGCGATCTAGAAGAGAGTCCATTGGGTCAGCCTCTCATCAGGCTGAGGCGTCGTATGTGGCCTCCGCCGCCGCGCCGGCCGCTACTTCACAGCAAAGAAGGCCATCAGGGCATTTTTCAGGTCCAGGAGTTGCCAAAAGGAATTTGCCAGTCATTGACGATGATGAGTACTATCTTCACGCGCAATCGTTCGACGGCCCTCCTCCAACATCTACCACGGGGCATCTGCTCTCGGATGCTCCCGGTAAAGGTGTTGAGAAGCCCCTTGTCTCGGCTCTGGATCACTATGAGGAAGCCATGGAAAAGGAGGCTCAGGGCAACATGGGAGAAAGCCTGCGGCTGTATAGGAAGGCTTATAGAGTAAGTTCATTTTTATATGTCATTTTGCTTTCTGCTTCTCAAAAGTGTAAAACTGCATTCTCCTCATGATATACTGACTCCTTTGCTAGCTAGACAATAGAATAGATCAGACATATCGTGAGAAGCACTTCCCAGGGGGTTTCGCTGCCACCAAAGCCCCCACAACAGGACCTGCAGCATTATCCGCACAGAAACATGCCGAGTCTAGTGAAGGGGAGCCCAAGCCGCTGACCCTGGAGGAGCTCATCGCCAGCTTCTCAACCCTGAAGATCGAGCCAGCCCCCCCGGAAATCGAAAACACCCCGCCACCTCCATGCCCAATCGCCAATCTGCCAGATGAACTGCTCGTCCACATCCTCCAGGACGTTGCCGTTGCGGATGTCGGAGACTTTGCACGTCTGAGTCTCGTATGCAAGCATTTCGCCTTTCTCGTCGCCACTGAGCAGCGTCCCTGGAAACGCGTCTGCCTGGGAAGTGAGTTCGGCTTCACCTCCGTGCCTCGTCACTGGCAGAAGAGCATCGAGTGGGAGGATCTTGAGATCCAGGAGGAGGCAGACGAAGATGGCCTCCTTATCAGTATGCGAGAGCTTGAGGAGCGACGCCTCGCCGACGCACTGTCCTTCACCTTGTCACTCCACGATCCGGACGTCTATCCTTCGTGGAAACACATGTTCCGAAATCGTCCTCGTATCCGCTTCAACGGATGCTACATCAGCACCGTCAACTACGTGCGCAGCGGCCAGGCCTCCACAAATCAGTCCACCTGGGGCGGAGCTCCCGTCCTCATCGTCACATACTATCGCTACTTGAGATTTTTCCGCGACGGCACTGTCATCAGTCTTCTCACTACGGCATCTCCAGTAGACGTTGTTCATCATCTAACCCCCGAGTTACTCCTCTTACACCGCGAGGCTCCTCACCCCCATTTACCGTCCGTTGTGATGCATCAAGCTTACAAAGGCCGCTGGCGCCAATCCTCTGCCTTGGATCATCCCGACAACACGGATCCCAAGGAGCAGGAATCAGATATATATGTGGAGACGGAGGGCGTCGGCACAAAGTACATGTACCGAATGGACCTGACGCTCCGAAGTGCAGGCAAGGGCACCAAGAACAACAAAATCGTCTGGAGAGGCTTCCACAGCTACAATAAGCTGACGGACGATTGGGCTGAGTTTCAGCTCAAAAACGACAAGCCCTTCTTTTTCAGCCGGGTTAAGAGTTATGGAATAGGAAAGCCGGTAAAGGAGTTCTAGAGAACTACCGTTGCTTGGGTATGGTTAGTTGGATATCCACTCATGTCGAAGAGATAGGTAGGTGCATAGTTGGAGCGTGCAAAGTGCTTCTATTTGATTCGTTGGGCTACGAGCCATAGATAGACTACGGCATACATGTAGTCTCACCATAAATACATGAACCCTTGAGGGGACAATTAATATCATCTGATCACTAAATCTAAACTCACCAAGTAATGCTATTACTATCACAAATCTTAAATAAAATGTCCGCTGACCTGAACCCCAACTCAATATCTTGCCACCAGATGGCTGCAAGGGTCATGGCTGCTATTCCCTATATCGTAGGTGCAAGCGATGATTATATGCTCTGTAAGCATAGGGATACTATTTCTCACTTTGTGTGTAAGATAGGCTACTTAGGTTAGCGATAGTAGCGGACATATGGCACTATACGCTCCTGATATACCATGCTCGCTGCAAGGCGCTAGTCTTGTTACAATCTTGAAGCTTACTTGTACCGGCATTTCCATGATCCACGCTACTAGTGCGGCCCGCCAAGTAGGTCAATGTCTTTCCGCAAACATCACCTACTGCATTTGGCAGCCAGTAATTGATTACACTATTCGAGTTGCGGTCTGTGTAAACGACAGAGCTTCAAAGGGGATGGAATCATTGTCTACCTTACGAATTCATTGTAAGCGAGAGAGTATGTTCATTAATCCACGAATCGACGCCGAGAAGATGTAGTACTCTTACGCCTTCTACTAGATATAAATTGACCATGCACTCTCTCTGATCTCTCTGTCTCTTCTAATCACGACAATCACTTCTAGTTCTCAAAAATCACAACAATCACTCCTAATAACCGCTTAACACAAATCACCCCAAAAAAGCAACCATGCAGTTCTCAACCACCATCTCTCTTCTCGCGGCCCTCACCGCATCCGTCGCTTCTGCCGCCCAAATGCAAATCAACTACTACAGCGATGTCTGCAGCTCCTACGAGGGCCAAGTCGGCGTCACCTGGGCCACCAACATCTACAATGGCCCGAACAACTGCTACAACTACCACTTTGGCAACTACGCAAACATTGCCAACTGCAACACTGGCAACGGCTGCAGATGCAACTTTTACAATTCGGACAACTGCCAGAACTACTCGGGATACACCGCCTCTGGCACCGGAAACTGCGTTCCCGTTTCCAATGCCAGGTCTTTCGAGTGCTGGTATGGTAGCAACTAAGATTCACAAAATGTGTGGAGTTGAGTACTACTAGTATTGAACATGGGAGTGTTGTTTGGGATGAACTACCCTAATCTGGGGAGAACAGAGTCAGCATAAAAAGTTTGGTAATTTTGTATATAACAGGCAAGGTGAAAAGGAACTTACATGTACATATGCTTTGCTAAGAACTTATAAATAACGTTATTAGCAAAGGATCTCTGGGCCACAACATGCAGCGTAATCAGCCATCATGTGTTAACCTATACATATAGCTTGAGGGTACACTTTCTTGACTTGATACAGACATAGACTCGGCCTGCAATATTTCATATTTCACAGATACCAAGTTTATGTGTTTTTATATAGCAGGGCAACAGAAGCTTATATATACGAGTGAACTGTAAGAGGCCATGCAAGCTGTACGGCTCTGGTCCACAAATCATTCTGGGTGAGATTCCTTCCACTCCACCCAAGACTAGTGCGGCCTGAACAACGTGTCGCTACTACCGACCTACTGACTTTAGTATAATTAGTTTATATCTTTATTTCCCAGATTGGCATTGCATGCCATATACACCACAGAGCGTTAACCAAGATGGAAGTTATCATCTGTTTATGACAACTACTCAAGAATTATGTTGGTATCTATGTAAATATATGCATATGAATCTGACTTCAGTATTCATTGTAAACTCCTTATTTCCATTATAGGAATGGGGACTGGATGTAACTAAGATAGAGAGGGCCTCAATGGTGATAGGATTCATTATCTGTTTACGATCTTAGCACGAGGTCATCCATTTCAAGATAAAAAACAAACGAGTTCAATTTATATGCAGTACTCTTCCTACCTTCCGCCAGATATAAATTGGCCCATTTCAGACTCTCAGAGTTTCTCTTCCTGTCCGTCTCTCACACTCAACAATCCCTTCACCCATCCATAAAAAGCCACTCCAATCTTTCGCAAAAAAACATCACGCAGCCATGCACCTCTCAACCGCTACCTTCATCACCCTCCTCACCACATCACTCACCTCCGCCACGCAAATGCAAATCAACTACTACTGGGACGTCTGCTCTTCCTATGCCACTCAAGTTGACGTAGACTGGGCAACCAACTATGCGTATGGACCGGACAACTGCTACAACTTTCAGTACGCAAACTTTGCAAACATGGCGGGCTGCTGGCAAGACGGCGGCTGCTTTTGCAATTTCTTCGACTCGCAGAACTGTCAAGGCGGCGCGGGATATAGAGCCTCTAGTACCGGCAATTGCATTCCGGTTGGTGGTGCTCAGTCTTTTGCATGCTACTGGGGTACGAGCTGAAGCATTGGGCTGGTCATGATCTTGACATTGACGGGTTAAGGTGGAACTAGGAAGGGGGGATCAGTATATATGACATGGATATTTGTTATTGATGGCGGTGTGTATATCACGGAAAACTACATGTACAATACCTCACCATAGAACTGATCAACGACATCCTATCATCAAAATTTATAGCGCTGTATTGTATTTGCATTGCTAAATCGAAAGAGTCTTGGACCTTCGTCGGAATCCCATTAAACTCATATAGTGTAAATTTTCCTAGAACAAAAAACGTATGAAAGTGTTGACCTAGTTACCGCCTACTCTCCCTTGACTTATTGTCATATATGCTGAGCTCCAGTAAGGATACAAAGAAAATGAAAAGGAATGGTAAAATAAACGGAGAAATGACGTTGATAGCGTAAAAGATTCATCGCCATGGTATGATACTCAAACGCCCAAGATAACGCAGCCAAATTTTGGGGGAAAAAAAAGTGAGAAATGTGTAGGCATATACAAAAGTAATGTAGCATAGGAAATCGCTTGTTCGCTAATGGTACCACGTCCGAAAAAGAGGGCGAGGATGAGATAATGATTTGCACAATGTGCTTCAGTAAGCGCATGGACAGAATGGACGTATCTGCCTTTTCCAGAAAAGACTGTAGAAATGGTTGGGTCCAAGCAATGCTTCGCTTTTTGGGTATCGCATGAAAAACGCTTGCTAGAGTAGATTCGCTCGATTTTGCTGATAATGATAAGAGGTTGTAAGAATGAGTGGATGACATTGCCATTTCTAAATTGTATAGCTCGTCGTTTGCTTTTCTTTTCTCTCTTGTAAAAACGAACCGAATTATCCTTTCTTCCTGGCATATCTAGGAATAGAGCAGGTGTATCGTTTGGACAAAATCGTCCTTGGGATTTTATCGCACTCGCTTTCCGTCCAAAAACTTGGGGGGATCCGCGTTATAGTAGCTTTGTTGGTATTGCATAGCTCTGCGTGCCTCATAAGCCGCTCGCTCTTCCTCATCCATGCTAAAAGCTTTCTTGAGCCAACCAAAAGCACTCTTCTTCTTCTTAAGCTGCTTATCCACCGTTTTGGTGGTTCGTACGCTTTGCGAGGTCCCGTCTTCATAGTTTGCGGAAGTAACCTTGCTCAAGCCGCTCAAAGGAGGCGGTGCCAACGAAGAATGGCCTTGGTGGTAAGAAGAATGGCCATGTCCAACAGCAGTATGGGGTCTCTGCTGAAGTGGTGAATGAGGCGACGCTTGCACAGGATGATAGTATCTTTGCCGATCCGAGCGCGGAGAGGGTACGACATTGAGTTGCGGAGGGGACATTGTCATGTTGCTAGAGCTTCCGGACGGATGGCGGCCATGGCTTTCCGCATCAGACTCATAGGCTGAATCAAAGTGATGAGATCTCATAGTCTGCGGCGTGGTGGTACCGGGTGAAGCAGCGTATTTTTCCATGCCTCTAAGAGACCTGACTGGAATCTGAATATCACCCGGGGGCATCATCTTTTGGGATACACGGTCGCGAAGAGATGTCCTTCTCTGTACGACAGCACTCAAAGGCCGGCTATCTGCAGGAGAAATCGGTACGGAGGGGAAGGATGGAATCGTCGACTGTGATCCTGATCGAGCATTGTGGCCCGTCTCATCTTTGATAAGAGGCGAGGGTAGCGGTGCAGGAGGCTGCGGGGTATAGGTTCGCGGCTGAAGAAGGAACACCGGCTCGTCTTCGTGGCCTGTCTCTGTTTCCGGTTCACTATCCTCGAACTTCATAGCCGACGAGTCTTGGCTGTCTTGGCGGAAGTGGATTTGCATTGTCTGTGGACTGGTAACACCAAAGGTACCTGCGGCAGACTGAGGGGTATATTGAGCACTTTGAGGACTATCGAAGCCGGATTTCGCAGTTGTTGTCTGAGGGCTGCCGAAGCCGAAAGTGTTGGAAGTATGACGAGTAGACTTGAATGGTGGAAGCAAGGGCAGGCCTCCAGGTAGAGGAAAATCAATAGTGCTGGTATCATCATCGATTATAGAGCTAGCCGGTCTATGTTCTGTAGAGCCACTGCGGATGCTATCTTGAGTACTGGATCTTCGACTATAATCCTCAGTTATAACATGGAGATCCGTGGGTGTAGATTCTTCAGGAATATTAGACATGGGGGGTGCAATGCTCGCCTGGAAATTACATTAGCCACTGGAACCGACAGCGCTGATGGTGACGATACTTACCCATGTCCGTCGACTAGCTTCACCAGCCTTCTTTTCCATCTCAGATATTATGTTCATCAGCCGAATGATGAGGCTATTAATGTCTTGAGCACTATCGTTGATTTTCTCAAACGCAATAAGCCACCCTTCTGCATTGCCGCTCATGGCATCGAAAATGTCGGTAACGTCTGGCAGGCCCGATCGCCATGTGCCTTCAGCATGCTCATTCAACCAATTTATGAAGATGTTGCTGGTTTGTAGACCGGCTTCAATATCGTCGTCCCATTGCTTCATCGACACATTGGTCCTTGCGAGGATGTGCTCAATCTTCTCGTTGCCTTGAAGTATTTCGGTCCGAAATTTGTGGTCTTCTAACAGCTGTTCGAACACGGTGGCGTTGGACATGGGAAGCATCAGATGGTCAATGCGCCTTTTCAAATCCGCCTCTACTTCTTCAAGATCTTCGATTGTGACTTCGAGAAACTCATCCACCTCGTCGATGTGACCTTGAAGAATGTTGACCACTTGCGTGTTATCGTTGGCCATCCCGTTCAGCATCAAATAAACACCAAAAGAGATTTGAGCAACCAGCTTGCCCAGTTCATGTTGGGTCTGGCCAGGTCGGAGCCTCCACATGGCATCAAGAGCAGGCTCATCTTTGCCTTGAGCAAGCACAGCCTCTCTGCGTCCCTGGGCGTCCAGCGCCCTCAATTTAGGCTTTTCAACCACAATACCGCTCATGACCTCATTTAACGATTCGGCGAACGCATCCTGTAAAGCAGGAATGGGGTGAATTGGAATCGCGGGTGGTGGTGACGGCGTCGAATCGAAATCATGCTCAATCTCGTCCACATCCACCTCAAGGTCATCTTCAGATTCGGAATCCCGAGCATGTTGGTCATGTTCAGAGTATCGAGCAGAGCTCAAGGTAGTATTCATCGACAGAGGCTCCTTGCTCTGATGATAGTCGGGGGAGAGCGGAGAGAGCGGAGACGACATGTTCTCAACTTCGGGTAGCAGGACAATACGAAGTCCGCCTTCGTTGAAGTCGAGCGGTGGCAGCTGGGTCGAAGTCATGGCGACGCAAATACTATTCGATATAGACAACAAAAAGGTCAGGCCGGGCTAGGTCAGGTTGCACAGCGCTATAGAATCAGAGCCCCAGGCTGTGTAGCAGCTGGCTGGAATCGACACAGCTTCGGGAGCACGAGCAGGAGCAGTGGCGACAATGGCAATTTCAAATTTGGACGGCACTATCTGCACCCTCAAGAGTCGTAATTAGGATGGGCCAATAGCCATAATACCTCTTGCCCAGGTACAGCTCGAAATCGCCGGCCAGATGCTTGGACAAGAGTCGATGAAGGATGGCGGGGTCGGATCTTGAGAAGGCTGAGGCTCGTTCTCGATTCTGATATGATCAACGAAATCGTGAGCCAGTGGGGTGCAGAAAACGAGCAGGTCAGCAATCGGGTGGTATGGCAAGCTGGCGCCAAGAGAGAAGAAGAGAAATAATGAAGGTGATAAAAGGGACAGCAAGACGAGACTGGCAAGGAGAAAAGAGGCCGGCTAGCCACCCAGCCAAGGCAGGCCTTTGGTGATGGTTTATGGGAGAGATTCGAGCGGGCGACGAGAGGGCGAGAAACGAAACGTGCTAATATTATTACTGGCCCAGATGTTTCTCGTCTCTGGCAGCTTCTCGCTTGAGGGAGCCCAGACCACCTCCAATGCGTGCCGTTGCCACTCTAGCGCAGGCCTGGCCGCTCACTAATGGCGCTCGACTGCTAAATTGGGAACAGGTTGATGGGAGGCGCCCATCAGGTCCCCTGGCCGTAGCGCAGATGCTTGCAGGGACATCCAGGGCCTTTGCTGTCGGTACATGTAGGGCTCTGATACCGGCTGACGACGAGCAAGTCTCCTGAAGTGGCCAGTGCTGGCTGGGCCTGGGAGGCGCGGCCTGCATGGATGGCCAACAGCCGAGAGCACATCCAGGCACGCATCAGGGGGTGCTTGGCGCCTCGACGACGGCCAGATGGGGCACGACAGATGGCGCTCAATCTCAGGCTCGCGTACCTGAGGAGGAAATGCTGCTAGCATGGAGGAGCTCATGGGGGCACGGCGCGGCGGGCCTTAGCGGCAGTAGTGCTCGTGGGATGATTATGTTGGTTGTGGCACTACCAGTAGCCTCAGTGTCAGTATCAGCATCAATAGGTAGGTACGGAGTATGGAGTAAGTACCTAGCAGTAATACGAGCATGGTGTATGAAGTGGCAGCGAGTGAGGGCGCTGCATTGCTGCGTTGCTGCATGAATGCACGAGCAGTATGGAGTACCTGTAGCTGAGCTGTCGAGAATTCAGGTTACAAGTCGCATGCGTTTTGGCCAAAGCGGTGTGCCGAATCTGCAGGTCACCCGCTACCCACGAGGTACTACTACTAGTAGTAGTAGTTTTAGTGCTACTGTAGCACCTCTACAGGTACTACAAGTACTAGCAGATGGCTTGCCCGCTGCAGAGACACGAAATGATCATACTTGTACATGTAGAGAAACCCACGCAAGGGTGCAGCGGGTTGAGCACTCGTCAGCAGATGCAAGGGAAGCACTCTTGATCCAGATGTTAGCAGCAGCTTAGCACCCAAACTATCAGTTGACAGAAGGATATTGGTGGGTGGGTGGGTGAAGCTTGTGGCTCGGCACCAGGAACCATTGGCGCCATGGACAGCGCTGGCCGGCACTAGCTTACAGTAGTGCGTTCACTGCCCGAACTGCGAAAGGGCAGCCTCGCGATGCCTCCACATAGCACTCATCAGCTACCTGTACATGTAAATAAAATAGTGTTGGTAGCTACAGACATCTACAAGAGGTTGATACTACTGCTCAAATAAATGCGGATGCGTTATATGGCCGTGAACACTCTTTGCTACAAAGACTTGAAGCCATCCAAGCCTAATACTAGTAGTGCAGCTTACACGTAGACAACAACCGCTAAGCACTGTCTAAGATCTGAAATGCAAGCAAGTGAGACACGGCTGTCCACAAGCAGCTCACCCGCGCTACCATCCGAGCCTTGCTGCGAGTGGGTAAAGTCGGAGACGATGATCAGCAGCAAACCCCGATCTCTGCGGTCCAGACACGCCGATCTCTCTACATTTCCAGCAGAGCCGGACTAGCATTGGAGATGGCATGAAAACCCCGAAGAGAAGCGGCTCTTTCGCCATCCGAGTGCTACGTTGTATTGGTCGTGCCACTGCCGTGTAAACGAGCAGCTGAACTACCTGCCAAACCTACCCAATATCTGCAACCTCCACGCCTACTCGAATCCCTAGCAGCTATATACATGCATCTATAGTTCTGTACTACTGCTCTCCTGAAGCACGTCAGGTCGTGATATCCATCAGCGGCTATAGCCTCGTCGCCAGTCAAGCTGCATCTGAGTCTCTGGTGCCGCAGCCGATGCTCTGGATGCAGGTGAATGAAGTCGGTGGCTTGCACTATCGGCGCCGGCACGACGACAAACTCCAATTTTAGAAGCCCAGCGCCGCAAAAGCAAATTATGTCCAATGCCATCTCCGATCGTACCTGGAATACGGGGCGTGGGCCAGGGTCCCGCTAAGGAACCCGGATATTACTGGCATTACGAGGGCCCAGCTTTGCCAGCGTATCTCAGAACGGTCACATTGTTCGACGTGTTTCTCTTTACTTGGACAAAACAGCTTATCGTTGTTTCTTTCGTATCCTTTTGATTGCTTGTTATCAACGAGGATCTCAAAGATGGTGGTCAGCTTGTATGATGCATTCGAGCACGGCCGCCAATGGGACAGAAGCCAACTTGGCCGAATCGCACATGCATTCAATTACAGCGCTATGCCAAAAAGTCTCTTTGTGGGCGGCGTTTGCACATGTATCCTGAAGTTCAATTATTTCCAGCGCTCTCATATCATTGGCCTCAATATTAATCTCCATGCCGATTTTTTTTCGCTCTAGCTGAATTGTGGCTATGGCAGTATCGAGTGCAGGGGTATCGTGGACTCTTTCATTTCGGCGGGCCTTGGCTCCGTATTTCTAACGCCTCCGCCAAACGTATTAGCAGCCTGCACGCCTATTTCCTCCCCTCCTTTTCCCTTCTCTTATTAAGAAAAAGCCAAGCAAAGCAGGTTCGATGCGATTCTCTTCGCCTACGCATCAAGCCTCGGAGATTGATGAAAAGCTTGTTTCCCCTACTTGCAAGTCAGCCGATTAACGTCGATTAATCAGGTATTTCAGCACAGCCTCGGGGTATTATTAGCGCTCGCGTGTCTCGATTCTATCCGTAGGCGCGAGCAACCTCCAGTCTCTATGCATGCTTCTCCCACTTCTCTAGACATGCCATGATGGAATAAAAGTGATCCCTTTTTTTTAAAAAATTCATTTCTCTCATAGGGGATGACTACTTTATTCGTCGCCTGGTTTGATATGATGCCTGTGTCCATAAATTTCTTGATCGCTTATTATGGGGGCCCTAGCATTAATAGCGTTTTATCACCCAATTTCGTGGTGCGGGCTTCACGCATTCGGGATTTTTACTGCTCTTGCTGTAAAAGTCGACCCATTTGGCGAGCTAACAGTTCTAGGCAGCATGAAAGTGATATCAAATCATCTCGGTATATTGCTAAACAGCACTCGTACGACAATGTGGCACGTTTGCTTGGTCTCTTCTCTGCGGAAAGACAATCGCGCCGCTTATCAGGCAAACTTCATTCAATCCTATAAACCCCCAATGTGATGGCCCCATTGTTCCCCAATTTCACCTCCCCACTATCAAAGTGATCAACAAGATCGGTGGCCCAGAAGTGGATGACCTGCATGCTACCGATGGGATCATCGCACAAGGGAGAAAAAAAGGCCCAAATGGCGTCAACGTTGAATGTCCGCTTATGACTGTAGTCACATGTTTGATCTTTACGATATCATAGAAATATATCATTAAATAACAATACTCAGTGCTATCGCATGACATTTCCTTTTGAGGAACTCCTTCGAATTGTCAAGGCGATGGGACGCCAATACACGGTGTATATGTATCTACTTTAATGTCTTCACTCCAGCCAACCTACTCAACTATCCAGATGCATGCTTCTAAAGTAACTACGTGGCACGTTTCTCAATTTTGTTAGTAAAACAACTTATTTCATATGGTGGAGTGATAGGCAGGGTGGGCATAACACTAATTTGAGCCTCCTGGCCCATCCAGTATCTTCCCTCGTGAGTGGATAGAGCCGGTAGACTATTTGGACAAGAGAATACCAGCCTATATTTCAGAAGTCATATGTATTTATGGTAATCAATATGAAATTATCCCCTTTGAGACACATACAGCTCCTGCTTCCTCGAGTTCTATCCCGAGGCCCCAGCTTGCTCAATTTTTTTTCGCCCTCTCTTTTTGTGTGGAGAAGATAGTCCAACTGCATGTACGCACAAGCATTTATTGAGCGGAATTTCCATGGAGATACTCATTTATAATAAATTACATTCATAACAAAACACAATTCTGAATATCTTTATCATTGTCCATTCGTACATTGCTGTATTGAAAGCTCGATTCGAAACTATCATGACTAGCCAAGTACACCTATTCTCCCCCAAGTATGAAAATAGTAAAATGACCTTAACCCCTTCCAGTGTCTGTTTAGATCACTATTAGCCATATATCGCGGAATTCGTAGCGCAGAAAATGAACTCACAGCTTTACAGAGTTTATGAAATTACTCATTGCGTTTCCAGCTAGGGGGCCAAGAAGAAGATCCTGGGCCGCCCTCTTCCTTGCGCTTCCAGCTGGGAGGCCATGAAGACGATCCAGGGCCGCCTTCCTCTGTCCGCTTTTCTTCTTCACGCTTCCAACTGGGGGGCCAAGATGAGGACCCCGGACCGCCCTCGACGTCACGCTTTTCTTCGTCACGCTTCCAGCTAGGAGGCCACGAAGATGATCCAGGACCACCTTCGACTTCACGTTTCCAGCTAGGGGGCCAAGACGAAGATCCAGGACCCCCTTCGACGTCTGGAGAACGGATCTCAGTGTTTGGAGTGGGAGCGGCGACAGCCAGACTGGCTGCAGTAGCAAGGCCGATGATGATGTTGGCGAAAAACATGGTGTATAATTCGTTTATTGTAGACTGTGAGTCTGAAGTACTAGGGTATTGAGGGAAGCGGTGGGCTTAAATATATGTGAAGTTATAAGAGGACATAGCAATGTCGGCATAGTGTAATCCTTTAACTGGGCACTATATCACATCCCCTGTCCTACAACGGGTCAATTATTCTTCCCCAGCATATAATCAAGTGTGGATAATAGATTGTCATCAAGTACACTATAATAGGTAGATATCCTGTGGAAAAGCCCGATGATTAGAATTATAGGACCCTCAAGTCTATCTTCTGGCGTAAGGTTGGATCTTTCTGGCAACAAGAGTAACGTATATCAACGCCGATATGGGATGATGATTAGGTATGTATGGGGGTTGATAAATATAGCAGCATTAAATCCTGCAACTTGGGAAATTTTCTTAGTTAAAGCGCACAACGTGTTCCAACAAGGTACAATTTGCGTCTCTATTAGGGGGCTGTCACATCCTTTACGAGAGGGAAATGAGTTTTTACTACATCTACACAATACAGTTCGTACTTTCAATATATGTAGCCTATGTTCGCCATTGTAAAGCCATTAGTATTACTTGCCCAGATTGATTGGAACTAGGTAGCTATACTTTCACCTATACTGGCTTTGATAAACGCGATTATAAATATGAGCTGATATAGTAATCAATCATCTCACAACTATAAATCCACTGCTTTACGATATTAATCGAATAGAAACTATCCACTATTCTAGAAGATTTAGCCGATTTGGAACCAAGAAGTCCTATTTGAGGCTTGGGTAGCTGCATCAATCGAGCTATTCCTATATATGGGTATCACCTCTCATTGCTACGATTATTAAACAGCGTAATCAAATTCGAATAATCACTCGAGAGTCTCTATTTCTAAGATAAGAACGCCTAGGCAGCTCTTTGCAGAACAATTGATATCCCTAAAGGGGAGTACGGCTCTTTGTTATGTGGGTTTCGACCCCATACAGGCAATCACGACATTGGCGGTATGCATTATTGACGACTCAACAGAGAATTGAGCGGGCGTTATTAGAAACAGGAAAACAAACAGACCGAAAATCTCACGTCAGAAAACAAGCATTTGAAATCTCATAGGAACTGGTGATTGCATGTCTTGTTCATAAAGGGCCGATATGTAAAGGGTATACTCATAGTCTCCGTATGAGAATGGGCCTTCTCCAACAAGCATCCCACATACTATACCACGTCTATATTTCCAGGATGCATGGCCAGTCCCATAATGCATAGTCACTCTCACAATAGATGTATTTCCTGCGGAGGGTTACATACGTATGGAGTGCAGTGATCTAACGATACAATAGCGTGGCGTTTATGCTTAACTGGCCCATCGCCTTGATAGCATGCGGGGTATCAAATGTATGCACATTGGAGGCTTAAGAACAGCATATCATTTTTAAGGGACATGAATGTGGTTAACTATCCTGTCCTGACATTTCATTCACTATGAACTTATCATTGGGTTCAGGGTCTCTAAAGGCATCTTCAAGTAGTAGTAATACTCGATGTGGCTACATGTACTTCACTGAATCTCCAGCACACCTCAACATTGTCCAGCCACTGTCTAATTCAGTAAGAGCATCATGCTCCAAAAGGGGAGATGATCAAATGATATATACACAGTATAGCCATTAATAGTTAGAAAGCTGACGTCTGGGGACCAGTTCACTCACTGAAGCTGGTGCAACGTACCATCAATGTTTAGTAAATGCAGCCCAGCGATGTGCACTTCATTCGTACTAATCGAGTGATTATAATACGGCTTAGCGGTCGAGATTCAATATCATACTCTCAGTTAAAGACGTTATACTCTTTTTCACCAGCTGAGCATCTAGATATACCGTCGACAATTTTTGTCCGCTATTTGCAGCAGGACATAGAAGAGGCCAGCTCATTTAAACAAATTCTACCTAGAACTTCTACTTAACATCCACCAAGGACAAACCTCCAATCTAAGACGCTAATACAAAACCAGAAGCCCTTTTTTCTAATGGAAACAACACTCGCTTATCTTCTAATTTCTAATGCTCGATATTGTACAGATATTCTGTCTAGCATTTCATCGTAACTCCCTTCCTCTTCTCTGACTCTCTAATCTCAAACATAATCTGGATACCCACAAATAGACAAGAAGATGCTATGAGGATAAAGAAAACTCCTATAAATTCGTCAGCGAATTAGCCAGAACAAAACACTAAACGGTTTAAAATAAAAATGTGATCGGTTCAACTTACCGGACCAATCATGAAGAATGCTGCTAAGAATGCTACGCAATCCATCCAGACCAACTGCAAAGCCTACTAAATTGGCAGAAATCATCATCAGAACGTTTCCAACTGCTCCAACGCAGCAGAGCATACGATACTGCGTTGGGCGGTTTTCCCATTTCCTCTTTGGGAAGAAGTAAGTGGCCGTCCATTCCGGCACCATGAAGATAACGATGAGCCAGCCCCAAATGAGGAGGCGAAGCTTGATGTCGTGCCAAAGGGCAACAAAGGTGAAAACGAGGAGGTATGTGATGACAGATTTGGCTGAAGATACCCAGCTGCGGAACGAAGAACCACCGAGCGGTACGTAGATATAGCGGATGAGCCAGCGGTTATACGAGCGGTGCCAGGCGCGCCAGAAGAGCTGCGTGCTGTAGTTGTTGCTCACGCATCGGACCATGTTTTCTGGAGGATCAATTCCATCCACCAGCGCCCAAAGACGGAACATGCGCCAGGGAAGAAGAAGCTTCAGCCAGATGATGTGGAGGTTGAAGAAGGACAAGAGACTGAGCTGGGCAGCGGTATAGTCGCTCCAAACAGGGGCTGCTTTGCTAATCGCGCCGACATAGTCAAAGTGTAGGATGAGCTCCATAGAGAGGAGCACAAGCAGGAATCGAATGCCGTATCGAATGGTGCGCGGCCATTCAATGCTCGCAGCGCGATGCTTGGCTTGAGAAATGTAGTCGTTGAACGTCAAGATCGGACCAGCAATGTATAGCGGTGCGTACAAGGCATACGCCAAATAATTTCGAAACGAAAAGTCTCTAATATCGGCCGGAATCGAAACTCGGTCGCGCTCGGAAAGACTAGCGGGATCCAATCCCTTCTTCTTTGGTGTTATTAGAGACCAAGCACATCGTATGCAGGGGAGAGCCACGGGCTTACCTCAAGAGTGTTGACATGGCGCTTATCGATGCTCCAGTAGTAATCCAGATTGAAGCTGATGAGCCGCAGGATGGTAATGTTGAAAAGAATATCCCAGCGCTTCATGATTCCACCCCAATTGTCCAGCCAGTAGCCCCAATGCGCCAGCGGTCCCCAAGGAGGGCCGACCCAATTGGCCAAGAGCTGGAACCTGTATCCCATGGTCAACTCATTGGCGAACAACGTGCCGACGTTGAAGATCCATGTAGCTGCAGGGACGTAATTCCGGGGTAGCTTGGTGGCGAGTTGGTAATTGATGGCGAGAATAGCAATGATCTTGAAGGAGGATATGCCGTGCAGGATGACAATGAAGATGATTGCAAAGGCAAAGTCGAACGTAGCGCGCTGGTCCAGTCTGGATGAGCCCCTTGTGCCCCGCGCCGATGGGTTATATAGAGATTCGAATCCTTTTCTTAGCAGCGGGTGGAATATCAAAAGGCCCGTCAAGACAGGGAAGTTGCCTCGAAATGTCTGGTATTGCGCATCGGAATTGTCAATCTTTCGGCCGGGGATCCATCCATCGGACAGATATCTCTCGTACTTGGGGTACCGCGGGTCAGAAGCTGCAGATTTGTTAGAGCGTCTCGATGAAGGCATAACAATACGACGCTTGCGTGGCAATACGCAAGCAGGAGGGGAGGCGCTTCTCACGTTTTGAGACATCATATGCTATCCAGAACATGTACGGGACAACCACAATGAAGACGAGGTAGTAGAGGAAGAACTCTGGCGTGCGCCATTTCGGCGGCGGCGCTGAGCTTCGAGCCTTAATCTCAGCCTCTTTCTGTTCGACCGGGTCGCCACGAGCATCGATGACTGTCTGGTACGGAGTGGAAGAGGAGCTCGTAAATCGGGTGTCGAGGGTGTCGAGGTCGTAGACCTTGCGCAGGTAAAGAAGGGCACCCATGGTGGATGAATATGGGTCGCGCAGGTCGGGTTCAGCGCATGTTGACCTGATTGGATGCGAGGTTGCAGATGGACAAGCAGCAGACGATCGAGGCTGCGGATTGACCTGCAAGCTGTCGTTGTCTCGTGAGGCTCGAGAGAATCTGAGCCGGGTGGGGCAGCATCTCAGCAAGCGAGGCCCCTGAATCCTCGGCCCCACGATTTGCGCGGTCCAGCGCTGGTGCTGCCGCTAACAATAGCTAATGCGTTGCTTTCACGTTTCGAGCTCCGTATAATTCCAATATCTGCCCCTGCGCCTCACTTGGCCCTACCTATCAAACAACATTTTCAGGTCATGGTTGCAGTGGATGCTGATGATCAGAGTATTAAATCCTCATTTCAGGGCGAAGAAATAGTATTGATAGTTGAAAACAAGTTTGAAGCAGCACTGGATGAGTGCTACTGGCTGAGTGCTAGTGACTGGCATCTGGGTCTATCTTATTGGCGATAGTGCAAATCTGTAGCTCCATTTTCTACTTGCTTCAGTCAATGTTCATTCTGTGTTCCATAAAACACACCACGAATCTAGCCGAGTCGAGTTTATGCACTGTCAAGCAAGGACGCAATTTGCAACGCTGGTTGACAGAAGCCATCAACGGGAACCTCTCCAGGCCCAAAAACGGCCCCTACCGTTGTTCACGAGTCCTTTTTGTGCCACCATGCCAAGCAGCCATAACAGACGCTGCACTCGACGATGTGCATATGTGGCCCGTATTGGCAGAATTTGACCGACACATACGAGGTACAGCCGCCAGCAGAATTAAGCAGGAGCTCCGCCCCCCCCAGATTGAATTGCAACGACGGCCGTGAATGATCACGCAGCCATCATCTCCAAGTGCGCCACCGGCATGACTTCACAAACCGCAAGACTGAGGCGACACGCCAACTGGCTTGAAGCCTCTCAATGTGCGAACATACTAAGAAGGTCACGCTGGTGCAAGGGGGCGCCGTGCCATTTGTTGTGTTCTCAGAGCGTAATTTCTCAGAGCGTAACTTCGCCGTCTGCTGCACGATGGTCCAACAAACCCGCTCTCTGTTTTTTAAGCTTCGCCCTGCTGGAGCTTCCCCCTGTCTGATGAGGCGTCAAGTCAAATCAGACAAACGACGAATCGGATCCTCGCATTTCTGCAGTCCAGCTGGCGGCCTGACGGGCCCTCAGAGCTTGCCAGGCTTTGTTATTCTCTAAATGGCTGAGCCACTCAAATGCGGCCTAAGGTTGTACCAGGCGAAAATCTAAAGGCTGGGAGGGAGAAAAGTAATTGTTTGCTCAGACCCTGCGCCAGGCGTGTGACGCCGCCAGCGTCAAGATCGCTCATCACTCTCCTCTTTGTTTTCATGCCTCTTTTCAAGATTACCTCAAATTGCATAGAAAGCCTTTGTTGACTCAACCTTAGACCTGCTATATCGCTATAAAACGCATCAGAATTGGAATTATCCCACTCCAAGAACCCCGAGTGCTGAGACGCCAAGAGGAATCCTTACCATGTGTCAAGTCAAGCTCTCCATCTGCGTCCACTGCGCCAAAGTCTTCGGGGCCAGGATGAAATACTGCGATACGGTCCGGGCCACCATGTCAGTCATGGACAACAGCCCGTTCGAAATCACGTCGTCGTTCAATTGGTCCCCCATGGAAGGGTGTACCGGGCTGCAGATCTATCACACGGCAAATCTCGACGTGTGTAAGGACGACACGCCCAGACCCGAAGCGCCATTTGAGCGGCCTGCTGCGGCGAGACCGAGCGCCAGGAGTCCTTACCCAACGCCAATAACGATCCAGCGGGCGGAGCTTCGAGAGCAGCTCCCCTCTCCTCCTGGGATCCGAAGACATCGGACAGCGGCTTCTGTGCCGCAGGAGTCGGATTTTCAACCGCAAATGCAACTGCAGATTCAGATGCAAGCCGAGCCCTCGCCGGGAGAAACGCCGACAGCTGGTTCGCCGAACACATCGTGGTCGGGCTCGACTGTATCTTATTACTGAATATGATCCACGGGGCCATACTTTGTGCTCCTCTAACCCCGTCCTCTTCTTTTCCGCCTTCACTTATCGCCGATGTTGTACCCATACATCGTATCAGACAAGCAATATAAGGAATTAGCTGCATAATTCGGATATGTATCGAAGATAACTGGAGCTCTCTTCTCTCCTCTACCACGCGTTGGGTCGCCACTCCGGATATCAACCAGACGACGCATCATATTTGGCCGAAGGCTGCAGCCGAAGCTCCGCTAGAAACTTTCACTCTTTGAGAAGGAAGAATGAGTGTAAAGGCCAGATGAATGGTGTAGACAGGCCTCGGTGGAACGAATATCGATCAAGTGATGCGATCCAAGCAGGTTTTTGTCACAAAGTTTTCTCTTTTGCCTCTCGAAAGATGGTGCGGGCGTAACTATAGCAGGGGAGGCACTACGCCTGAGATTACAAGGCATGGTGTGATAAGAGACGAGCCGACGATGCAAGTGAATCCAAAAGGAGTGTGATGTTCTAGCTGCCCGTGAGGTGCGTGGTTTGCTGTCTCTTTTTTCCACCGTGGCAGAGCTGCCGCGGGATATCTCGGCTCAAATGTAATAGCAGACAAGTCTTCTTTTTTCTCTCTCGCACTTTGTGTGAAAGGCCCCCAATGATGATTCCTTTTTTTAGCTGCATTTCGTTAGCCGTGGGCTGTTGGATGGCATTCATCCATGCTCCAGCCAAACGGGCCCCGTGAAGTGTTCAGCCAAGCTCCTCGTTCTCATTAGGAATTCTTGGTTCAAGATACAAACAGATTTTCCTGTAACCAACCCGAAATACTCGACTTACAGTAACAAAACGCACAACAATGTCTTGAATATGTGAATTTGAAATGCGTATAAGTTCGGTTCGCACAGCCTTGGGGTCCGTTCAGCAGGATTCAAAATGGTGGTCAACAAGGTGGTCAACGGTGACGAATAGGAAGCAAAGGACTGGTTATTAGGAGCCCTTTGGGGCAAGCTTTCCACCCGAAACAAGCAGATGGACTGGATCCACGGCCAGGGAGGAGCATCGGACAAAGCCCATTGTTCTCTGAGCTCCGGCCTTTCCATATGCGGAGCGGCTCCACGCTTTCGTGCTCTTCGGGCTGATATTCCGTGCATATACTGGGTCTGGTACAAGGATCAACGGTTAAAAGATCGTGGTATACTACCAGCATTCTTGTAGTAAACTATTGTCACTACTGCTTATTTTTCACATGACTGTTGCCTCTTTGGTCATTGTCTTGCTATATATGGCACCATGGCTTATAGCCGGTGATGTATATCTAGGTTGGCTTAACCAAATCAACTGCTCTGCAAAGTAGGAAGATTGCGGCAGGATTAACGCCCATATACCTAGTAGCCGCCTGCCCGTATCGTCAGCGTCCCACATGGTCAAAATGCATGCCAGATGACATGTTCCCAGCAGTAGTAAATAGAGTATTCACATGGGTTCTGCCGCCTCGAATCTTACTCGTTGCATATCCTGTACTCGTTTCTCGGCGGCTCTACTCCGCGCATGCATCGGATGGATGTCACCAATATACACAAGTACCCGCAAGGGGAGTGTTGTTGGGTCTGGATGCAAGTTTGTCGGAGGTTTTAATTGGAGACGCAGCCGTATACGCTATTGAAGGCTCTTATGGCCGACCGGTCGGCCGCCTTCTTTATATGCATCGAGTCGGCGTTTAGTTGGGAGGGCGCCCGCGGAGTCCACGAATCGGCTGCTTGGGACGATGGCATTGGAAAGCTGGATGTGTGTCTGGTGGTGGCCTGGGTGGAGAGCCGCAGGAAGGGATCTTGAAGATCTTTAGGCAAGCCCTTGCGATCCCTTGTTTGACAGGTCCTCATGTCCATTGTTTAATATCCATGGGTCACAAGAATAGGCAGTAGTCGAGCTGCTAGCGTGAAGAGCAGCTGGATCACGAATGGCTACTTACCAGGTTGGGTAGGGGACCGACATCCAAGAGTCATCTCCGTCTTCTTTCAGTTGGACCGCGAATAAACGGTGCTTCAGCTTGAGTCCAATGGCTGTTATGGATCCTATGCCAGGAACTTGGCGGATGACACCTACGTGTACTATAACTTACTAGGTACTGAGTACTAGTAACCAGAAGTAACACCACCTGGGCCTATATTCTGCTCAAGTAGGCTGCTGGATATCATCTTCTATTCCACAGAGGCACCGCGAACAGCCTACAAGGGCCAGTGGCCCCATGGCTGCATGTGACTGGCATCGAACAATGCCGTTGTTCAACGCTCGGTAGCGGCCGCCGCTTGGCCGCCCGAGAAAGTGGACAAGCGCGCCGCTAACGCCGCTAGCATCGGCCCTGAAGCCGGGCTTTGTTGTGTCAAGGTGAACCTGAAAACGAAAGCTCAAGCCATCGATGATCTTGGTAGTGAGTTTCATTCAGGGCTTGACCGCGGATTGCGATCGACTCGCTAAAGGCTGCTAGTCATCGCTTCCAGGTTGTTTAATATTGATCGCATTTACGCCCATGGCTGCTGGTTTCTATGAATAGCATCAACCTTGATGCTAATCAACGGCTAGGCTAGGCATTCTACCTGGTACATGTAGTTCTTCAACCCTATTTCTCAGCACTCGGCAATATATCACCAAAAGAATCCGGGTGGACAAATTATAAATCAGCACTCGTGTTTTGTTCCCGCACATGGATGCCTGGAGAAGTACAGGGCATATTACAACTGAATATTGCCCGCAGATGCTGCAGCTTCGGGCATTGTTGGTAATTGAGGCCTGTACCTGCAACTGCCTTTCTTCAGCAACTACTGCGTTGCAGCAGCCTCACGAGCTGGGTTGAAGCCCAATAACTGCTCGTAGGATTTCGGCATGAGATAGTATCAGTACATGGATTGATTGATCAGTCAGTGTCCCTTATTATTTTGGTACCTCCATAGGTACCTACTGAGATCTCAGGTGGTAACACAGCGTTTGGGACAAATCTGAGATGTCGACGTCATTCGTGCTCTGGCAAAGCTCAGATGCCAACGGGATAGAGGCAGGAGCAATGTCGCACATGCTTGTACGTACCGGGAGTAGTGCCTGTCGTGTTAACTTAATGTATGGCCCACCTACCACCAATTGAGATTGCCTCTGGCTTCGCTCAACTTCACATCGTCTTCATCGTCCTTGTCATCATCTCGGGCCCGTTTATGTGGTGCGCGTGCGGTTGGTCGGCCGAGATGTGCCGCAGATGCAGCAGCAGGGACTGCATTGGCTGGCTGGACGGCAAGGCCATCCAATCTCTTGGTGCCCTGCTTCCCGTTGCCACTGCGGCCCTGACACGAGATGGGCTTGTAGCACTGCCAGCGAAGACATTGATCTTTTGCATCTTGCTGTATCACTAACACCTTGACTCTGTCTGTATAACCCTGGCCGCCCAACCCGCGTTGAATCAGAACACAGCTAACACATTCGCCCAGTTGCCGTTGACCGTCAATCAATCTCAGCGCTGTGCCGCTCGCTGGTGGGTGTCCGGCACTACGTCTCGTTCGGTGGAGCGCCTGAAATCCAGCACCCACTGTCTCGTCCGCTACACTGTGGCCGACACAGCGGCCAATGGCGCCACAAGCCGCTCGGCCCACGCCCGATACCGATGGCGGCGTTTGCTCTCGCCCGCACCGACAGACGGCGATAAGGCACGTCGTGGATCTGGATACCCACTTCAATCTCGTCCATCTCATGCTATACCGGGCCCCTTGTCTGGGCGCCTGAGCCTCTCAGCGTTGGAGCGCTGCTAAACCGCTGCTGCTTCTACTAGGGACTCCCGCCGCCACTACGGCTGCTGCTATTTCGCATGCCTGATGGGTCTGTAAAAGCCTGTACGTCCATCCGTCGAAAGATGGCTGCTCCTAATAAGCTCTCCCTCCTCTCGTTGTGGGACTGCCTCAAAGGTAGATCTGCTCTTGGCACTGGATGCGGCGCCCCCCCGGCATATTGATCGAAGCTTCCGAACCCGCCTACCCTTTTGATGGCGGTCTAACTGCTGCCATCGACCTCCCCCTGGCCGAAGCTAATTATGTGTTGTTACCCGAACCGACTTGAACTCTGTCTTGTCTCTTGAGATTTAACCGTGTCTTCAAACATCCATCGCCCGCCAGTTGGCATCCTGCATCGTTGACCCTCGCACCACTGAGACCAAGAGAAGAGACCTGCTAAGACGATTTACGCCAATTGATATCATATCTGCCTCAACTTGAAACCATTGCTCAATCTCATCGACGCTTGCAGCCTTTTAAAGCTTTCTCAACCCGCCAAGTTGTGGTCAGGTGCCATCAGCGAGTATCGCATGCTGCAACACCGATCCGAGTGTTGTGTGTTGCGATATCAGACCGTGTACGATACACCGGTCCGCCAAGTTGCATCTAGGTTGGTCTCCTCTCCCTACGGACCCAACATCCTTGCTTTTGTCCTGGTTCTACAGTCTGCTATTAGCATCTGCCCGTCCTGTCCTCTTAACAATCTCCATGATGCCAAGACCCACGTTTATTGCTGCTGTCACATGGATTACGACCATACGCACGCACACCATACACACCCTCAGTTAGGGAGCGGATGACAAGCTTTTAGCCACAAGTTACTCCTTCTTACAAATCTTACACTTATATATCCTACATTCTCTCATCTATTGCGTTTCGTCTAAAAGCCAAGCTGGCTCACAGCACACTTCTTCCCGCTTCATTTCCTCCATATATCACATGCAGAACCACGTTGCAGAGCCTTGTCTTTCCAAGTTGTCATAGAGATATCGAGAGAGAAAGCGGTGCAATATACTCTACATATTGTCGATTTATTCTCACTTGCAAAGTCTCTGCATTTACTGCATTTTTCTTCCACATTTTCCAACATCACAACCCTTGCTCTCAATCGTCATACTCTCCTCCTTCGTCAACAAAGCCAGTGTACATTGCGAATTCTATACCCTATATCAAATCTTTCACTCTGTTTATGGGTATGCTGACACTCATTCACATGTAGTCGGTAGTTGGCTTTGAAATTTGGCTTCTAACTCTTTCGACAGATTCCAGAGACCCACGGGCACCTTCCAGGTCTAAACGAGAGAGGTCTGACAACTCTAACGAAGAGCCCAGTGGATCAACAATGGATACAGACCCAGTCTCCTGCAATATGGCCTCAGCATTTTACGAGATTATGAGAGACTCTGGACTCCAAAGGCAGCTGGAGCATGGATGGGGAAATTCCTACGCACATGACGGCGCGGCAGATTCCGCATCATCACCCACTTCTGATTTTGGTGACGCCAGCCGGTCCGACCAATCACGGTCTCGGCACAGTTCAAAAGTCTCATCTCCATCAGGATCTCGCAGAGTTGCCCAAAGGCGAGATGGGAAGCGCCTCAAAAGCCCCAAGTCGAAGAAATCCGGAGGCAGTCAAGTCAAGGAAGAAGATGAGGAAGAGAGTATGGAGGATATCCAGGCCATGCCAGAATCTGGTAACCCATACTCTCTGAAATACGATCCTCAGGCTGCAGCAACTGGCGAGGATCATCGGACCTCTGGATATAAGCTGAACAGAGAAGACTACGCAGATCGTGAATACCTGAGAGGGCTGGACTCGGAGCTGGATACTCTTAGAAAGCATTTGCTCCAGCGCGCCAATCCTCCCAGATCATTTCCGTAATGATCCCCCTCGCCACCTTTTGATGTGACGGGGAATGCGCGCACCGAAAAGAGCGATACTTGATACATTGTTATATCACAAGCATTAACAGCAAGCCTTTGCTTTTACACTAGAAAAAAAAATCGATGGGGCGCTCAGGAGTTTATGGGTTTGGCTTACCAGGTGCGGAAGGGGACCTACAATAGGAAGTTGACTGCATATAGACCATCTTGGCCACCGAGAATGAGGTAGTAGCAATGAAACTTTTTCGGATCTTTCCTTTTTATGATTTTTTGCTCTCGGTTTCGCAAGAGCGGGCTCTTAGCGATTGGCAACAAAGTGAAAGAATTGGGCCACTTGCATGTGCATGATATGGCTGAATGGGCTTGCCGGCCGGCTGGCTTCATGCAGAGTTCTAGTCGAGGCATAGCATCGGCCGAGAGGGGCGGCTATCACATCGGCCGCTCCTTGTTCCCCGAGATGTGTGGCGTATGGCCCTCCCTGCGGAGGACGGTTTCGACATTGTTTGGCCGAAAGCCCAACGGCGGGTACATTGGGGAAAGTTACCAGCAGGACTGGAGATGAGAGCTGAAAACAGCGTAGCAATGGAGGCAGCGACGACACAATTCCGACGTGCGGAATCGGAGGTTTTGGACACTTTTCTCCGCCGTGTAGCGAGTACATGATGCTATATGTGCCAAGGTAGCAGTGGCAGGGCTTTAATATATCTGTTGGTCCAGAAGCGTGAAAGAGCGGCTCGGCGGAGCTTCAGCCGCTCGTTGTTTATCTAATACGAGCAAGTACATTTGCAGGTTTTTGCTGTACATGTAATACCTGTATGCATGTTGGATGTGAGATGCTGCATCTGCAGCGGGGCGATACAATCCGGCAAGTTGTGGCGTTTCCGGATGGCTTCATGACTGGTCCATTCATGCGTACTCCTCATTTACTGGTTACATATGCGTATGCAGTCTGTATGCAAGGGAGAGTGAATATGTACGATATAACCAGCTGTTGGCTATTATACAGAAGAAATTAATTTCACAGGTATGATTAACCTTAGGGTAGAGAGGAGGAAAAACAGAGACCGAAAATGAGATGTGTGAGACAGAAGAGGGAGTTTGTGACATATATAAGCTAGTATAAGAGAGCTCCTGTCAACTCTTCTACCTCTGGGTGGTCTAGTTGGTTCATGGCGTCTGACTGTAATGGATAACATCTCATCAGAATGTCGGCGGTTCGACTCCGTCCCCGGAGAGAAATTCTCTACGGAGAAGAGTTACATTTTTGTCTTTTTTCTTCTTTTCTGTATTCTACATACGCATTCCGCCGCGGTTTTATTTTTTTTGTCTCTTTCCATTTATTCCTAGTCACGCTTTTCTCAGTCTCCCTGCGTAAGAAAACCCCCCTTGCAGCAAGCCACAGTTTCATTCAGCAAAAAAAAAAATGTCCACCTTTTTTGTCAAGCTCGCGCTGAATAATCATAGCCGTGCCGTCTTTCACCAGCTAACTGTATAGTGCTCTTTAAGGGGACAAGCGCCAGTGTTTAAAATGCAACGCTGCCTATCGATTGGAACGCTACCCCTCTCTAGCGGCGGGAGTGACCTGCGTCTAGGCCCTTTTAGCCTTATAAAGCTTAAGCACAGTAGCGCTAAATAACACTAGCACAGTCACTATATCGGCCGTGCTAGGCTTGGGGTGGTCTAGTTGGTTCATGGCGTTCGACTGTAATGGAGACATCTCATCGAAAAGTCGGCGGTTCGATTCCGCCTCCCGAGAGTAATTTCTTTTTTTCTCTCTCTTCTCTTTATGTCCCTTTCTCCTCTTTATATTCCCATCAGCCATCATCATTCTTTTTAACCGGCAAATCTCTGCGTACCAAAGTCGCTGAAGATGATGACCGAATCCGCTGACTTGGGCTGAAATCGATCCATAGTGCAGTGTATTTCAAGATATCCAGGTGATGATACTACCTGTTCTTCCTCATTCTCGCACCACACAGCTTTTGGGCCTGGACTGTAATGAATCAGCGCTACTAATGTTCTACACGAGCGTTACATTGGTATACAGTTGAAAAATGTTTTACATTGAAGAGTTTCTCTAAAAGAAGGACAACGGAGAAGGGAAAGTCAATCGCCTGGTAATGAATGCAATTGTAATTATACGCCGCTGTTCTAGTTCACAGATTTCCACATACCATCCGGGCCAAAAACGAGTCCTCTTAAAGGGTTCTCATATGCCTTCTCATAGCAGTTGACCCTCCTTCGACTTCACTGCCTCCAAGTCAGCTAGAACTGTTTGAATCGCTTGAACCTGCTTTCCCGATCAGGTGTCTCCTCGCTATCTCTGTCCCTTCCTCGATGCTGTCCATCGCTGCGTGGAGCCGTTCTCTCAACTATCCCCCCCGCCTCCACCTCCTCCTTTACCCTGTGCAAGGGATTTATGCTCCTTCGCGGATGTTGCGGAGGAGGTGGAGAGGACTGCTGATACTGCTAATGCTTTGGTAGCTGTTGGGGTTGTCGTTGTTGGGGCTGTGCTCCTAGCCGCACTTCTAGTCGTACTTGTGGTTGCACTTCTAGTCGTACTCTTGGTTGAACTTCTAGTCCTATTCCTGGTTGAATCTCTAGTCCTATTCCTGGTCGAAGTTCCAGTTGTATCTCTGGTTGAGCCTCTAGTCGTACCCCTGGTTGTACTCTTAGCCGTACTTCTAATCGTATTTGCAGTGGTAACTGAATTCGTATTTCTGGCTGTACTCCTGGCTGTACTCCTGGCTGTACTCCTGGCTGTACTCCTGGTTGTACTCCTGGTTGTACTCCTGCCCATATTCCTGGCCATACTTCTGGCTGTGCTTCTGGCTGTGCTTCTGGCTGTGCCTCTGACCGTTCTCGCGGTGATCCTCCTGCTAAAGTTGCTGGACTCGATGGAACTGGTTTTTTATCTGGAGGCACACAATCATTCACAATCGCCATCAGCTTAGCCTCGCTATCGGAATCACATTTCAATTGCGGGATTCGAAACGTTTGCTCGGACAGGTGCTCTAGTCCGCTGCGATCAATCGCTCTTATTCCAGGCCGGTTTCTGTTGGGAGTCATAGGCGGGGGGGACGTCCCGTCTTTGTAGCATCGACATTGATTCCAATGATGGCCGCATATAAAACAGAACATTTCACCGCAGACGCATCTATAACATGATATGCGAGGGTCAGGCAGCTAGACCTCTGCAGAGGTTCAACGAGGAGAGGTAGATTGAGAGGGAGGGAGGGAATGAAGAAAAATTAGAGAAGAATATAAAGCGCGCCGTGGACTCACTTCATAATGTTGCACCCACCATCAAAGGTCAAAACGATACCGCAACCTGGGCAGTAAACAAGCCCCTCCTCATCCATCTTATCCAAAACTGCCGTTTCTTCTTCCCTGTCGCTGCAAGGCAGGTCCCTATGAGATTTCCCATGACAAGTAGCACAAGTCTCCTCCGAGCACTGCGGACATGTGCCCACGCCGATATTTCTGCCTTGATTGTCGAAAGCAGTCTCGATTGCATATGGGGGGATGAACGCAGAGCACCTGGTGTCGCAACAGTACAGTCGGTCGCGTAGCGGCGTGCTGTGCTCAACCGCTAGTTGGCGGAATAGATGGATCAGTCCAGGCCGGTTGACGACGCGGATGAGGTTTTCACCAAAGTCAAAACAGCAACTCGGAGGAAAATCATTGATGGACTGCAGGCCCACGCGGATGGTCCATCTCAGACAGCTGGTGCAGTAATGACAACCGCAGGCGAGGATGAAGGCGGAATCCATCAAGCAGATCTTGCAAATCCCCCCATCGTAGTATTCTACGCCAGAATCTTCCTCGCCAGAGCCCGGCTCAGGAGTGCTCCTCAGAAGCAACTGCTTTTCAGCCGCAGACAACAGAACACGTTGATCCAAATTTTCAAGATGCAGACTGTTGATTCTCTGCTGCACAATATCATCGTCCGTCATAATGTGCGATACCAGGTATGCCTGTTCATCTTCCGGCATCATCGATATCGCACACTCCACCGCACGCGTGAGCTGCTTCTCCGTTAGGAACGCCTCATATCCCTCGGGCAGGTCAATCATGCGTTCTATTAGGCGTCGGAGAACAGGATGAAGCTTGTCAATGGGGTTTGGACTCCTGGCGCTGGGAGTTCCGCCACGGTTGCTAGGGCCGGCATCTGGATTTTCCATGTTGGATATATTTCCTGTGACTCTTTTAGGCTGAACAGCTATTGAGGACCTGTTGGGCTAATTTGGTTCTCTAAGGGTGCTGAAGTTGTGTGATAGAGATGAAGATTCGCTTTCCTAGATATTGTTATTGAAGAAAGAAAGGAAAGAAAGAAGAGAAAAAAAAAGGCTCCTATGGTTATTGGAGGAAGAAAAGAATGAATAAAAAAAAAGAGAGACTTGTATTGTTATTGAGAGACGAAAAAGAAAGGAAAAAGGCGTCCAAAGCCTTCTGATGGCATGGTGTTGTGTTATCGTTTACATTTGCCGTGCTCATCTCGCGACTCAAAATCCTTCCTCTGCCGCCCCTTCCATATTATTTTTCTGCTCACTGCCGCATGGTTCCTGGCCACAACTTCCCAGCTTGGTGAATTTGTGTGAGTTGAGAAGAAGAGAGTAGGTGTGTCGCTGCAGAGACGCAATGAATAGCATGATCTTGCGGGCATGGCTCCTGCTAATAGAGTATAAAGGGTGAAACGGAAAGTTACCAAAAGAACACGTGCAAATGCGCTGAATGTCGAGAGCATAGGTGTGGTGCTGATCCGTCCAATAATTGCGAATGAGTTATTCTGATAATTACTGGGATTTTCTTCTGTTTCAAAGTGCATCTCTCCTTCTTTGCAAGAGTAACCCTTCCATGAAGCGTATATTGTGTATTTTATTTTATGATATACCCAAACACACAAGCCTTTTCAAACCATCCAGTTCGGCTGAAGAATAGTAGCGTACAATCAAATGCACACAAACACACACACACAATTGTTCTCATCGAAGAATGAAAAAAGACCATTTCAACACCATAATAGTAAAACATACCCAAAGAAAAAGCAGAAGAATAAAAAAAATTAAGAAAAGATTTGTCTTTACATAGGACAAGGGTATTTCGCAGTTTCAACATGCAATATCCATAATCCAGTTCGTTCTCTGCCCGTGGGCTTAATCAAAAGCAGGTTCACAGGTCCATAAATCACAGTTTGGCCATGACGCTGGCAGAAAAAGAAAAGGGAGGAGGGAGGAAGAGAAAACGCCCCCAAGGGTCCACAGCTCCCCAAACAAAAATATCCACATGCAACTTCAACAGAGATATCCCAAAAAACCAAAGCCGGGGAGGGTTTCCTTTGCCAATAAACCTCCAAAATCCGAGTTTCCTTCGACACTTATAATAAAAAAATTGATGCACCCACAGCCATATCCCAAAAGGATCCCATAGTAGCCCTTGTAGGGGAAAAAGTAATAATGGTAATAAAAGATCAAAACCCAGAAATCAAAACTCCCTGAAAACTCCATTACATCAATAACTCCATCGCTGGTATATTCACATGTCACGTAAAAAGGTTTTGATAGTGAGAATAGCCTTCCCCTCCTTGTATGTCGGAAGGACTGAGTAGGTGGAAAAAGAGATAAGAGAGCGGGGATATAAATAGGACACGCGACTCTTTATAGAAGGAGGGGGGGTACAGAGGGCGGCCATTTAGTAGCTAAAGTCGACGTGTGCCATGGTGGGTATGGACTCTTTGTTTTCATCCGAGGACGCTGTCGATATTTCGTTGCCATCACTATGACTATTGTGGATGGTGACTGAGTTTGAATCACCGAGCGTGGTATCAGCGCTTGATTGTGAAGATGTTGTTTGTAGCTCGTGATCTGGAGGAGGCTGCGCGCTGGCCGACCATCCTTCGTCAAGCAGTTGCTGGAAGCTCCAGCTTGGCTCGAATTGTCTGCTGTGCCAGGCATGGTCCACTCGTTCGTACATCTCGTCGATCTGTTCCAGACTGATTTTGCTCGTTTCATAGACCATGGCCCATACAAAAATGACTGCGAGAATGCAAAAAGTCCCCCAGATGAAGAAAATCTTGGTTCCAAAACCAGCAGTGCCCGGACCACTCCCTATCATGAACGGTGTACTGTATCCGATGCCGAAATTGAGCACCCAGTTGGAAAATGTTGAAATAGACATTGATTTTGCGCGAACTTTGAGAGGATAAATCTCCGATGTGACGACCCATGCCACGGGGCCCCAAGAGGATGCGAAGAAGAAGATGTTGATGGAGCAGAATACAATGAGTATTGTAGCGGAGGCTGATTTAAGGCTTTCACCAGCGGCGGCGGCAAATGATGCCATGAGCAGCTGGCAGCAAGCCATACCAATGGCGCCTACAATGAGCAGCCTTCGCCGACCCCAGGACTCGATGACAAAGACGCCGACAAATGTAGACACAACGTTGATGATTTGAATGATGAGCGACTTGGTATAGGGGCTGTCAACGCCAGAACCGCCGAAAAACGTGGTGCTGTAGTACATGATGAAATTGATTCCAGTAAGCTGTTGAAGCATTTGAATACCACATCCCGTCAACGTTCGCCGTCCTAGATGAGGAGAGCCTACAAAGATCTCCTTGTAGGTGTCTGGGCCCAGGCTCAATTCGTACTGGTGATTAGCGACGATTTCCTGGAGTTCGTCAATAAGAGCCGGGTGAGTGATGTCGAGACGTCGAAGACGACTGAGTGAAAGACCGGCAGCGTCTTTCTTGCCTTGCTTGACCAAGAATCGGGGAGTTTCGGGGAGGAGCATAAGGCCAGCGGTGAGAATGAGAGCGGGAACAAGTTGAAGGCCAAGGGGAATTCGGTAAGCGGCAGATGAGTGGATTTTGGAGGTGGCAATGTTGATGATGGATGCACCTAGGAGCCCTAAAGTGATGGAGAGCTGGTAGGCGCAAACCAGAGTACCACGAATCCATTTCGGAGCCATTTCTGATTGATACAGTGGAACAAGGACCGACACAGCACCAACGCCGAGTCCAGCCAGGGCTCTGGTAGAAAACATCAGTCAGTGACATTGCACAGCTTGAAGCAACCCGCAAGACCAAGTACGGATCCAAGCTTTGGAGGAGAGGGTGACGTTGGTGATGGGAAACAGAAAACCCACCTTCCGACCAACAAGGCTGGTAATGCCTCGGCACAGACCTGGCAAATAGCGCCAATACAAAAGATGCCAACAGCAAGGAGCATGCTCCGTCGTCGACCAAGCATGTCACCGGCGGGAGCGGCGAGGAGGGCCCCGATTGCTGTGCCCACGCTGAGAATAGCGACGATGAGGGCCGAGTCCTTGGCGCAGATGTCGTCTCTGTCGGGCTGATTTCTACACGTGCCAAACTTTTCCTTGAATTCGTTCATGGCGAGAATGCCATTGATGGCCCTGGAATAGATGGTTAGCATCAATGTCTTGAGTTGGCAGATCGTAGTGCGAATGCGGGCCCGCCAGATGCGTGAAGAGGATAGAAGATTTCGAGAAATAGTGGCCCTGCATATATCCTGCCATGCCATTACAACGATGATGGTCACATCTCTCTTCCACCCTTCTCGCATTGTATAGAAAGTGGTGTTTTGAGATGAAGGGACAGAATGGCCTTGCTGCAGCACTGGCCGCATCATTCACACCCTCTAAAAGCAATTCTCTTTTCTTCTTTTTCTTCTTTTTCTCCTCCTCTCCTCCTCTTGTTTCTCGGGGAAAAGCACAAGGATAGACGACATCAAGTATGACGGGGTAATCGGGACAATCAGGGCGATTGCGGCGGGCTGAGCATCGCATCCACGGTCGGCGAGTTCGCAGAGCTGCTTACCCCGTATCATAGCCAAACAGAAGGCCACCAGAAGCGACAAAGAGGCCGACCATGATCGCCGGCGCCGACGAGCCAGCGACATTGTCGGGCTTGTGCCAGCCCATGGCGATGGCCATGGTGACGGCGGGAGAGAAATCAATCCAGGGCTGTCAGGCGTTGCGACGCCCTTCGCCTCGCGGACGGCGACAAAAGAGGGTGAAGGCTCGATGGTGGCGGCTTCGCCGAGACAGCGTTTCGCAGGCGGCGTGTCGGGGCGACGGAGGACGGTCGAGCGGTGGTTGATCAGAAGTCGAAGGTCGAATCACAGAAAACGGGTCGTATGAGAGAAAGTGAGAGGCGTGGAATCGCAAAACGGGCGAGAAGTGGGTAATATCCTCAGCGTCTCAGTGGGAAAAAGATGGGGGGGACAGCCGACAGGCAAGGGTTGGACGGCGGCCGGAGTGCGCTAGCAGTGTGACCACTAACAGAGCCAACTAACACAAATACAAATCGAACGGGCAGCCAAGTAGTGCGAGCAGCGCAGAGGGGAGAGGGCAGCGCTGCGAGTAAGCGTAGGCGGCGCAATGCTAGCTGGTCGCACAGGCAGTAGTTTAGCGACGAGGCTTGACCTGAAGCTTCCGCGGCGTGGAGAGGGCGACGAGACGAGACGAGACGGGACGAGACGAGGCCAGGTCCAGCGGGGAGGCAAAAGCAATTCGAAAAGGGCCCTGAAATTGAGCCCTTGGGCGCGGGAGCTGGAGCTGCGATTTAGTGGGCCGCAAACGTGATGCGCGCAGCACGGCGATCCAGATGTGGCAGCAGAAGCACGAGCGAAGGGGAGCAGAAGAGGTGCGGGCGAGTGAGATTCGGTCAACGGGCCAGAGGCGAACAGGAAGCGATCAGCAGCAGCGCCCAGCACCGGCCCAGCATGGCCCAGCCGGTCCAGCATGGCGCTGGGCGGCGCTGATTGGGCCGTGGCCCGGCCTGCAGCGCTCTGTACCGACGCACCACACGCGAGTGCTGCTGCTAGCCTGGCGCGCCCCACACGGGCTGGCCTGGGAGGGTGGAGGGCCCTGGCGGTCCTTTTAGGCGTTAGGCTTCAGGCCTGTGAGGGCGAGTTGGCGTTGACACTGGTGCTGGCATCGAGTCTGGAACCAGTCTGCCGTGAGTTGACAACTACATGTATCAAAACAGTACGGCATCAGTACGGCGCAGACATGTCGCCCTTCATCCATATCTACAAGTAATTTATGGCAGCATTATCCTCTGACCTTGGCCGCCACAGGTCTGCTCTAAACCGCCATCACAAAATCTCAACCACTCACCTTACACGCCAGAAGGCGCCGCGCACGGCTACAAGGGGTAGGGCTTCGGATACTCGGTATGTACGTGATATTGGACCCAGTAGCTTGTGCCTGTCAATACCCAGACGGGCAGCTCTTGCTGTGTCCTTTTGCACACAACTCCTTCATCGGACCTCCACGTAGTGCCATTCTGAAAGTCCTCGTCACCCTCACCAAAAACCCTCCGTCCGACCCAAGGCAAGACAGCTTGACTCCGTACGGCAAGGTACGAGCAGCGCCTGTACTCGGCACGTACTCCATGCTCTTTGTGCGAGTATCCGCACGCAGCTCATTCGCCGCAAATCGCTTGCTCTGGGGCTCTCCCACCCTCCTTGGCCAGGCGCCATGCCCGGTTGGGAGGCTCGCTCGACGCCACAGAGGAATGGAATTCCGCCTCCCCTGCCACCCTGGCCAAGGAGCCTTGGAGCAACTCTCTATTGCGGGAGACGCAAGAAAGAAGAGAAAGAGAGAAAAGGAAAGCTGGGTCTCCCCCGGCAAGGCTCGCCAACACCGCCCAGACATTGGCCCGTCCTGTCTCCCTGAGGCGGGGAGGGCAGTCTAGCCTCGATGCGCCGCTAATACGATATAGTGCCTATTTGGCAGTGATCCGTAGAGTTACAAAGCAGCGAAACTCGCAAGCTGCTGGTGTGCAGCCTCTCTGCCTTTGGGAGCCTGGTCCGAGTACGAGCGCGGCGCCTTCACACACCCAGCGTTTTATCGATTGGGCATCATGACAACTCTGCATAGAGTGGCTGCTGGTACGCGGACTCGGGACATAGGCAGGCCCTCGTCAGCCACACCACTGCGATGACGCTCCTACAAAGCACAGACAACATAAGGCTTCTCATATTGACCTCCGAAATGCCTGCTTGCTATGCTTGCCCGCAGTTACTAACCTCCCTGACTACAAAGAATTCGGTGGCAGTGGTGGCTATCCGGCCACCCAGCTTGTCAGCGGCCATGATCCTTTTTGGCCAGATGTCCCAGACGCCGCCCACAGCCGCTCAGATCCTTGCCGTGTAAGAGGCCCAGAACGTCTCATAGAGTCCATAGCATGGACACAAGACTGACACAGGCGAGAGTGGAGCGGTGAATGCATTCGGTCCTCAGGCTATCGAGGCCATCAGCCCTTCGGTTAACTTGGCTGGAGCGGGCTGGTGGCTTCAGGCCAAGGCCTACGAGTTATATTGAGCGTCAGTTAGCTGCATTCGACCGCCCGAGTGGCTTTTTTAGAGTCCTCTTGTAGGTGCGGAAGCTGTCGTCTTGGTCTTGGGTGCCCCCTCAAAGGACATCAGCCCGCAAAGCCGGACTTGGTGCGGCACAGTATTCTCAGCACGCCTAGCTCCAGGATGCCTTGCCTCGGCTTTTGGTGCCAGCAGTAGTACCGGTACTTGTCGTCCTACGAGGATGCGGTTGACTCATTCTGACACGGCCATGGTGAGAGGTCTCGTCTTGTACAGATACATGTTTGATAGTGCAAAAGGCACACGTGTTGGATTCTAGCAGAGCTCTCGTACTTTGCAGACTGCGTTCTCGGCAGCTGGCAGCGCCTACACAGGACAAATCAGCCGATGCAGCATTAGACTTGAGCTGCCTAGAGTTTTTGGCCAAGCCGCTTGTAGCTCCGCGAGCTATATGTGCAAAACAGAGCACACTAGCTAATTCTTCAGAAACAAGTACGGCAGATGCGGCACTGAGGCTGTATCATGGCGATTTTACCACGGTTACACGAAGTGGGATGCCCCAGTACAAGGGGTCTGACTAATAGGCAATAGCTACCTCATGGTTTTCTCATTGAATAGACCATGGTTTCAGCCCTAGTGAGAAAGGAGAGAAATTCAAATAACATCAACTCTGGCAGGCTGGTTTTTGCGCTGCGATGAGCCGCCAGAAACGCCATGTTTTCCAGCCGCAGTACGCTTTGGCTCGAGCGTGGGACGTCCAAGAAAAAAGGGAGCGGGACGATTATGATGCGGAGAAAATCTGGGGAAGAGCAGCCAATAAGGGCTTATTGTTCTGCTGGAATTTTTTTTCCATTTTATTGTTTTTCCTTCTCCTTTCCTCTTTCGTGCCGCCAACTGGTCCAGTGCGCCACACGGTGCACTACGCCTGGGTCTGATATTGCGGAGGGGCGGCGCGTACTTTCAACTAGCAGATACCTGCGCGCGAAGTGATCTGGGGAAATGAACAAGCGGGCTGCCAAGGCCGCGGAAGTACTTCCCCTGTACTTGTACTGCCACTTACAGGGCCAAGGGGTACCCAGTTACTGCTCAGCTGGAACACAGTACAGAGAGGCAGGCCTTGGCTGCTTGCTTTTTCCCTTGCTTTGTGAATATGCTACAGTCAGCAATTCTTGGCGGCCCACCGCTGGTAATCTACGCTGCCATTGCCAGTTTTAGAGTACATACAGACGAAGTGGTGCTCCGAGCAGCTGCAGGAAGCGGATGCTTGCAGCTTGCAGCTGACATTGGCGGCACTTGCGGAGTACATGCTCCCCGTAAGTACCGCGCCGTAGAGGGGACCTGGCTGCTGCTAGTGGTAGCGACTTATAATTCCATTTTTTGAGCGCATGTCTACCTTGGTATCATCAGTCATCTCATGGTTTTGATGGAGCCCGCTAACTTCCATAGCTGAATATCGATACGAGTACGCTTTTTTGTCCAGGCTATGGAAAGGGGGGGAAGGGAGTGAGAGACGGCAGATCGAACGACATTGACATGAATAAGAGCAAAAGTTGATATTAGAGATTAAGCAGGTCGAAATTTTTTCAATATTCAATCGACTGATGCTATTTTACGCTGGCTGCTAATCCCGTTTGTTCGCTAGCACCGCTATAAAACAGGCTGGGCCAATGGGGCTATTGTTGTGATAGTATCCAATACACTCGCGATACGCTTATGCAGGCGTTGCTTCGACGTACATACAGACAAGACAAGACAGATGAACAGAAAGAAAAAAAACTCGCCGCTTTTAGGCTGGGCTGGGACATTGTTTTATCCGCATTCTGCTAGTACAAACTGATCATGAAGTGCATTAGTCCTGGTTTAGTTTTTGTAGGCCTCAAAGCCCGAGTGACATTTTGCTCTGACACAAGCGATAAGTGCCAGATTTCTTGTTACCTTTTTTTGTTTTGTCATAGCTTGATTTTTTTTTAGTCGCGATGTTTTCTCCATGACTGAGAGTAGTAGTAGGTCTTTGCGGCCGCCTGTTTTCATCTGGAAGCCTCGGATGATGAGCCCAGCTAGTTGGTATGCCCTAGCAGGCTAGATGAAACTAGATGTGGAATCTCGAGCGTGTCCCTCCTCCATCTTTTGCTTCTTGTTCTGTTTTCACCTGTAGATTCTGTGTTTATGGCATATGACGTAAGATATCGATTGGCATTGTACGTAGTAATGTGATCTTTGAGCAGTGAATCGATCGACAAGATTAGACGAGTGGCTTATAAGCCATGTCGCTTACGCTGAGCTTGTTATAAACTAGAAAACCACATATTCTTCCACAAACTACACTCTTAGGATATTATTTAATCTAAAATTGACTCGAAATCTAAATTCAACCAGCCACAGTTAGTAGAAGCAAGTCACCAAAGTCAAGTAAAACCAAAATCAAATGGTGCTGGATAGCATCAGATTCAATGCTAGAATACCCTGCACATAACAATCTCGAGAATCAACCATAAAGGAGTACTCCTCAGTGCCGGACCCGAAGTCCAGCATCTCTAGTGGGTGCAACATAATAGCCGACTGCCGCAAAGAAAACTATTGCTCCGTGACGACACCTTTTAGCAGAAAGGA